GAGGAGTCATGGGCAAGGAACACAAGTAGGCAGCTTTAGGAGCTGCAATAATAATCCCTTCTCTAGAGCCTTGGAGGAACCAGCTGACCAGCTGACTTGGCTTTAGTCCCATAAGACTGATTTCAGCCCTGTTCCCTATAAAACTGGAAGAAAATAAATAAGTTGTGTTTTCAACAACCAAGATGGTAGTAATTTGTTAGAGGCTGTAGGAGACTAAAACAGGACGCATGAGATATACGTTGAGGCTTTGCCAGTCTGCAAATGTTCTTCCTGCACCCTAAATGATGGCTTAGCTGGGTATAGAAGTCCAAATACAAAGTATTTCCTTCAGAATTTTAAAAACATTTTTCTGAGGTTGTCTGCCTTTGGTATTGTTGCTAAGAAGATCAAGTGGATTTCTGATTCTTAAGTCTTTGTATGCAATCTCTTTTTACTTTTTAAATCTTTGGAAGCTTTAGGGACTTCCCCCTCAATATTCTGTGCACTTTTATTTCTGCTTTGGTAAAAAATGGGGACAAGATCAACTTCAGAGAGTTTCTGTTGGCTGAAGTAAGCTAATACCTAACATCTAACATTCACTAGGTGCCTAGTGTGGCGGACTGACAACTGGTGGTCCACCTGGGACACCCGGCGGTGCTGAGTCAGCATGGCGCTGGGAGGGGAAGCCCCTGGGGACTCTCAACAGCAGAAGAAGAGTGAGGACAGGCAGTGGTATTGGCTCTCTTGGAGGAGCTGGTCTCCCTGGCTTCCTAATTCTAGCTCCGCTGTTCTCGTTGGAGGAGCTCCGGTCCCTGTTGTCACTGAGGATGGCTGCAGTTCTCTTTGGGGTGCTCCGGTCCCTGGCTTGCTTCCTGGCTCCAGGGCAGACCCCTCTGCCTGCTGACACAGCTCCTTTATCCCACTGGTGTAGACTTCCTAGCTTCCCCCACAGACCTTTGGGCCTTCCCAGTGCAGATCCTTGACACAGACTTGCACGAGACATTGTTGTGGACCCTTGGCCTCCAGCTGGACTCATGGAGGACACTGCCGTGGGATCCAGACCCTTGGCTGGATTCTTTGAGTTTCTAGTATATGGACAGATTTCCTGTACTCTTTTAGTGACTATTATAAAATAATTCTGTAAATTATGTATCCTGTTTTAATTCCTTGTAAACCCTGACTACAGCACCTAGCCCTGCTAGATTGTCATCAAAGCACCGTATGAGTTAAATAATACTAACTACTGTAAAAAGTACATGGAAGCACAGGTAATATTAAAGTTTATTTGAGTAAGAAGCGGTTCATGAATAGGGGAACACCAGACCGAGATCAGGGTGCAACGAGAAACAAGTCAGAGGCAAGTACTTACTGGGAAAATGGGGAAGAAAAATAAGAAATTATTTAATTGTTAAGAGTTACAAAATTTCCCTCTGGGATTTTGCAGGCAAGCTCCCAGTCACATAGTCCTCTGCAGCTGACCGCTTATGGTCGGCTGTGTTTCCAGCTGCCACGAGTATTTACAGAAAGGTTTGCTTCCCTTCAAAGTTGTGGCCCCAGGTGGCCTCCTCCTATGTCTGCAGTTTAAGTCGGGTTAAGGCTGGTTTCAGGTCCTGGTGGTTTGGTTCACTGCAGAGTGTCAGCCTCAACTGCCTCTTGAAGTTAGCTCTAACACTGCAGCATGGTGGCTGGCACTGCTGCTAGCAGCACCATTTTGCAAAGGAGAAGCTGAAGGGAGGAACAGACAGGTCCGTTCGGCGTTACTGGCTGACGCCAGGGACATGAGTGGGAGCCAGGCGTCTGCCCCACCCGGGCTCCTGTGCATGGCCTTGCACACACGTCAATAGTTCCTTTTCCACATTTCTTTCTTTCTTTCTTTCTTTCTTTCTTTCTTTCTTTCTTTCTTTCTTTCTTTCTGTCTCTCTCTCACTCTCTCTCTCTTTCTCTCTCTCTCTCTCTCTCTCTCTCTCTCTCTCTCTCTCTCTCTCACTCGCTCACATTCTCCTTCTCTGCGATTTTGTGACCAAAGCACTGATAAGTGCCATTCACTTCTATATGCTCAGCATCCATTACCTAAAATACCTGGGGCCAGAGAGAGGGCTGGAGAGCCAGCACTGTGCAGGGGACCTAGGTTTCTGCTGACCTCTGGGCCATCTGAGATGATTTCCACTGTGGGCACCTTGTGCAGAAAGTCCTGGTATGGACTGCCCTTCCCGCATGCTGAGGATGGACCCCAGGTCCCTCCCTCGGTCCCTTGTCCCTCACCTCAGGTCAGAGTGTGAGGCGGCTATGGGCACCCAGGCAGCTAGCAAAGTTCTGAGTGGAGAAGAATGCAGGACTGTGTATCCCGTATTGGCCACTTACCTGCCCGAAGGCACAGGGCTGGGAGGTTGGCACCCTGGGGCCAGCTGTGTCCCCTCCTGGACCACAGTTTCCACCTGAGGTCTTGGCTGTGAGGCCGTGAACTCCCCCACCAGCAGGGTTAGGGTTAGGGTTAGGTGAGGCACTGGGAAAATCGAGGCCCAGGAGGGCAGCCTGGCCTCTGCTCACGAGTGGGGTCGTCTTAGGGAACACAGCCCGTTACTCGGTGCCCAGGATCTGCAACTCTGGCCCAGAGCACTCTGCTCACCATGGGGCGGGTCCCAGTGTCCCTGGGTCCGCAGGGCTGTGAGTCATTTGCCCCTCCCTGCTTTGCACCTCAGTGAGTAAAACTGGAACGTGGGGGGACAGCATGTAAAACTGCAAAGCAGTGTGCTGCTTTGGGGACTCGTTTTGGTGTCAGTGGAGCATGTAGAGCAAAGGCTTGGCTAGTGCCCGGCTCGCCAGGGTCTTCAGTAAGTGGCCACACAGTGGTGGACGGACCTGGCTTCTGTGTCCCTCTTGGAAGGGCTGGCAGGCGGCCTCTCTGCTCCTGCATGCCAGGGCCCAAGGCCAGGCTGTATATGGCAGGTGCTGACTACTTCATGTGACCCCAGGCCTCCCCACAGGGAAGCCAAACCATCTGGAGTCTGATGCTCCCCACCCCCTCAATACCACGAGGACACAGGAGAGTCCAAGCACAGGCAAAGCTCAAACCCACGCAGGGCCGCTCTTCACAGGGTGTGGACAGGGCGGCTCTCCAACGATGTCTCAGGCAGCAAAGAGACCTTGACGAGATGGGGAAGAACTGGGATTCATCCAGAAGGCGAGGGCCCAGGAGTCCGTGGGGCGCGGAAGCAGGCAGGGCTGTGCGGGAGGGGCGCGGGGCGCGGGCTGCCGGCAGGGGGCGCTGGGGGCGCCGGCGCGGGCTGGGTCCCGGCGCCGGCTGAGTCGAGCGCAGTGACAAGCGGGGCGGGACGGCGGGCGGGAGCTGCGGGCCAGGTCGCGCACCGGCGGCCGAGGCCGAGGACGCCCGGGGCCGCCCTGGGGACGAAGGCCGGGCGAGGACGCGGGGCCGCGGGAGAGAGCGATGCGCGCGCCGCCGCCGACCCTGCTGCTGCTGTGCGCGCTGCTGCTGGCCGCGGGCCGGGCCGCCGCCCAAGGTGAGAGCCGGAGCGGGGACCTAGGGTCCCGCGAATCCCTGCACCCGGCGACTGTGGCCCCCACCCTGTGCGCTCCGCGATCCCGGCCGCCGCGATCCCAGAATGCTTGAACCCTGCTCCCCGAGACCCTGTGTGCCCCGCCAACCCCAGTTCCGGTTATCCCCGATTCCTGGGCCTGTGCGCCCCGCGATCCCTGATCCCCAGTGCTCGGGACCCCTGATTCCAGAAATCCCACGAGCCCCGCGACCCCCGCTCTGCGATAGTCCTGTGTGCCCCAGGACCCCCACGCGCCCTGTAGGTCCCCGGCCAGCGCTGCCCGCCTCGGGGTCGGGGTCCGGGTCCTCGCGGGGTCAGTGCCCCGGGACGCGTGCAGATCGGGCCGGTGCCCGCGAACGGTGCATCCCCTCCACTGTCCCAGCCTTGAATCCTGCGGCCCTGTCGAGGAGGGGTGCGGCTTCTCGGGGTTCCCTGCCCGGGGTCCCGCCGAGGCCCGAGCCCGCGTCGCAGCCACTTTGTACAAAGTGTGCTGTCAGCGGCCCGGCGCGCTCCGGTGTGCCCGCGCGTGTGTGTGCACGTGCGTGTGTGCGCGTCACGCACGGGGTGTGTGTGTGGGACTCGATTCCAGTCGCGCCCGGGACAATTGTGGGCTGGAGGAGGCCCCGCGCCCGGCGCCCCGCGGGACACAGTCTCCTGCTGCGTCCAGGCCGGCACAATGCAGCCCGAGAGCGGGCGCACCGGGGAGCCCAGCGCCGCATTCCTGGGGGCTGGAGGGGAAAAGTTGATTGAGTCTCTGGGCCTCACTTCTAACACGCATCGCAGGGGGCCGGGAGGGAGTAGCCTAGGCTCCTCCCGCCCCCACACCCCAGCCCCAAACCTGCGGGGATCAATAGCTCCCGCTCTTTTCTCATGCATCTTTCGTTTTCGAGCTGGCGCTGTGCTTAGGAAAAGAAAAGGCTCTGGTGTCCTTGGATCCGGTCAGGGAGCAGAGCTTTTCACCAACAGCGAGCACCCCCTCTCCCGGTGGAGAGCGCGCTGGAAGGGAGCTGTGTGTGGATTAGGATTTCTCAGAGGCGATTTTGGGGTGTGGGAGGCAGCGTCATTCCTCCAGGCCGAGGCTGAAACGAAGCCTGCGGTGTGGTGGCCCTGATCTGGGCGCTCCTCCCGTAAACACGGGTCCTAATTGTAATTAAGCTGTGCCGCGAGAGCCCTAATGAAATGTAAACAGTTCCGTCACGTGGAGGTCTCTCTTGGTGATGCCAAGTCTCTGGCCCTGTGCCAGGACACCTGGGTGAGGAATCGGCCGGGTCCTCCGGCCAGAGTGGGGTACACATCCTTCTGGAGTCCGGCCTTGCCACAAGCTGAGGCATGGATGACCAGGGTGATTCCACCTGAGGCTGGGCTGGGGCTGGATTAATCCTCTCTGGGCTCCTTCACTTTGTGCTTAGCCTTTGAGGGTGTGTGTGTGTGTGTGTGTGTGTGTGTGTGTGTGTGTGTGTGTTCCTTGGAAGGCAGCCCCTGGGGGCTGGGGCGGGGAAGAGGGAGGATTTCACCTTTTGGTCATTTGCGTTTAAATAAATGTCCGTGCAATGATTTTGCTTAGTGCAACCAACTTTTTTGTTTGTAACTCTAACTTCTGTCTTCTTTAACTGTTTATAGGCTTTCAAACATGCTAAAAAGCATTTTGCCTCTTCAGTATCCTGAACTTAACCCTGCTGTCCATTATTGTCTTCCTTGCTGTCCTGTAAATCCCCTTCCATTTCTTCGAAGCTTTGTTTTCTCTGGACTCCCCCACCCCGTCTGATCTGAGAGGTTCCCAGCCTCTCAGATAAAATAAAATAATAAATTAAATATAAATAAAAATAACCCAGGAAGTCTGCTTAGGGAGGAGATATGTTTCATTAATTAATAAAAAAAAAACCCTTGTTGTTTCTGCGTTCATTTTCCTGTCACTGGCCAGGAGAGGACCTTTGTCTTGACCTGGGGAGGGGGATTGCGTGGTTGTTCCCCGGGTCCCTCTGCCCCACCAGAGGCCGCACTTCTAGGAAGCCGAAGCCTTGCTCCTGCTCCCAGAGCTCCATGTTTCCTGAGTCGGACCCAGCCTCTCTGGAGCTCATCAATCCGATCCTGTGGTTAGAACCAGGGACGGTGGCTACAGGCCACCTTGCCTATCATTTTGTGACTCCTCTGTTGCCATTCCTGTCTACTTTTAAACTGTCAGTGTTGCCCATGAAATCAGAAGGCCCCAGGTCAGCTGCCTGCTGCCTTAGAGAAGGTCTACCTGAGACAAGCAGGCCGGCAGTGCTCCACGGTGGCTTGTCACACCTGCTAGGCTGTTTGGAGGCTCTGCTGCCTGGGATTACCTGGCCAGTGTTTGCTTAGAGTCCTATAAAAAACAGCTTTGGCTTCTGGTTCCTTTGTCTCCTGCTCAGGACTCTCCTTTTGAGATGTGTCCCAGCCATGTGTCACTTGCATCTGAGTTGGTCTCAGCACTGGCCCTGGTTTGACGGTGACTACCAACCCCGTTTCGGGTATCTTGAAAATTCCGTGGGGCTTTGGTGCAAACTTGCACATGATGGCCAGGACCCATTGAGTTTTGCTGAATGAACGCAGGATAACTTTTCTGGTTGTATGTAAAATCCTGCTGTTGTTTACTTTCCTTAGTAAAAAGTACAATGTGACATCTTAAGGGACTTTTGTCCTTTCCCTGTCCTGCCCTCTGGCATGCAGGGAGGTAGTGGACCCTGGTGGTGTAGCTTCATGGTGACAAGCACAGACCTGGGTTCGAATCTCCTTCTGGGGAGTGTGCTGTGAGTCTTTCTGGGCCTTGCAGCAGTTTTATGAGATTTAAGTAGCCCCGTCCAGGCCTGGAGAAGATGAAATTAGCTTGGGGCTCTGAAAACCCCTAGAAATAACATGCCAGATGCTCAGGGCTGTGTGGTCACATCTCTAATTAGATTCCCCTAGGAAACTGTGACCCTGGAAGACAGGAACTGTCTGTGTTTGGTGCTGGGGTTGGAGGAGGGAGGCTGAGTCTTGGTGGTAGGTTCTGCCTCTCTGCTGTGTCTGTCACCCCCAGAGTTTGGTTCCCTCCCACCTTCCTGTCACCTGGTGGGCTGTGAATTAGGCCCAGGGGAGGTGGGAAGTGCTGAGTCCTGTGACTCAGCTAAGAATGGATTTCCCTGCACCCCAGCATTCTGGGAGGCTCCCAAGTATATAATTTATTTAACAAACACTGGGGCAACCCTGACAATGGGTCAGTAACTGTTCTAAGCCTTATGGGCTGGTGCTGGCGCTGGCGGGAGGAGCTGGTTTGCGGGAGGGATGAATTTAGGCACCCAGAGGTTAAGTTACTTTCTCAGGTCACGTGGCCAGGAAGTGGCCGTGCTGCGCTGGCTAGCTCTAAAGTTTGATCCTCTTACCCTCCCTATCCTGGCCGGTCTCTCCTAGCTTCCTTCTTACAGTTTGCGTTCTCTCTTTACATGGCCCAATGGTGACATTTCTCCAGGCTTTACTGGGGTGGCCAAGGGGAGCTTTCTCGGCCGCCATCTGGAGAGATGACGGGGTACAGTTTCCCCCCAGCCAGCCCTGCTGTCACTGAGAGATGGCAGCACTGAGAGTCGCATTTCTGTTAGGACTTTGATGCGGTGTAGGAGTGTGCCGGGTAGTCCTTCCCTCTAGCGAAGGGCAGTGTTTGGATGAACAGCCTTTGTGTTTGCATCCCGTGTGTCACCAGGCTGCAGGCCACGGAGGGTGATTTATTCCTGTGCTCTCTAGAGGGGGCGCCAAGCCCGGCAGGTCTGGGCAGTGGAATCTTCCAGGCCTCTGCTTCTCCCTGGCGCGGACAGGAGACAGGCTCTGTGGTTGCACAAAGAGAAAGGAATGGGCTTCCAGGACCTGAGAAAGTGCTCCAGAGGAGAGGCGGTGGGGGCGGGGACGCCTCGAAAATCCTTAACTAAATGCAGCTGCTTGTTACACGGAGCCTGACTTGCATGCCGGGAATATCTAAAAAGCTAACAAATACAAAATAAAAATAAACAGCAGTAAAAAGGCCCTCTCTTTGTTGCAGTAGGTTGGGTTGGGGTTTCCCATTTGTTTAGGAGTGGGGTAATTGTGGCATCCATTATTTTGCCAAGGCGCTGGGTCAAGGGTTGATGTGGTGGCACTGGGACCCTCCCGACATCAGAGCCTCCTTCTGGGACCCGGGGCCGGGACTCCAGAGGTCCCGAGCTCTTGCCCTGTGCGGATCACACCGGAGAGGGCAGCTAATTTAATGGGACCATCTTGGCAGGGCCAGCGAATTTCACACCCCATCCCTCACTAGTAGAAGAGCAGCAGAAGGCTGAGCGCCCTCAGATGAAAAAGGCTGTGCGACAGGGCCCTGCTTAGCAGTAACTGTCTGTCCATAAATAAGGTTCTGCGGGGTTTTGATCCAGAAACATATACTGATAAGCCAGGCCTCACGGTTTGCCCTCCTTGTGTTTCCTTCCCCTCTCGTCTCCCTAGAAATGTATAGATGATATATGTGTGTATATATATATATATATTTTTTTTTTTTTTTTTTTTTTGAGAAAAAAAGACCCTGAGCAGACTGTTGATTTTGTCGATTTCTATGAGAAATGCCTCTTCTTTGACAGCCAGTTAGAGCTGGCGCAGAGGGACAGGAAATGGGATTTGGGCCTGGAGTGGGAGGGTTTGGATGCTACCTCCGGAGCCTCTGTTTCCTTATCTGTCAAATGGGATGGCCATTAGGTCTGACTTAGACGGCTGTCCTGGACAGGAAATGCCCGGCCTTGCAGTGGACCTGATAGCACTAGTGAAGTGTGCTGCCCCAAGGCGACTGGGGCCTCCCTGGAGAAATCAGAACTGTGGCCCTGAATCAGAGACTGGGGCTCCTGTGGCTCTTTGTGGTGTTTTACCTTTGGTTCCCAGAGACCTTGAGGAGGAAGCCCTGGGCCTGGGACTCCTGAGGGGAGGGCCCGTGGCTCACTCACTGGGCAAAGTCTTAAAACAAAGGCTTTTTTCAAGCTCGTGGCTCCTGGGGGCAGGACAGCCCCTCCTCGGGCTCTTGTAATTCCAGAGTCCTGCATGGAGCCCGGTGCAGAGACCTGCACTTGTAACCTGACCGTTTCTTAGCTCTGATATCCAAATAATTCGCCCCCAGCACAACTTGAAAGAGGAGAACGGCCAGGGGGAAGAAGCCCGAGGTGCTCTGTTAGCCGGTTACTGTTTCTGAGTACAAAGAGGACGGTTCCTGGCTCCCCAGGAGAGAAGAGTGGCGGGTTGGTGAAGGGCACTTCAGGGACAAAGCACTCTGTGTTTTTGTTTTTGTTCTTCAGCCGCAGGTCTCGTCCCTCCATGCAGCTTGGCTAAGGGTTATTGCGTCTTTATTACGAGCCTGATGTGGAGTCAGTGCATGGAGCCCAAATGTTGTCCCTGGCCCCATTGGCCGAGACAGCAGGGAGGGACACCCCTTGCTTTTTGAGCCTCTCCTGTGTCCGGAGGTCACTTTGCATCGACCTGGGAGTTGCGAGTCCTGTGGCCTTGGCAGGTGGCACCGCAGCTCCTGTAGGCGAGGACAGCTAAGTGTCCTGGGCAGTGGGGAGGTGGAGTGTGAACTCTGTGTTGTGACTCTTGTGGGTCCTGTCTGGGCCACAGAATGGTGTGACAGGGGTGCTGGGAGCAGCTGTGTGACCTCTACTAGCCAGGGCCTCCCCTGGAAGGCCACTGGGGGCTCTGGAAGGTGCTCTGGGGCACGTGGAAGCCTGGGAGGGGACACGGGTGCCTTCTGCCAGGTCAGGTGTGGATTCCATGATGCTCAGGAGCCTGATGGGCCAGGCCGGAACTGTATCTTCATTGCTGGACTCCTCCCAGTGACACATGAAGAACGGTAGCTATGTTGTCCCCATGTGGAGGATGATGCTGGTGCCTGCTCTTCCTGCCCCAGTCCAGGCTGTGGGAACGGAGGGGAAGAGCCCAGGGTGGCATTGGGGTGGATCCAGTGCCCGGCTGTGGACTGGATACTCTGGAGGCCAGTGTGTGGTGCCTTCCCAGCCCCATGGGATTCTTGGGCTAGACTGAGCCTGGCTGGACTGAGCTACACCTTAGGCCTCTGAGTTTTGCATAATCCTGAGACAGCACTCTAGGATATGCATGTGTGGTTATTCCTGTTTTCCAGGTAAGGAAACTGAGGCACAGGCCAGGTGTTGTGTGCCCAAGACCACACAATCAAGTGGGAGACCCCGGAGATGAATGGAGGTATCTGGAAGCCAGGGCTTTGTCCTTAACCATTTCACCTTACTGTGTCTCTACCATTGTTTTATGTTACGGATTTTTTTTTTTTTTTTTTTTTTTTTCTGTACCTGGGATTGAACTCACGATCTCATGCTTGCCAGGCAGGCACTTATGCCGTTGAGCTAAATCCCCAGCCCTCTACTATTGTTTTTTTTTTTTTAACTCTGATGATTAAAATTCTGTGGAAAGTCCCGGCTAAGTGGCTGCATCAGAATAATTGCAACGAAATCCTTCACTTGTATTGGACTTTGTGGTTTAAAAATTATGGGATGTGCAATATTAACTTCCATTTTCCAAATAATGCTGTGAAAGAGGGCTTCTTTCTCTCTCCTCGCTGGCACCTTGTGAGATCAAAGGTTGAGGTTCGCAGCTCCCTGTGTCACTGTGGCTCCCCAATGGAGCACCTTTAACCTCGGGCCCCTCTTCCTGCTCCCCCGGATTGCGGAGGGTGCTCTGAGCCTGACCTGTGGCAGGTTCCACCAGCAAGCAGGTGTATTCTGTCCACACAGCCATTGTTTCGAGAGTCCAAGCTTTTGTAGGTATCACCTGGAGCTGGGCTTGGTACCCTAAAGGAATTCCCCTGCAGGGGAAGTGAGAAGCACCTGGAGCTCTAAAATTCGGCCCCTCTCCAGGCTGGATGTCATATATGGTGGTCTCTGAGGCCGACTTCCAGTGTGTTTTTTTAGCACATCTTTGCAGGATGTGCTTACTCCTGGGGAGCTGGTACACATACACAGCACATTTTGGTCCCTTTGCTTTGAGAAGATCTGCCTCCTGTTCCTGTTGTCTGCCTTTTATTTTGATTTGTCATTTATTGGTGCCTCGGGTTTCTCAGTAGGAGGAGCTGTGCGCTGTTCAGTTGTGTGTTCGACCAACTTCCCTTCACACTGTAGTCTCGGGGTGCCTAGACGTCTCCAGTTCTGCCCAAAAGAATGTTCCTCAAAGATGAGGACTTTCTGTGGTCTATGAAGGGTCAGCGTCCTAAGGTCAAAATAGACCGAAGTCTTGGACACCCTTGGAGGGTGCCTTGTCTATCCCATGGAGGAGGTGGACGCTGTTTCCAGGGGAAGCCAGACATGAGAGCGATTTGTTCCAGAGGCTGTCCGCTCACCCTTCAGCTTCTACTCCACGTGGGCTTCATGGCACCACATAAAGTGTCCTCACCAGTGAGGTGAACTGGCTGCTTGTGTCCCCTGCCCAGGTGGTCAGTGTGGTGCTGGCCGTGCTGACCCTGCTTGTGCCTACCCTGAGGGTCAGCACTCGACCGGGTCATGAGGACCATCCTGCATCCTGTGGAGGACTGTCCCCAGAGCCAAGCTGAGCGTGCTGAGTGAGCTGCCCCCGCCACACTTCTGCCTGGAGGAGTGTGACAGCGGACGGAGAGTGTGGGGCTCTGCACTGGTTTCCTCCCTGGCGAGAAGATGCTGTGCTTGGAGTGTAAGGACCCCCCCTCCTCCACTCCGGCGTTTGAGGACCTGTCAGCAGTTTCAGGGTTGTGCTGCAGGAGAAGATGATCAACCCGTTCTACAAATAACCATCCTGAGTCTCCGCCTTGAGGCTGGCCAGGGACACTGGTGCAGGTGCTCCCACATCCACAAGCCACAGAGCCCCAATCCCCAGGTCCTGGGTCTTCAGCCCACAGCACCCCTCCACCTGCCCAAGGCACCTCCTGTGCAAACTATGGAGCTTCCGCTGGCTTAAATATTTGTTTAGCAATTAAAGCGGCTGCAGGAGGAACAAGTGGTTGTGTGCGCTCAGGAGGAAGTTTGCTGCTCAGGGAGGGAAGCAGGGTGCACACACCACCGAGGCCATCCACCTCTGAGCAGATGGCGCCTGGCCTTTGTTGGGGCCCTTTTCATGCTGCCGGCACCTGGCACCTGCCACCTGCGGGGCCACACCTGTCCCTGTTGTCCCTGCTCCCACCTCTCCCAGCTGGAGTCCTCCAGCCCCTGCCTGCCTCTGCCTCTTTCTGTGTGTCCCCTCTGCCTGGATCACTCACTGTCCAGGCCACTGAAGGGCTCACACACATTCTGACCTGGCCTAGAGTCCACTCAGTGGGAACAGAAAACATGGTGAAGGTGTAGTTTTTAAAAATAGAATTGATCACAGGAAAAGGCACACCGTCCTGCATCCCCGAGAGGTTGCCCACTAGCTTTACACACACTATGGTGTGGCTCTTGCCTTGAGATTTTTGCAGCAGCGCCGAGGTCCCTGGCTAACTGCTCGCATGTGGTTCTCTGTCACATGGTCTGTCCCACCCGTCTGGTTCTGAGTCTCTCTGGCTGGTGCTGCGAACTCAGCCTCCATTCACTCCGCATGGTTTTGCTCCTTCGTGGGAGGGTCCTTGGGAGGGCCCTTGCTCGCTTGCCCTGACTGAAAATCCTACTATTGCGTCTTTGCACCCAAGTGGCCTAGGGATTCCTTTCCCAAAGCGGAGGAGTCAACCCAAAGAGCCATTTGGGCCTTGTTAAATGTGCTTTGGGTTCTGTGTCCCTGGGAGCCATGGGCAGCTGTGTTCCCAACGTGGAAATTCTCTGCCGGCTCTGGGACCCGGCCTGCTGTCTTGCTCACAGTGACAAGCTCAAGCCTTCTCTTCCTCCATCTCAAGGGCAGTCCAGCTGGGGAGAATTACGCTAGGTGCCGGGCTGGGTGCCAGCCACAGGACTCCTCCAGTGCTAAGGCTGGCCTTGCAGTGATGGGTGCAGGAAGCACAGAGTGGGGTCCTGGGCCCAGTGCAAGAGGGAGCCGGTGGGAGGAGTGGGGAGAGGCGGCAGTTCACAGCCCAGGATGCACTGAGGAACAGCACTGGTAGCAAAGTGTGGGTTTGTTTTGCCGAATGAGCTCATGGGCCTCTGCTGTCTGTAATTACTGCTCGTTTGGTCTCCAGCCCGGTGAGCTCCTGGCCCCTCTGAGCCGCCTTCTTGCCAGCCCGGCTGCTTTGTGATCCCTGGGAGTAACTGGGGTGGGGTGGGGTAGGGTGGGGATAGGCCCCCTGGAAGTGGCTCTGCTCTCCCCATGGGGTTAGGGTCTTGGTTCCTCACTTCTCCAGTAGGATTCTCACTCACCCCTGGAGAGCGTAAGAAAGCTGGGAGGTGAAGAGAAGCACTTTGTAAGCTTTGGGGTCCACCTGCGATGGGAGGTGAAACAGCTGCAGGATTTGTCTTCATTCCTGGTCAGGGGGTCCTGGAGGAGCCTCCGTCCCCTCCACCAACACTCCCATGCCAACCGCTGTCCTAACGCTGGCGCGAGGGCCAACAGTGCATGGAACCAGGACCACCTAACTCTGGGAGGAGTCGAAGGAGAGACACAAATGCCTTCTCACTGGGAATGGAGCCTAGGGCCTTTGAACCGAGCTATGGCACAGATCAGGCTGGAGCAGAAATCCAGGGTGGAGTGGGTCCACGCTGTCTGGGGTGGCCTGAGCAGGGGTGACCCCATGTCTGTCCACGGAGGAGCTGTGCAGGAGGTGGGCCACAAGGAGCAAGCTCGGGGTGTTTTCAGCAAGCAGAGGCTACAGTGATGGCCTCTGCTGCCAAGGGGAGCATTCACAGCGTGTCTGGTGTCCAGCGGCAGGCGGAGGCCGTGCTCACGGTGGTTATGTGATCTTGGCACCGCACCCGTTCCGCAGTTGAGGACCGTCAGCAGAAAGGCACTCGTCTGGGAGATGGGAAGAGGGTACCATGTGCCACGGCGTGGCTTGCAGAAGGAAAACACTATTGATGCCCCGTGTGCTCAGGGCAGGAAACCCAGTGTTCCCAGGCCTCTGTCCATGGCTGTAAAGTGGGCTGGTCCTGAGTGGGGCTGTTAATGGGCTTCAGGAGGAATGTAGGCCCCTGGACTCCCGCTGGTGTTCTGGGTGAGTTCTCGAGCCTCCTGAAAATAGACAGGGAGAAGAAGAGAACAGACGTCCAGAATAGATGCATCCCACTCTGCTCCTTGCCCGAAGATTTAGTTTCTGCTATGTCCCTGGGGTGATCAGACTCAGTAGCAGCCAAGTGGCTGAGAGTCTTTCTGAAAGAGGGGGCAGTGCAGGTGCCCAGGATTTAATATTTTTAAAGAAATTATTTGCCAGAAGTCCTAGAACTTTTATTCTTCAGTCTTTTATAGTATCAGGCTACCTATTTTCCCAAACCCAGAATTTTTTTCTGTGGGTGGTAGGTATTCCATGGTGTTGGGGGGCCCTCAATAATAGAGGGGGCCTAGGGTCTTGCTCCTGTCCGCTGTGTGTGTGCCTGATGTGTTTGTTTATATTATTATCATTGTCTTTGAAGGAAAGGGAAACGAGATTTGTTTTCACAGAAACATCCTTCCAGCTCGGCACACAGCAGAAAGAGCTTGGAACAGAAAGTCTCTAGGGGTGAGTTGTCTCAGCCTCGTCCCCAGTGGGCTGTGGGGCCCCTGCAAAACACTTGCCTTCTCTGGTCCTCCAACTCCTGTCTGAGCACAGCAGCGCTGCAGAAGTCCTGTGGCTCCGCAGCGTCCACTGCACCTGGACCTCTTCAGGCTCCTCTCCGGACTGTCTGGACCCAAATCTCCGCCTTTACAAACCCGCCAGTTACATGCCAATGCAAGTTAGGGAGGCATAACGGAGTGAGTGGTGCTGCTTTTGTCGCCTGATGTTTTGTGTTGCTGTAGATGTGTATTAAAATGCGGTTGTGAGGAATTTAGACCGGGTGGAGCGAGGTGTGTGCGCATCCTCCCAGAGTCCGGCTCTGTCTCTGGAGCAGCGCTTTACGAAAGCGAACACAAACCGGAAACCCGCTGCCTCCAGACAGCGGGAGGATCAGGCTGGAATAGTGTTTGTTATTGTTTCTGTTTTTACCAAGCCCTGCATGTTACATTTAGCAGTTTCGTTTTTCTTTTGTGGTACTGGGATGGAACCCAGGGCTTTGTACTGAGCTACATCCCAACCGTTTTTATTTTTGTTTGGAGACAGAGTCTGTCTTGTTGGGTTGCAAAAGGGTCCAGGCTAGACTTGAACTTGTGTTCTTCCTGCTTCAGCCTCCCAGAGCGTTGGGATGACAGCGTACACCACCATACTTGGCTTATTGGTTTTTAAAAGCAGTATAGATTATTGTCTTCACTGTTTCCGCTGTTTTTTTTTTTTTTTCTTCAAAGAAAAGCACAGAGAAACCAGCAAACAACAACAATAAAACAATAGTGACACAAGATTTCAAAACAGGATGGTGGGGATTTAACAGTGGTTGTTGTGTTGTCCCTCGTGTTCTTTATCTTCACGATGACTGAGAAGGCAGAGCATCCAATTCCTCTGTACTGTATATGGCCCCACATGAGCCATGGAAGCAGGATTGGGGGAGGCAGAGGCTGGGCCCTTAGAGCAGCGGCCAGGGAGGGGCCCTCTTGGCCTGACACCCCCGATTCTCAGAAAATAAGACTACAAGAGCCACTCTGCAGGAAGCAGCCTCGCGCCTGGCATAACACCCAGTTATGACCGCTGGGGGAGCCGGAACCTGGGTTAAACTAGGGCCTGCTTTGGAAGTGTGCGACCCGAAAGCTTGGATGCCACAGTTGACTTCATGCTCAGCTGTGTGAAAATCCTTAACATCACTTTCAGCGTGGGGCCTTGAAGTTCAGTTTGGAGAGGACTGAGAGAGTCTCCTAGCTGGCCTTGGTTAGAAAAATCCAGAAGTCCCTCGGTGATACCTGAGAAGTGCAAGTCCCCGGGGGAAGTACGTGGCAGTCCAGGGTGGTCCCCGTGGGCAGAGCGTGCAGGGTCTCATCTGTCTTCCAGGGACAGGATCTTTCCCAGTCTTGTGCTGGGCCTTGGGGGCTGCCTCTGTTTACCTCTGCTGTTTACCGATGTAGATAGCTGTACTTTCCTTCACAAAAGGACGGACGGCTTTCGGATGGTAGATTCTCTCAAGCATGCTGAAGGAACATATTTTGGGGCAGCTTGTTTTTGTATCCCATGAAGTGTGGTCAGGAAAATGAGAGAGACTGTGTGGGAAGCTCCTGGAGCAGTAGTGAATAGCTCTTCTTGTAACACAGATGCGTTCAATTTTCATTTTCCTGCCTTAAAGAAAGTCTTCAGGGGTGTGGTAGTCAGCTTCCTGTCACTGTAACAAAACCCCTGAGTCAGTCAGCATAAACAAACAAGTTTCGGCTCCTGGTTTGGGGTCCAGTCCAGGCGAGTTGGCCTTGCAGCTCTGGCCTTGCAGGGCTCCTCACTGCCCCAGGCCGTGGTGGTCAGGGCTCTGGTGCCACCTGTGGCTGCTGTTTTTAATCTCTTTGTGTCTTATTCCCCAGGGGTGTGGTGAGCCCCTGGCATATGGGGCTTGGTGTGGTCCCAGGTCCCTGGGCTGCACCGTGGCATGTAGCAGCCCTGTGGCTGTGGGTTACCAACCAATGTGATCCAGGAACCAAATCCAGGGCTGCTTGTTTTCCGTCCACACCTCCTGCTCTGCTCCTTCAGCCCGGAACTGCAGTGTGGTTTTGCATTTGAGCCAGGAAGAAAAAACATCCCTTCTCCCCTGTGCTTGTTTGTTTGTCTGTTTGTTTTGCAGCAGCCTCACAGTTGTGTGTTGGGACTGTTTGTTTACATGTCTGCCTGCGCTGGGCAGGCACCCTGGGCCAGGAGAACCAAAGAAGTGGGCTTCACCCCCTTTCTCTCTTCTGTGCCCCATGTGTGGACTCCATGCAGATAAAGAGGCACTTAGGAAATATTTGTCAAATCAGTGGATCCTGGAAAGCCCACACTTTTAGGGCAGACAAGGAGACAGTGGGAGCTGCCTCTTAACTGGGAAAACACTTTATTAGGTCTCTATGGATCAGTTAGAAACTATGCAGTTGGATATCTTTTATGGTCAAAGGAGAAAATCAAGATAAAATGCTTAATTAAAAGCAGAAACTCACGTTCCCCTGGTGGGGAAGGCAGGGCGGTCTGGGCCGGCGTGTAGGCAGGTGGCCAGACTGACGGACAGCCACAGAGAGCAGAGAAGAGGCTGCAGAGGGGTCGCCAAGCAGCTGAGACGGGAAGAGGCGCTCCAGGGCGAGGCCCTGAAGACGTTTCTTGCTCTTGTTAATGCGGACGCCACTTGCTTGTGAACTTGTGGTGTTAACCTGGCATGGGGTGCCCGGCTCCCGCCTGCTCAGCATCACGGTGCTGCCTGCCGAGGACAACAGCTGGTGCGGAAGAGGGCAGTGATGCCTCAGACAGCGGGTGGGCTGGATTTGGGACCTGTAGGACTCCAGTGGCCCGAGGACCATCTCATCCTGGCCACGGGGTCTCCTTGGAGTCCTGGGGTCTGTGCTCCCCTCTGACCCGGGAGTCTGTGGTCCCCAGGCAGCTCCTCACCTGTAGCGTCCAGGGGTACAGTGGGGAGACAGGCAAGGCCATCTGCGGCCAGGCCCCGCCAACCTGGGTTGTCCATGTTCTGGGTGGAACTGACTTTGAATCCCAGAGCTGCCACTGTGTGGTTCTAACTCGATGCCCAGATTCACTTTCTCATCTGTGTTCCGGGTGAGATTACATGAAATAATGTGTCCCGAGTGTGGAGCAGGAGCTTAACCAGGACTGTTAGTGCTGATACAGCTATCTCTATTCGGGCACTGGGTTGGAGGGCTGAGCTATTCACTGTGACTGGCGCCCTGCTGCGCCTCTCACTGAGTGCTAGACTTTGGTATGGACATGTGTTCCATGTGGCTCAATGGGGGGTTCTTATAGAATCAATGGAGCTTTTGTTTTCATTACTGCAAAGAGAGTACAGGGTCTTTGCTCTGAACCCTGTTCCCAGCTCTTTATTTTTTATCTCAAGACAGGGTCTTTCTACTTCACCAAGTTGCTTGGGCCAGGTTCAAACTTAGGATCTTCCTGCCTCAGCCTCCCAGCGTTCAGGGGTTACACCTCATAACACCATGCCCCACTGGATCAGTAGCTTTATGTCTGCCTCCTCCTCCTACAGGGTGAATTTTCCATACCCAAAATTCTTGCTTTGGACCCAAAATGTTTCGGGTCATGGATTTTTTTTTTCTGATTTCAGAATACTTTCATATACATATTTACATATTTACATATACTTGAGCTGGGGCTCAAGTCTACACACACAATTCCTCTGAACAGACCAAATACATGTAGCCTAAAGGTAATTTATACAATAGTTTAAAGCTTTGTGCATGAAACAAACTTGTGACATCAAGGCTGCACTCAAAAAGCTTTGGATTTTGGAGCATTTTAAAAATTAATTAATTACCCATAAATAATTTAAAGCAGGATCTCACTATGTAGTGCAGGCTGGCCTTGAACTGGCTTATTTAGTCCAGACTGGCCTTGAATTTATGGTGATCCTCCTGCCTCAGCCTCCCTAGCGCTGAAATTTACAGGCCTGCCTCACCGTGGCCAGGTATGGAATGTTTTAGGTTTTGGATCTTGGAATTTTCAGTGTGCAGTGCATCACCTAGGGCAGTGGTGGCAACCCATGGCACACGTGCCACAGCGGGCTGTTTGCATCATGGGAAGCTCTGAAAGGCGCGCCCTGCTGACCCATGGGGTCCAGTTTTGGCTTCTCTAATATGGGCTGGAAATGCCCCAGAAGATGCGTGCCAGTGCTGAGAGCGGAGAAGTCCCCCAGCTGTGGTAACTGAACCCCAGCCGTTCACACTGAGGGCTCAGGCTGTGGCTTTTTCGGGAGGATGGAAGTAACTGTATTTTCCCTTCCCAAGGAATATGACTTAATGTTCATAGAAGTAGTTACTCTCTTTTCATATATTCAGTTTTATCAATAAATTTTTATAAAATTAGCATATATAATTCTAAAACCAAAACCAAAACAAAAACCCCAGCAGCTGTGATTTGAGGCGCTTTGGGGGCCCAACTATACCGGCCATTGATGGCAGAGGAACCTCAGAGGGACCAGAAGTGCCCACCTAGCCAGGGCCAGCCCAGGGCCCGACAGGACCCTTCCAGAGGGGACAGTGAGGACGAAGCAGAGCACAGCGTCCTGTGAGTCCCTGGAGTGGAGCTGGGCTCAGAAGTGTCACACTGAGGTTTGTTCACGTGCTGCCTTACAGTCACCATAAACACCTTCCCCCAGCCCATTCTGTTTCATTTCGACATGGGCAAGGTGAGGCCAGACAGGTGGGGTAATGCGGTGTCACCCCTTAGCACGAGGAAGTAATTTCACTAAGGGAGGACTGGGAATAAAACTCAGAATTTTTGGAGCCCAGTATGTCTGTTGTCTTTCACATGTGTCTGGAGAGCAGTGGCGGAAGCAAGGCTGGCTTTATTCAGATCCTTCCCGTTTTCTTATAGCAATTGGTGGAAGCCATGGAGCGTGTCGGGAATGGTCGCATGCCGTGTCCATTCAGAGGCCTATCTTAGTTACTTTTTACTTGTTGCTGAGACAAAATACCTGATGCCCAAAGTGGGAAAGGAAAGGTTTATTTCTTACAGTTCTTGGAGGTTTCAGTCCATACTCAGGTGGCTCCAAGGCAGGGTGGCATGGTGTGGCCGCAGTTCATGCTGGGTTCTCCGCCATCAGGAGCTGGAGAGCATGCCGGTTGGGGTTCTCTAGAGCGAAAGAATCTGTGGGGCATGAGTGTATAAGATGCAAGGACATTGATCCGTAGATTTATAGGATCAGAGGTGGGAGAGTCCAGAACGGCTGTTAGTGGTCTGGAGAAGCAGAGATTCTGGCAGGTGCTCAGCCCAAGAAGCTGGAAGCCGGGGAACACCAGGGGTCGGGGCGCAGCACCAGCTCAAGGTCGAAGGCACAGAAGCTCCCTGGAGAGTCACTGGTGTGAGTCCACATCGGAGGCCGAAGAGGCTGGCTCGGGTGGACACTGCCACTGGAGCAGAAAGGAGCGCTTCCAAACTCGTGCATTCGGCCTCCTCCTTTTCTGTCCATCTGGGCCACAAGCCCATCGGACGATGCCGCAGTGGGCCGTGGAGGAAGCTGTGGCCAGTGCTGGAAGTGAAGGGGAGCAGGGCAGCAGGGCTCCTAGGAGAGGGGCAGGCGCCCAGGGTGGAGGTCCTTGGCTGGCTTTGTTTGTTTCCAAAACCACGGCCTCAAACACTGGGTCTGTGTGCAGCATCTCGTGTCCAGAGAGGCGGTTCTTGTTATCAGGGGAAGCAGCCAGGAGTCAAGGCCTGGCCTCAGGGAAGTCTGGAAAACTGAACCCATTTCAGCAGGCACCCAGACATACGAAGCCAGGATGGGCAAGTGCCTCAGAGGAGTTCCCACCCTTTGGGCTGAGCACTGGACACTGTGCGAACACACTTCCTTCCCCACAGGGCGTAGGTGTCCAGAAAATCCTCATGTAAAGGGGTTCTCATCATCTTTGGACCTTTAATGCATCAGATTTTTGGATCTGCTTTAAGCAGAGCACACAAAGTCAAAGGGGATGGGGGTGAGGACCAAAAGACCACGTGGTCTGACTCTCACGATGAGCTCAATTTACAGAGAAGTTTCATAAAGCAGAGGGCACCGGCTGGGTTGATGTCATGAGCTCCCAGATGCCAGCATCTGAGCGGGGGGAGAGGACAGCGTGCCCACGTGCAGCTCGGTTTAAGGCCACGTGTTTGTGTAGGGCGATGAAAGGTATCATTCTGCACGGGAAAAGATGCCTTCAGCTAAGGAGTGGGGAGCTCGTTTGGGAATCCGGTGTGTACGTTTTTTTCGAAGGTATGCTGGGAGATGGCCAGCAGGTGAATGGATCTGGCCGTAAAGCTCCGAGGTGGACCTGGGCCCTGGGCTGGTGGGGGGCGCTGTAGGGCTGCCTTCTCTCCTTTCCAGGGATGCCTCCTAGCCCTGGCCCTGACTCTCATGTGCAGAGGGAGGGGCAGAGATGTAGAAGGCTACTTCCTGGCTCATGGATCCAGACACAGCACTCCGGTCTGGAGATGAAAAGACTCCTTTGGCCTTCAAGGGACTTGTAACAGTGCCTATAGCTTCACATGTGGTATCGAGTGCCATGGCTGGGAGAGGGACATGGGCCCATTGTCTGGAGGAGGTCAGAGGAGGAAGCATGGCTTTGTAGCTGGGTGCTGAGGCATTTTGAAAGCAGCTGTCAGGCGGGAGAGCAGGAAAGGAACCTGCCTGGGTGGAGCACAAAGGAGCAAAAAGGATAAGGCCTCTGGTGTATGGTGAGGAGTTCGTTCAGCTGGAGCAAAGGCTTAGCGGCCTAAGGGTGTTTTGGGAAATGATATTTTATTCTGCAGAACCCAGCGTATCATTTCAGGATGTAAATGGCTTCTGTGCAGGAAGGTAACTTGGTACGGAGACCAGGACTCCCAAATGCGCCTCCAGTGATCCCCAAGGACTGTGTGTTTGTCCTCTTTACCTCTGCTTGGGCTGGAAATCAACCCTCAAAGGGTCCAGGCGAGGAGAGGCAGCAGCTGGTGATCCTGGCCCTGGAATGGGCAAGCCGAATTCTTTGTGAAGAATCCCTGTAGACGCTTAGGTTCGTTTTTACCCCAAGACCTTGCGCTCCCAGGGAGTGACTCATGGCAGGAGAGACTGTGGCCTGTGCTTTCCACCACATCCTGCGGGCTCCTATGGTGGCTGCTCCTATGGGCGTTGCGGGGGACCTGGCCACCACCCTTCCTGCTCCCTTGGAGAGGGACCCTGAGGTGCCTACAGGTCTCTGGTTGTGGATAGGCCAGGGTCTGGCTTTTCCCGTTGCAGCCCTGAGTCTGAGTGACCCCTGTGCTCTGCAGGGCACAGGCAGCAGTGGGTGTGGCTGCTGAACCTTTGGCTCCTCCTCCCTCCCTCCAGGCAGTCATTGGTTCTGGTAGCCAAAGAAGGCTTTGGGGGGGGGGGGGAGTGGAAATAAAACCAAACTCCTATAGGCCTGGAGTTGGTGAACACAGACTGCCTGGCTAAGCCGGGCCCAAGTCTGTTTTTTTTTTTTTTTTGTCTTTTTCCTTTTTATCGGTACCAGGGAGGAACTCATGACTGTCTGCTTGTAAGGCAGGCGCTATGCCACTGAGCTAAATGCCCAGCCCTCCAAGTCTGATTTAATAAACCGAGTGTGGAGCAGCCCTCCCTGTCGCCTACACATTGCCGGTGACCACTTCGTGCTGAGTTGCAGGAGGTGCTGAGTGGCAGGAGAGGTTGTAACCCTTGCAAATGTGAAAATACCCACCCCAGGCCCTTTGTAGAAGCCGTGAGCTGACTCTGGTCTAAGTCTAAGCTGCAGGAGGGCTGGGGATGTCAGGGGTGCTGGGCAAGTTCCGAATGAATGAATGGGTAGGTGGATGCACTAGTGGGGTGGGGAAATACGAGCTTATTCAGTTTGTGTACGTTTCACAGCTGACATTTTTTTACCAGCCTTTTTTTTTTTTTTTTTTTTTTTTTTTTTTTTTACCAGGATCAAACTCACGACCTGGCGCTCACTAGACAAGCGCTTGAGCCGTTGAGCTAAATCCGGGCCCCACAACCAACTTTTGTGATGCCCTTCAGCTCCCAGCTTCCCCTTCTATAAAATGAGAGCCGAGTCCTTACGAGCATGGCAGCACTTCGGCAGCACTTCTCAGGGCTGCGCCTCGGATTATAGCTGGGGTGTTTAAAGTGCTGTAAGAAGCATAACTGCCCTCCGAGAAGCTTTATAGGTGTCGAGCACTCTATTAAGACCTTTACTTTCATTACCTTACTGAGTCCTGGCAGCCACCCTGGTGGCCACCCACTGCCAGAGAGGGATTCCTGACCCGGGTGTAGGTGGAGGAACCAATCCAGAGACGCCAGGGCTTCTGCTAAGGTCACACAGCCGGTGAAGGTCCAGTGTGTCCAGTCCATGGCCTTCCACCAGCCCCTGCTCCAGGTGCTGGACAGAGCGCCCACCCTCTAAAAGAGGCAGCTATTGATCTGTGAGGGGGCTTCATTGAAGGAGGTAAGTGGAAATCCCAATCGTGTAAATACTGTCCTTTGGAAAATGCGAAATTGCTCTCAGAGAGGGGCGTGGTGCCAGCCTCTCCTTGGCACCCCGTCCGCTGTGCTCTTCTCTTGAGCTGTAGGGAGCTGGGGCTCTGTGTTTGTGTAGCAGCACTGGAGGTAAAGGGAACACATTCAAGCACTGCTCCCCTGGGGATGTCACCCTGGAGGGAGGACCTCCCGGGGCCCAGTGGCCCGCAGACACTGGGCACCTGTCGGGGCTGGAAGGCCTCGGAACCCGGATCCTAGAGCTTCACACACAGCGCTTTTGGTGTGGTCAATACATGTGTCCTCCAGAGTGTGCATGCATCAGTCGGCGTGAACCTCAGCACACACTGCCCTCCTTCCTCGTGCAGGGCTGCAGCGAGCAGGTTATCAGACGGGGGACTTCAGAGGTTGATGTGTGTGGCCCCACAGTTTTGGGGGCGGAGTGCATGGCCAGTGTGACCTGTGTGGACCTCAGGGCCTTCTGTGACTGGCAGAAGAGCTGGGAGCCACAGCTCCATGGAAGGTGGGACTGCCTGACGAAAACAAAGAAGATCTACTTCTTTTACTCTGGGAGATGTGTCTCCTGAAGGTCGCGAGTTATTCTTGTTCTCATGTGTAGCTGCATCCCATGGTTGTACCTGGCTGTGTCGCTGGTCTTTCACAGGACATGTGGCCTTGCACCGAGACTTTCTGCTCCCCAGCGGCCTTCTCTGTCGCCTCCCCTGTGTCTGATGTCCTCCCTCTCATCTTTGTGAGCTGCTTGGGTGGCTGCAGCAGCCCCAGGAGTTTCTGTGAACGTTTTGCCTTCGGGGACTGAGGCAGCTTGAGGCAGGCTGGGGTCAGAGATGCCATCTGCTTTTGTTTCCCCAGACAAAATCGGCCAGAGCCCCGACGAACACAGGCACCTTTCATGCCCTTTGGTGAGGGGACTAGAGGTCAGGCCTTGCATTGCAATGTTCGACCCGGGTGACCCCTCAAACAGGTTCCCCGTCTTCCCCTTGATGTGTTGCATATGCCTCAGGCGACTGCTGAGGAGGCTCCGGACTGCTGAAGGGCCCAGGGCAGAGGCCGGGACCTTTCCTAGCCTCTGAGGACCACTGTGTTTCGCCGCCACTGTCTCTGTCCTCCGGGCTGGGAGTTCGGGTCCACTCAGCCCCTTTCCTCACTGAATCCGTTTTCCCCTGCCACTTTGATCTCTTCAGAAAAAAGCACCAGGCACTGGCAGGGTGCCTGCTGGCCTCTGTGTGTTTGGAGATGCGCTGTAACCCATAGTTGATCTTTTGGGTCACCTGAGACAGCCTGACCAGGGTCCTCCAGCCTGCTTTATTTGAGAAACACTGTTGGCCAAGGCTTTCGGATCTGGAGGCGGAGCTGGGGGGACGCCAATAATCATGCTGACCTGAGCACCTTATACCTTGGATGGTGTGCATGTCGGATAAGCGGCTCTGCTGTTTCCGAACCTTGGTTGTCTTTGTTTCTTGCTGCTGGCTAACCGCTGTGTGTGGACTTGCTGGGGAACAGGGGCCTGCACTTCCCTTCCGAGGTCAGGAAAGAAAACGAGGAGGAGGAGGAAGAGGAAGAGGAAGGAGGAGGAGGAGGAGGAGGAGGAGGAGGAGGAGGAGGAGGAGGAGAAGGAGGAGGAGAATATGTGGCTGTTATACACCATGATGCCACCCTTGGTCACAAGGGGATTTTGCTTCCAAACCAGGGTTCCTTCTGTGGGTCTGCGTGGAGGGTGGGGTTGTGTCTTTCCCCATCACTGTCCCTGGCAGCAGGTGATGGTCACAGTGCCAGCAGAAGAGGTGCACTTGCTGTGCACTGCGGGTGCTGCTGCCCTGGGAGGACGGAGGTGGGTGAGGGTCCTTAAGGGGACGTTTGCAAAGCACTGCCTGCCTTGGGCTTCTGATCCCGTGTCTCACAGTGCAGTGGGCGGAACCGGGCCACTCTCTCGGAGGAAGTGGACTCTGCATTTCCTGCCTGCCTGCCTGCCTGCACCCTGGCTTCTGGCTGGAAGGCTGCCCTGAACGAGGAGGTGGTGGTTTCGGCAGCCCCTCCTTCCGGGGGCGCTGATGTCAGCCCTGAGGTTCCAGCAGACAGAGGATGCGCCTGGGGCTGGGAAGCGGGCCGTGTGCAAAGCCTCCCTGGAGATTCTGTGGAGTTTTCATGAATCTCTCCTCACCTCCTTCCTCCAGTGTTCCCAGGGCTGGATACACATAAACCATGCCAGTGTTTTGGAAGATTCAGGTCTGACCACCATAAATTGGTTCATATTTCCAGCAGGGCAGTTATTTAATTTCCTGTTGGAAGTCTACAAATGTTGGCACTGTTTGCTCTTTGGCAGAGGCCCAAGACCCGGTACAGTGTAATTAGCAAACGCTGGTGCTGAGATGAAAGCGCGCCTGTCTTTAATAAGAGGCCGTCCCTGTCAGGATGGGCCGGGCTGTGCAGGGAGTGTGGGGTTTCTAGTCCAGGCCGAGTGTGCGAGGGCCGGGTGCTCAGGGAAGGGTTATCCGGAGGCCAGGACTCCGTGTTCTCCTCCCACTGTGCTTGTTTAGTTTACTTTGACAGCATCGGGTGATATGGGGACTGTCCTAGTCTGTGGCCCTGTGCCCCTTTTCTCTTGTGACTTCCCCTGGCTGGGTCTGGACCTGGAAGCCTTGTCCTCAGGCTGAGGAGAAGCGCAGGGTCCCCACAGAGCCCCTGGAATAACGGGACTTGAGGGCTTGGTGTGCCCAGTGCCGAGGCTTTGTTGGGTCAGCACCTGGCACTGCCCGGTCCAGTCTCTGCAATTGGCCCTGAGACCGTGCTTTCATGAGCTTTCAAGGATGAGCTCCCCCCGTGCAAAGGAGGACCTGTGACACCCAAGCCTTCTAGCTCAGTGAGGCCCAATAGTGCCGTGTGGGAAGGGTCTCCCCCTTCTGTGTGCCATGTCCATACCCAGGTAGCTTTCCAGGATCGGCCAGGGTCTGAGTCTTAGGAGAGCAGAGCTCAGACTTGGAGACTTTGCCCAGCTTTGGTGCAGCTCGGAGGACTGCCTGCTTCTCATCACTCAGCCCTGCCTTTCTCAGCCAAGGCCTCAGCGTCCGCCCCGAGTCTGCCTCGTGTCCTGGAGATGGGGGATGGAGCCACGAGGGAAGGGACGGCACCTGGATTTGAGCTCACCGTTTACTCCGACTCTTCTTGCTTCACCCCTTCTCTCTGTCTGTCCCCTAAGATGTGTTTGCTTTGATCAGACACCTCCCCCGGCCTCCACTTCTTCCGTGGCAATAGCTCACCTGCAGGTAATAGGTAATGCATAAAACCAGGGGGGAGATTCTGGGCCTGTGGGTCTCCTGTGAAGAAGGGGACATTTCCATCGTCTTTAGAGAGAGCCCCAGGTGGACATTCTTCCGTGTGAGTTCTGTGGTATAGAGGATCTGATAGAAATAAAGTGGCGAGGTGCTGATGGTGGTATAGAGGACGCACACACACATACACACACACACACATGCACACACAGTGTATCCACATGGTGACACATGAGGTGCTTTGCACTGTGAACAGTGCTCACTGCCTCCTGATGACTGTATCTCATTAACTTCCTAGCATTCTCAGTTTTCAGATGAGCACCCTGAGTCTTAGCATACCTTCCCAGAGCCATGTGTGGAGCCTATGGTGAGTCCCTGGCTTTCCCCAATCCTCTTCGAGCATTTGGTTTCAGGCTGTAGATGGGGACTTAGCAGGATACTAATGAGGCAAAGCTGCCAAAGCCTGGATGATTGAGGCACAGGAAGTGCCCAGCACTTCTCCAGGAGTGGCCCCGTTGCCCTTGAGGGTCCCCAAGTTGGGTCTGCAGAGAATGGGAGGGTCTGCCCTGCCCAGGTTCATAAGAAGGGTTTGTAGCTTTCAGGGTTTCTCATGACCAGTTCACATTTAACAAGGAGTCCAAGTGTTGTGCTCAAGCCATCGGCTGGCTGGTGTTTATGCGGGGCTTTCCCCTGGGCCTCCCAGGTCCCTGGCCTTCCTGGGAGGAGGTGGCCTCCATGCTGCTTATCAGGGCTGGCACAGGTGTGCATGGACCTTTCTTACGGGACCAAACCTCACAGATACTCAGTGATTTTGGCATTTCCAGGCTGAGTCACACAGGTGTCCTCCCCTGGGTGGCAAAGGAGGCCACCTGAGTGGGCTCTTGGGGGCCACGGCGGGTGCCTGTGGGGACAAGGACAGGCCGTGGGGAGGGAGAAACCATGATTGGGCTGTGTGTGGGGTGGCGGCCTGGAGGGGCGAAAAGTGCCCAGGACTCCGGTTCCCATCCCAGCTTTGACCACAGCGGCGGAACTGCTCAGCTTCCTGGCCCGAAAGTTTTCATCATGACTTGAGGAGTAAATTTACAGAACATATGTAGCCCTTCAAACAGAGCTCATATGAAAAGAAAGGGATGCACGCCTGTGATTCCAGTGCTCGGGGAGGCTGAGGCAGGAGGATGGAAAGTCTGAGTGCATCCTAGGTAATGTAGCACGCACTGAGCTTGTGGCCCTGGGTCCAATCCCCGGTACCAAGAGGAAAAATAATAGAAAGAAAGAGGAAACTGAGGCGGTTTTGATGTCCCAGAGGCATCTGAATGTGTGGCATAATCCACTTCTGAAAGTGGCTTAAGAATGTTACCACAGACTTCTATCCAGGCTTCAGGAAGCAAGGCTGAACCTGGACCACTTCTTTCTTTTCATAACGCAAAAGCAGTGAACTCATTATGCTGGAATTTCCAACTTGTTTGGTCAGATGTCGTTGGTGAGATATGAAAAGGTTGGTGTCATCTGGTTGAAGTTCCAGTTGGCGAGGACCCGGGGTGGAACTGTTAAGCCAGGTGACATGTTGGGAGTATTTGGAATATTGTAACATTTGGTGTGCTCCGAGACCCAGATGATGAGGTTAGGGTGTTCCGGTCCCCTGGAACCGCCTGAGCTGTTTCTGTACACCTCCCTGCTGCTGCAGGTCATGAGGAATCAGGGCTCAGTGAGGCTGACGTTGGAAAGCGAGGTCACAGTCGCGCACTGTCACAGGCTTTTATGCTGTTCCTGTGTGGAGGACATTTTAGAAATCAGGGGGAAGGAAACTGCCCCGGGAGAATCAGCACGTTGGACTCCAGCACCTGGAAAGTACTTCTGGTCGCCCTTCCTCTCCGCTGCCATGCTGTGCAGTTCTGCAGTGTACAGGTGGAGGTCAGTGTGAGTTGTGCAGGCAGAAGGGGCTTTGTCGGCCTTGACCTTAAGAAGCACTCCAAGGTCAGATGAGGGCCTGGTGTGTCCCCTGCTGGGAGTGGTGCTGTAGCAATGGCGTGAAAGCTTCTTGAGTGTTTTCTTGTTTACTGTTTATGACACGCTTTATGTAAGATCAGTGCTTCTGTTACTGTTCCATAGGTGGGGAGCATGAGGCATGGAGGTGCTCTGTGCTGTGTCTGAGGCAGGGCAGCTGGGAAGAAGCAGCGATGCACTGAACTCAGGACTTTGATCCCAAGCTCCTTGAGGAGTCTGGTGTGTCCGCTTGCCGTCCCAGTGGGCCTTTTAGGTTCCAGCTTATGCTGGGAGAGGGAGTTCCGAGACTACGCATTGTGCTTGGGTCAGGAATGGTCCACTGCATAATTTCTGTACACACCATAGCACCCTTTCTTTACCTTTTGATGACTTCAGGAGTCCAGTTCCTGACCCCAACAGAGCCAGGGACATCTTGTTGGTGGCTGGGTCTGAATGCAGAAGACGTGTACCACCTGTCCTCCCTATTCATTTGGCAGTGGCTTCACCTTCTTCAGATCGAGTTGGTGGCCTTGATTTAAAGACTTTTAAAACAGTTGCACCCCTGATATGGATCTGGTATCCATGGCAATCACTGAAACTTTTCACTGCTGCACTTGGAAACAAACCGTAGTAAGTCTGTGCGTTGGCGATCAATGACTTCTGCCAACCGAAAGCTCCTTGGACCTTGATTTTGAGTCAAGACCTCATGAATGCCCTGGCCTGGGAAGAGGAAACTCTGTCTCCTTGGACTGAGCGCAGGTCTCTTGGGGGCTTAGATCAACGAGGAACCCCTGAGGACCTAGGCAGAGCCACTGGGCTGTGTGTCCTCTGGCCTGAAACCCAGCATGGCCTGCAGTTATGAGAAAAACAGAGAGACCCATCGCCCCCTGGCCCGACACTGGGCAAGAGCCCCAGCCAGCAGGTCAGCTTGGCCGAGGGAGAATGGAGCTTAAGTAAAACCCCAGCTGGGCTGAGGAGCTTAAGTCTTGCTGCTGGTGAATTATCTGACGGCTTTCTGTCTCCCTGTGTGCCTGCCACTGAGTGGGGTCAGCTTGGGAGCCCCCATCATCACGCTGGTCAGGGTGATCTGGAGTGCCCTGCTTTGTATACCAGGCGGCTTCATGAAGCGTCACGTCCGATGCAGCGTTCTTTGGGGAGGCAGAGGCAGTGTGTGAATGTGCCTCGGAGCATGTGGTGCTGGGGCCTTGGGAATGAGCTGGCGGCAGCTCCTACAGCAGGACGCCGCCCCGCGTCCAGTGCCATCCATGCTTGGGGACTCAGGGACACAGAGACAGTGAGACCTGGGACACGTGGGGGTCTGTGAAGGCAGGGACTTATCTGTTCCCTTCACAGAGGGAGCCGTGATCCCAGGAACAATGTCCGAGACCAGGTGGACACAAAGTAGGTGTTTGTTGAGTGAGCAGAGCTCTCTGCCCTGGAGACTCTCTGCAGAGTTCCTGTGTATCAATCCACTAGTCAGTGAATGAATTCCTTTATTCTACCTGTGTAAGTATCCTGGGGACATTGATTTTGTTTTTTTAAAAACTGAACTGAGGATGTGTTTATTGTAGAAAAGAGCAGGAAAGTGAAAAGAAACACAGTGAGGAGATAATAATGACTTTCGTGTAAGCTTGTACCCTGCATGAGGTGCTGCAAAACTTCTATGTAAATATCCAATGAGATAAAGTGGGAGTGAGCATGAGCTGTGAGTGTGAACAGCTTTGGGTAGCAAATTGCATGGGGTCCTACTGAAGTTTCTTACTCCCTTTTGTTGGACATTGAGATTTCCTTCTTTTCTCTCCCGCTATCTGTCCTGCTCACCTTTCTAGTATACACAGTGGTGTGATGATCTGTAAACTGCTGTGCAATGCACTGTTATTTTCGATATAACTGTTCAGTTCTGTTCTTAGCACAAAGGCAACCATGTACCATTTGGAAACAAATGGCCTGCGGCCTGCGTTCCAATAAACATTTATAGAACTGAAATTAAGATTTCATATAACTTTCACATGTTACCAAATGTTACTCTTCTTTTGATTTTTTTTCCAGTCATTTAAAAATATAGAAACTGGGCCAGTAGCACAGTGCTTGCTTGGCAAGCGTGAGGTCATGAGTTTGATCCCCAGTACCAAAAAAAAAAAAAAAAGTAGAAACCATTCTTAAACTTGTAAGTCCTACAGAAACGTAGTGAGTGAGTGGACCATGAACTGCAGGCTGGGATCGCAGAAGTACTATTCTTGAAGCAGAGTGAAGCCAAATTTTGCAAAAATTTGTAACAATGTGCAGAATGGATGAATCAAAATGAAGAACAGAGATTGGGGTGCGAGTGTATTTATCCTGACTCTTAATGGCTTGACTACATAGTGTTAGTGTCTTTAATTTCTAAAGCATGTTTTATCACATATTTACTCATACAAAAATTTCACATGACATGTAAAGAAGGGAGATCTGCTCTCATGTTGTTTGTCAGTGTTTGACATTTTTTTCAGTCCTCATGTTCAAGGAGGGGCTCGCACATGTGTGAGATCTTTCTGCATAAACAATGTTGGATCCTGCTTTATGTCTCTCAATACTGTATGCTGAGGATTTCGCAGTGTTTTTGAAAATCCTCACGTAAACGGAAACCCTAGTAAGACTACTGCGCAACCATGGAATGGCTTAAGGTAGAAAAGTCGGCAAGGCTGGGGAGAAACACAAACCCTCACGCGTCGCTCGCAGGAATACTGAATAGTGCACCACTCTGGACAACAGTTCGGCAGGTCCTTAAATTAACATGAACAGACCGTGTCGTCTGTAGCTTTGCTTCCAGGTGCTGACTCCCAAGAAATGAAAGCATGTCCACACAACGGACACGTGCGCGTCTGAAGTGCCCTTATTTATAATCGTTTCCAAAGTGGAGGCCAGATGTTCGCCCAAGGAGTGAGCAAACTGTGGCAAATCCTTACAGCAGGTTAGGACTCGGCGAGGGCAGGGAGAGGAAGGCTGCACACATAGGCCTCAGAGGTATGGTGTTCCAGGCAGGAGGGGGACACTGGATGCACACTGTTGGGGTCTACGTGTGCTGTGTTTCTAGAGCAGGCAAGATGTTACAGTTAGAGAGCGAATGGGAGTCTGCTCCCACTGCAGTAGGAAAAGGAATGACTACTAATGATACCAGAAGTTTCGGGGATGAGAGACAAGTTCTTTTTTTCCCCAGTGCATTTTTTAAGAATTAGTGCACATGGGTTACATGGGTCAGTGGGTTTCATTTTGGCAGATTTATACGCACACGTGACACGCTTTAATCACAGTGATCACACTCCTGCGTCGTTGATACTTTTTTCAGTCCTCATGTTCATGGGGCTATAATCAGAGCCCTGGAACTGTACACTAAGTCACCAAGTTGTGAACTGACAATCGAAAGGTACACCTGAGATGGGTGAGGTATGCGAATTACATCTCCATTGCTTCTTAAATGTTTTCTTGGGGCACCGAGTTCTCCCATTGCGTACGGTTTCATTCTTGGTCCTGTGTGATGGGAGGACATACCGTGATTACTTCCTTCAGCCAGAATCCACACAGTAGGTGATGGTTGGATTGAACCAGTCACTCTGGGAGGAACCCCTACTCAGCTCTACCTTCTCCCTGGGAAATTTCAGAGAGGCACAGGAGGCCCTTGGCTGGGGACCAGGGCGAGGGGCAGCGGCCCGCAGTGACCAGCAGCGAGCAGCAGTATCCGAGCCTCTGGCCCTGTCCCCGCCACCTCCCTGCTCTTTCTTGTGCTGCTTGGTTGGAAGTCAGCGAGGACGGTATGTGGGGTTTGGAGGTGGCCTCCTGGTGACAGAGGCGCCTGGAGGGACTGTACTCTGGACACCAGCAGCTCTGCTCCTTAGTCCGCAGTTGCCAGGCTGATGCACCTTCTGGGTGCTTTAGTCTTTGGGACATCATCTGGGTTTTGTGCTTTGAGGTGCAAGGGCTGGGCTTGTGACAGCAAGATGGAGGCTGGAACGCTTTTCCAGCTGAGAGCTGAGAGAGCTTGCTGTGAAATGACAAACCATCCTTCTGCGGGGGGGCCGGAGCCCCGTTCTTGGTTCTTGGCGGGGCTTAGACGGGGTGCGGTGGGATTGGCCCCCAGCTCCCCGCCTTCCCTGTTTCCAGCCCAGTCCTGAGTTTTCCTAGAATACAGCCAGGAGCGCGTGCGCCCGGAGCACACAAAAGGAAAGCTATGCGGGCCCAGCTCATAAATGTTTTTTCCATTAGTCCCAAGCTTCCCGCTCCGCCAATAAACGGCACGCTTTTAAAAATCCTTTATTATTTTGTGAGTTTAAAAAAATCTGCACACTTTTCTCATTTATATATTTGAGATTTCTTTAAAATGTTATTTTTCAAGCATTTATCTGTTTGATACTCCCAAAAGGTAACAGCATTCCTGCTTTGGCATGAAAGAGAGAGAGAGAGAGAGAGAGAGAGAGATAGAGAGAGAGAGAGAGAGAGAGAGAGAGAGAAAGTGCTGGTAATAAACATGCTGTAACTTGAGCCCGCTGGTGGTCTTGGAGGAAGCCCAAATCCAGGTTTGGTTGATACTGTGCTATGTGAATGCAATTAGTAGTGGTTTTCTAAAGTGGAAGGAGATGTAGAAAATAACGCACAGCAAATTTAGGTCAGAGCTGGGAAGCTTATAAACCCTTGCTTTTGTTTTCATTACTTTAAGTAATAGGGAAGCTTTCGTCTTTATTACATAATTTCCCCAGCAAGAACACATTTTCAAGCATCTGTCTGCCGGTTCCATACGCCGGGTCGGGAAGCCGATCCTAATGCCCGTGCCGAGGCGGCTGGCCAGGTCCACACACAGAGATGATGTCTCTGCCCTGGGAGGCCAGTGCCGCCATTGCCCCCCTGCTCTCGGTGGGGTCTGGTTGAGGCGTGAGCTGACCTTTACCTGTGGGCTGCATCCGGATGCACAGGGCCTCGGTCCCACCGCATTGGGACCTCTGTGACCATGTGGAGGTTCCCAGGGCCTGGTGGCTCTGGGTGGAGCACGCTATTCTCTGGTGCACAGTGGGTCTGCAGGAGGCACGTCCTTGCCCTGGCACTGAGAGCTGACTCACCCTGTGGCCGCACCCTCCTCGGGCTCCTCCTTGAGTCTGAACTTGCTGGGCACAAGCCCGCCTCAGCGACTTTGCAGTGACTGTCCTGCTACCTGGGCCCCAGGGGAACGCGGATCACACACCCGGCCAGTCTCTGTTTGGGTGACAGCAGCTCAGCAAGGCCACACAGGGCCCTTTTCCTCTTTCCTTTTTCCACAGTGCCATCCCCAGTGTTGATTTGCCACCTGTACCCCACTGTGGCACGTGAACCCTGTGAGGCCAGGGGCTTCTGTCTGCCCTGGTCCTTGCTGTGAACCTGACAGTTGGGTGAATGATGTTCCCATCCCTGGCCTCATGGAATGGGCTGTGTGGGTACTTCCGTGGATCCTGGGTGTGGTTCCCATTTGCTCTGGAAGAAGACACGTGTGGATCAGATGCAGTGTCCACATGGAAGCTCTCTCTTGTGTCACATGTTATGCAAATGCTTTGTTCACTTATCCATTGCCCAGTCCAGTCTCTCCTGAACAGAGCTTTCTTACGGGACCGGCGTAGAACGGTTTCAGCAAGGGTGCTCAGTGCTGTGCCAGGCGCTGTGCATTGGTGCCAAGGGCAGCCGGGAGGGAACTCCTGGTCTGCATGTGGGGTCAGGGCTCTAGGAGGGCTTCCAGGTTGAAGAGGCCTGGAAGGGAAGGTGGAGGGATAGGATAGGCTTCACCAAGTGCAGGGTGATGCATTCTTGCTCAGAGAGCAATGCCAGCACCCGACTGGAAGGTGGAAGCCACGTGGCGCTGAGGACAGAAGGCAATTTGCTGTCTGACCTCTGATGGTTAGGGAAGTGGCTTGCTGTGCCATCTGGGGACACATCAGAGACAGCACCACAGGCTGTGCTGGGAGCCTGGCTTCAATGCTCGTGGCAGCGGGGAGCTGTGGAGGAAAGGACTCCTGGAAAGCAGTGGTTCTCCCAGACTCCCATTGGGTAGCGGTGGTCTTGGGGAGCGGGCAGGGGCAGGTCTCCTCAGTCAGCCAGGAGCAGGCACTGGAGCCCCAGGAGGGGAGGTGGGGAAAAGAGTCCCAGGGGCTTCTGGAAAGGAGCTGTAGAGGCTCTAAGGAGTCTGCTGGGTCCTGCTGAATTCAACAGATGAGTTTTGGAGAGAGACAGGGAGAGAGAGAGAGAGAAAGAGAGAGAGAGAGAGAGAGAGAGAGAGAGAGAGAGACAGAGAGAGAGACAGACAGACAGAGACAGACAGACAGAGTAGAAGCAGGAACACGATTTCTGCACAGGCAACTAATTATCCGGCAGCACATATCAAAGCCTGAAGCGGGGCTGTGATGCACTAAGGTGCAGGTACTCTCCCCCACCTCAGGCAGGCAGACAGAGCAAGAACAGAGGGGTCGGGAGTCCCATCTGTGTTTCCATCCTCAAGATCCGAGACCCCAGCAGCGCAGCAGCAGTAGGGCGTGAGCGGGCCACAGACCTGGGCCCCTGCTCCCCTGCCTCCGGAGACCCTGCTGCTCTGTGCTTCAGCTTCCTTCTCTGGGAAGCGGATTTCATGCCACGCACCTTTGAGTCTCACTCAGATCCTGTGAGCTCAGCAACAGTCATGTCTGCTGTGGCACTGGTTTTCAAAGTACATGTTTGTGCCAAGCGGTTTGATCCCTCAGGGTTGCATGCATTTTGCATTTACTGGGGGTCATTTTTACCTAAGAGAAACACTCGGAACTATCAGAAAGCACCACTCGGACCCCACCCCAGCTACCCCGAGCCAGGTGTGTGTTCACATCTGGTGAACACCCGCCCGTCTTTTCCCACAGCCCCCTTCCTCTGCTCCCCAACAACCCCACATGGCCACACTTCCCAGCCCCCACTCAGCCAGCAAATCTCAGGTCATTTTCAAGGAAAGCAGCAAGTGGGCTGGAGGTGGGTATTTAAGCACTGACAGCACCGGTTTTCTTTGATGCCTGTCTTTGTTCTAATTTGCTTGGTGCAGCTGGGGCCATTTTCCCACAATTTCTATAGTTTGCGTTGCACAATTTTGTGCCCAGGGTGATATTTTGGGATTTTCTCTGTTATGTTAGAAGAGCCATCTCTAACGCACCTAATGCGATTCCTGGTGGACAACAGAGGTAGCTGTTTCATTATCAATCCAGACCCACTAAGTGGGACTTGGGAGCAATCTCTTTAACTGTGATCATTCACTAAACACTTCATTTAAGCCTTGACTAGCATTGAAATGGAGGCGTAAGTGCAGGGTTTTGGTGCTTTTATCTTTGCTGAGTATCACTTGGCACAAGAGCATTAAGGGGCAGGCCAGGGGATGCGGCTTCCAGCTGTGAGAGGGCTGCACTGGGGAGGAGACTGCTTTGTCTTATAGGGCTTCAGGACCCAGGGGTGCTGCTCAGCTCTAGGAGAAGTCCTGGGTGGTCCCTGGGGAGTGGGGGCTCCCAGCCTGGAGAGCAGGCAGAGAGGGATCCAGCTCAGGTTTAAGGGTCTTTTAAGGGTCTTTTTCTTCTTTTTGCAGTGGCGTGCAAAGACGACTGTGTAAGGCCGACCAGATTATGTTTCAGACAGAAAGAACCAGTGTTTTCCCCAGCAATGCTTGGATGTCTACTTGTCATTTTTCTTAGCGGTTTGAAAGAAGAGTGAGCTCGTGTGTGTATGTGCACACTGATTTCCTTAGTTAGGCCCTCGAGCAGTGAGAATGTGAAAGAGTGAGCTTCACAAGTGTCGCCAGCTGCCTGCAGCGCAGGACAGTGAAATCCCAGCGGGCTCCCCTCCTCCTTCCTTCGTTGGTTGGTTTGCCTCTCTTTCAGCACAGGGCAGTGAGTGTCTGTTGCTGATCTGGCTGAATGTTCCCTGCCAACGCCCTGAGTCGCTTTCGCCCTCTCTAGCCTGACCAGACTGTTAAGCCCTGGTGACTCAGAGCTGTCCCCACTCTCGGGCCACCTCAGTACAACTGAGATGCGTGAGCTCAGAAGTGTGGGCCTTTGAGAGGACTGGTGGGACCTGTGGAAAGGGGGTGTTCTAAGTTTGAAAACAGACAACTTTGGGGGAGAGTTATTGTTGGGCACTCACTATTAATTACAGGGCTTTGTTTCTATATGAATATTTAAGGTTCGAGGTTTGTATTTGATGTCGTTAATAAGAACAGGAGATGTTTCCTGCATATTTGATTTCATTAAACTAACTTCCCTCTAGTCATAGAGGAGCCTTGCTGTATACATTGTGAATCTTAACAACACTACAAAAACCTTAACAAAGTGGAATTTTAAAGAATGTTAGATATCCTGTTCTGAATCTTCCAGAGTGAATGTTACCTTCCCTTCCTTCTATGAGGGTGGCAATTGGAAGACTATGACTGGTACTAGCCTGGGAGTCCTTCTGATCAACCTCCTGCTTCTACTTAATCCATGATGTCCATCGATTCTGTCCTCCGTAAGCCACGGTGCTTCAGACACCGTGGTTCTGTCCACTTTGGTGTTTTTCTCTATTCCTTAGTTTCTCATTATGCAAACAGCTGGGATCCAGAAGCTGGGTTCAAATCTTGGCTCTCTTACCAGCTTTGTGCTGTGTGGCAAGATCTGGGGGCCCTGGTCATTCACTTTAAACATGATGTCAGACACCTCCCACTCCTGGAGCTACTGATAAAACACCATGAAGGGGCTGAGAGGGCACCAGACAGGTCGTGGCCACCGCCCTTGCAGAGCTAGAATCCATGTGACCGTTCCCAGTTGCTTTTGTGAGCAGGTCACTTTGTTTAGCCCCGGTCTCAGAGCAAAAGAATTGCTGTTCCTACTTTGCTTGTGCCTGGTTCTGGCCCAGGCCCAGGGGATTACAGACAGGGGGAAGACAAAGTCTCTGCCTGTAATGGGTTCCAGCTCACTGGTCCATTCCTCTGCAGACTACTGCGTTTTGAAAGGCACCATGTGCAAAAGCTCAAGCCCTGGGGACGAGAACTGAGGTGCCTCAGTCACTAACTGAGTCACAGGTCACCAGGGTGAGCCCAGCTGTCTTAGGGGACGCGGGGTGGATGAGCACACAGGACAGTCCCTGTCCTCCAGATGCCACAGCACAGTCTGCTTTATCTGCATCCGGGCCAACACGTGGAGCAGGGAGCGGCCTGGCTGGTGAAAGGCACTGTCCCCAGCCCAGAGCAGCCCTACCTGGGGTGCCCACAGGCTGCTGGGCACCATTGTGAGAAAATACATGCTGGGCTTTTTCAGCATAGTGCTGTCAGCCTCTGTGTGCGCCGGTGTGGTTCTGATGTAACTCTGTAACACGTATCCCAGCAGCCAGGCTACAGGTGGTTAGCGTTCGCCCACAGAAGGGAGACAAGGGCACAGAGATTGGGTAAAAGGTGAAACCTCGTCTGCCTTTGGAGGTGAATCGCTGAGTCAGCGCCGGCCTGAGTGACGTTGCTTCCTGGGGACAAAGTCATCTTTTTGCACGAAAATCTCGAGACATCATCACCGCCATTCTTAGAACTTGTTTCTCCAAGTCAGTAAGAAAGCTATATTTACAAGCAACAAGTAGGGTCCGTAGGTGCTGGAAGGCCAGCAGAGTGGGACCTCAGTGGGGAGAGGAGTTACTGTCAGAGGGGTCCTGTTCTCTTCTACCCAGTTTCTTAAAATTTCCTCCTCGCTGGGGAATTCTGAGCCGATGAGTATCAGAAGTCGTTGCAGGTGGCTCAAGTGCAGAACCTGAGCTCCAGGACCCTAAAAGGGAAAGAAGGGTGGGCATGATAGATTCTCCTTTACCTCACGGCTCTGTGTAGAATCTGTACTTTTGACATGGCTGCAATCCATAGTTAAATTCCTAGAGCCCCGATTCCTTACTCACAGAGCTTAAAATTGAGAAGGCGATAGACAGCACCCCAGCTCTTCTGTGACCACGAGTGCTGACTTTGCACCTTTGCAGGGCAACTCTCCCCCACCCCCATGAATTCCAGTTTATTTTGTTGAGGATGCACTGGCCACTGGGCTGATGTTGCTAAGGGCTCGGAGCCCTGTCGCCGAAGGAAGCGGGTATGAGTACGCTTGGGGTTCACGTCAGCCAGCACTGAGACTTTGGAGACCTGACTTTGGTGAGTGGTGGGGGCACGCTGGTGCTGTGACCACGTTACATACTCACTGGTTTCTCTGTTCCATTCAGGGCTTTGGGGTTCAAACTGTGCTTCTAGGGTGCATGTGAGTAACTTTTACTCAAACAAATAGGCAGTTGGTTGGATTAGGGTTAGGGTTGGGGAGAGACGCAGTTGGGCCTGACAGGAAGGCCTGACTGGAATAGACGTGGCCCTTCTGTCTGACCTCACATCCATGCGTCCACCAATCTGTCTGTGTATCTGTGTATCTGTGTTCCAAGCATTTGGAAAGGAAGGAGGCTCCATGAAGGCTCCATGGTACGGGGAGCAGCACCCTGGGCCTCTCAAATGCAGGACCGTGCAGGACTCGAGAAAGGCTGATGCTTCCAGAAAGGGCAGGGAGAGGACGTCTGGAGATGGTACAAATGTCCTGCCTTCTGGCCTCCCTCTTCTGCCTGTTACCTCTGCTTTTTAAATCAGTTTGTGGTCCTTGGAAGGTGACAGTGATGTGCACCAAAGACAACTGAGGAAGTGGCAGACCCTGAGAGGTCAGAACTGTTGCACCTCGGCTTGTCTCAAGTGATAATCACTTGATACTTCACTCAGGATCTTGTTTTACTTTGTGAGTATTGTTTTTCTTTTTTTAAAATGCAATACATGTGACCACCTTACATACACTATTTTGTATCTGGGTTTTTTCACCGTACTCGTCAGAGCCTGTGTTTGTACGATGTCACACAGAGCAGCCGCAGCCTACCTAGGTTTATTTGGTTGGATGTTTAGGGGATTTTGCCTCCACTGTCTTTGAAGATTAAAGGAAACAAAACAGAGTTTTTTTGGTGCTGAGGAAAATAAACTTAATCGAAGTCCACATGGGCAACACGGTGGCTCATCGGTTTGTTAGGTTATTTATGTGGAAAAAGAAGACCAAGACCCCCAGGACTCGGCATCCCAGAGGAGCAGATATAGAAATGAAGCCCAGTGTTTGGGAGCAGCCTGCAGCCTGGGGAGAGGGAAGAGTGGGGAGAGGGAGCAGTTTTATCCTGGGATGCTGCTGGGCCTGAGCTGTGCTGAGTCCCTTCCATCTCGGGCAGTGTGATTTTGCCATGTGCCATGGGGTGCCCATGGGGCATCGGGCTTCACATTGTCTTGGTCAGCCTTCAGCATGGGTAGAACAGGCTCCTTGCCAGCTCGGAAAGTACCCAGTGTGTTCTAAGATCTTTACGAATAGTCTTCCAGAGCCTGGTACAGTGCTTGTGGCTGTGAGTGGAAATCAGATGCTTGCAAAGATTCCTGTTCTCTTCTTATGAAAGCGTGTCATAAAATCCATCGTTGGCTCCCGGAAGAGGGTGCTTGCCAGCATGGGACTCTGGAACAGACAGCCTGGGCTTCTTTCTGCTCCATCACTGTCTGCTGCGAGACCATGAGACTTTTCATCAGGAAAATGGGAACACTACTAGTTGCTCATGAGTCAGTCAGAGAATTTAAATAAGTTAAAATTTAACTCGGGTGATGTTAACTGTCACTGTTTCCACCAGCTGGTAAAATTCTGAGTTTCTCATACTTTGAGTCCCTTCGGTGACTTGTGGAGTAGTCCACGCTTCCCTCAGCGAGTGGCGTTTTACAAGTGGTGCTGCCCATCGGGCTTAGGGCGATGCCAGCTGTAGCTCCAGGTGGCGGTGCGTGCTCGGTGCCGCGCTGCCAGACCGTGAGCTGTGTGTTTCTCACCGATCTCTCTGTGCAGATGAGGAAGCCAGGTTGATGGATGTTCAGTAAGTTTCTCAAGGATCTGAAACTGCTAAACATGGATCTGGGAGCTGAATCCGAGCTGGCATATTTGCCATGAGTTGGATTTGGAAATTCTTTTAAGGAAGGAAACTTCTGTTTTTAGAGCCCTTGCAGCTTCTATTACAGTTCCTTGAACACAGTGGGCTCAGTAAGTTTGCTCATTTGTGTGTGTGTGTTTGCTTTGTAGTTTATATATTTATTTTTTGGTTCTGGGGATCGAACTCAGGACCTTGCACTTGCCAGGCAGGCGCTTATGCCATTGAGCTAAATCCCTGGCCCTTGCTGTTTTATTCTGTTGAATGAATAAAGTCGGTGAACTGGCGGGAGGGAGAACGTGAACCTTTTCTCCAGGAAGAAAATCTATGGAGTTGCTTTTAAAGGGCCGTGAGATCACACGTCTTGGAGTTTGCTCTGCTGCTGTATTGCACAGGAGAGAACAATACATCTATGATTCTCTGCATGTGAAGCTGGCTCTATTTCCTGTGTATCAAATTCACAGACCTTGTGCTCAGAACCCCGATTAGAGAAACCTGGATTAGCATTACTCGGACCATGGCCAAAGCGTCTTTAACTGAAGGCCGTTCAGCCAGGTCTAGGTCTGCTTTCAGCCTTTTGTTCAGGGGCCATGTATTTAGTATCTGCACAGTGCTAAGCCCTCCGCTAGCCAGTGAGGACTGATGGTTCTTTGGGCCACTCTGCCTGGGTCTCACCGAGGGGCCCACAGACTTATCACGAGTTGGACGGAGAGGACTTTCACTCACTCTCGTTTCGGGTGCCTTATTCCTGTATCCGCGTCTTTAACCTCACGCCTCTTCTAGGTCTTTGCCCAGCTCTGTGCTGCTCACCTGTGGCAGTCGCAGGTCGCCCTACTGAACTTAGCACCCCATTCCCAGCAGCCGCACAAGGCACCGTTACCTAGACCCCACCGCAGAGGGGACACCCGTCCTTGCCTTCGCTTTTGCCCCATCCAAAGTGTCAGGTGGTGTCCCCCAAATCCCGCTTCTCACCTTGCCAGTCTCCAGCCCTGCCGGGCTTCTTTCTAAACACTGTCAGCCGGGAAGGATTCACCACTTCACTGCGTGGTCGCAAAGTCCGCAGCCCGCCACTGTGTCACGGATGCAAAGAGATCAGTGGCTTCTTTGCTGGGGCAGCGGCTGGAGTGCCAGTTGCCTTTGCTTCTCAGAGGCGCTGTTTCAGTGGGTATCAGGAAGGGAGACAGGTGAGGCCTCAGTACACCGGGCTGCAGCAGTAGAGCCCTGGGCTTCAGGGCCCAGATGCACTCTGCCTTGGACGCAGCTCACCTGCTCTCCCCACACCACAGGGGAGACTGTCCCCTCCAAGGCTGTTGGCACCCCAGCATCTCTGCTCGCTCCCGGCTGTGTGGAAACCAGCGACCAGGGAGGCCTGCCTCCCAACAGCGCATCCTGGCTGTTCCCACTGTGCCACCCTTAGCTCCCTGCCCAGTGTCACTGGAACGTGGTGATGTGGGTTTCCCTAACTCTGTGTGGGTCTCTTGGTCTCCAGCTCCTTCCCCAGGCCTCACTGGGGTGGATCAAAGTCTCCTGAGGCCTTTCCACCATCATTGTGGAGGGAAACTCCTCCATCTGCACAGACTCATCAACCTGCTGCATCCAGACCATGGAGTGACCCTCTGAGTCACTTCCGCTCCACCCGAGCCTCCACTCATGCAAGGATAAATACAACAGCCCCATCCTCATGAAACTGACACTCCGGCAGTGATAACAGACTGACTAACAGACACCCACAGCTCCAGAGCTGAGTGGTGAATGCTACATCAAAGACGTCAGGTCTTCCATCTTGGCGCCCACCATGAGAGCTGGCCACATGGGGTTCTGCTTCTCATTCTGTTTCCCTTCCCCCAGGGGCAGTGCCTTTGCTGTGACCACATTGTCTTCTTGGACTCTAAAGTCCTCCTGTCCCTCTCTCTGGTTCAAGTGGTTAGATGCCTTCCCTTTCTACTGTCAGCCATGGAGCTGTGGGTGTCTGTTAGCCAGTCTGTTATTGTTGCCAGAGTCAGTTTCATGGGGACCGGGCTGTCATGTTTATCTCTGCATCACTGCCTTCCGCTTGTTTTAAAAAATGTCAAATGCGTTAGTGAAAGAGTCAGAGGTGTTTGTGGTCTGCCGGATGCTTGGCCTGGGGTTGAGTGGCAGAGGCGCTTGGGAGCAGGGAAGATAATCCGGGTTCATGCTGGGGCCCAGGGTGAAAATCAGGCTCCGGGAACCCGGTGCAGGCCGGCTGCTTGTCGAGTGGCCCATGTGGCATGGAAGCCGGTTTAAAGTTATCTCTGCACGGAATAAAGCCGTTCATTCTCTGGGACCCTCAGGGTTCCCCCGCTGAAAGAAGCTTTTGCTGACGGGAGGTCATGCAGTCTGCCTGCCCGGTGGATTTTCAGTTCCCGGGAGCACAATGCCCTCTCTGTTACCTGGTGGAGCGGCAGAATGGAGCTTCTTTTTAATTAAATTGTCTTTGCAACAAAGATGACTTTGTCCCTCCTCTGAGCATCCCGTCCCTGGTCCTGGCTGGGCATCCTCCTGGCTGCTGCCCTGCGGGTGCCCCGGCCCTGGGCACGACGGTTCCATGTGAGCATGGTCGGTTCCTGTGGTTCCAGCACGCGGCGATCTGGGAATTTGTACTTCCATCGAAGTGCGCAGGGCTGCGTGAGGGAGAGCCCTGACCAGGGCCTCGGCTTCCCTGCTGCAGCGGCCGCACCTCACACAGCAGTACATTTTTGATGGTTTTTGATGTACCTTTTTATTTTCAGCAGCACTAGAGACTGAACCCACGGCCTGTGCAGTGAACTGCATTTCCAGCCCTGTTGAAAAGCATTTTATCCTGAGACAGGGTCTTGCTAAGTCTCCAAATTGCCCAGGCTGGACTTGAACTTGGAATCCTCCTGCCTCAGCCTCCCAGAATGCTAGAATAACAGGTGTATGCTGTGCTTTCCAGCTTTATGTACCATTTTCACTATACTTTGAGCTACTGAGCATTAAACACAGGGCCTCATAATAGGCGACATTCCTAGCCTTTAATATTTTCTTTTTTAAATTTTGAAATAGGGTCTCACTAGCACTAAGATGCCCACATTGGGCTCAGGGTTCAGTCCTGCCGCCTCAGGCTCCCAGTGTGCTAAGCATTTTTTAAAAATTACTTTCAAAATAAGAAAGTAAAAAATGAACATGAAAAATAAAAGCAAAAATAAAAAGTAAAAAGTTTTTTACTTTAATTAAATATATTTTTTTACTTTAACAAGTAAAAAATAAATAAGTTTGCACATGTTTAGATATATGTTTACATATATAATGTTTGCACATACATCACATGTACATATAATATCCATGCACGTGCATTTTAACTCTTGGAGAATGCTAGTACATGGGAACTTGGACATAAGCTTGGTAATGATAACCGCTGTTAGCATCTAGAGTGCGTCTCTGTAGTTGCTTTCTTTCCCTTTGTGTTTCTGGCTCTTTGTCTCTCTCGACATAAAGGGTGCTCTCCTGTCACTCTCCTGGCAGTATGCTGCCCCCTTCAATGGTAAGAGATACTGTTTTTTGTGAGACACTGTTTCTGGTGATTCAGGCTGGCCTTTAACTCACTGTGTACCCCAAATTGGCCTCAAACTTGCAGAGATCCTCCTGCCTTAGCTTCCTGAGTGCTGGGATTACAGCTGTGTACCACCTTGCCTGGCAGGAGACATTAAAAGTGACACTACAGAAGAGTTTCTTGTATGTTGCTGCTTCAGTGCAGTGCCGACTTGCCTTGCCTGTGCCCTCTGACCTGTGCCCTCTGACCTGTGCCCTCCAACCTGTCATGCCCTCGTCTGGGTACCTGCTCCCTTCTTCTTAGTGAGTCCAGTTTTGGGTAGTGTTCGTAGTGTCTCAGATGCTTGTGCTGTTGTGTGCCCTGGAAAGGTCTCTCCTGATATCCGGGTGCTGGCACTGTCCATCCCATGGGGGGGGGGGTGGTCTGGTGTGGATCGGGTAGGGAAGGAAGCCAGGAAGCCAGGCCAGGTGACCTCCAGGGAGGCCGAGGGCGTGGTCTTCCTGCCACTGCTGTGGCTCTGGCCCTCAACCCCCCTGGGGACCAGGTGGTCTTCCCGTTGAATCTTTCTCAACTGCACCACTGGACACCAGGGCTTGCTCCAAGGCTGCATGCAGGTTCTGTGTCCCCCTAAGTTCCCTGTCCTGTGGGCACCCTGCGGAAGGCGCCCCACCCCCACCTTTGTGTGAGGTTTGAGTGGCCCAGAGAAATCTCCACCTGTGTCCTGCAGGCTATGCTGGGGCTGAGGTGGGGCCGTTCACAGAGGAAGCGCTTGCTCTCCTCATTATTTGGCAAGGACAGGGCCACTGGGAGGGGCAGAAAGGTCCTGCTCTCCCCCAGGTGGGGTCGCAGACCTGGGGCTTCCTTCATGCCTGCTGTCCTGTGGGGTCCTGGCCCGTGGTGGCTGCTTTGTCTTCAGCCCCCTCGCCGAGGGACACAGGTGCTGCTCCCAAGCTCATGACATGGGCTTTGCCTCTGAGGTGAAGACAGGGCATGGGGAGCCCTGGGGAGGGAGGCACATTTCCTATGCTCTGCAGTATCCCTGAGGAACTCCTACTCATCCTTCAACGCCCGTGCGGTCCATCCCAGCAGCATGCTCTGCTTTCTCCAGGCAGGAGTCCGTGGACTGGCGTGGGAGAGAGACCAGGCTTTTCTTTCTGAGGTTCCTGAGGCCAGGTCAGACAGGAGCAGGATTTGGGCAGAGGATTTGGATGGGGCACAGTGATGTCCATCTGCCCCAGGAGGCCGAGATCTGCTGAGTTCTCCTTGCTTGGAGGACACCTTAGCATGGGAGCGCCTTGAGAATCTGAGCCTTCGTGTGGAGATTAAAGAAACCGAGGGCTGAAGCCAGGGTGGCAGGGAACCCGTGCTGCTCTCAGGTACCGCAGGCTGAAGTTCCCATGGCGCCATGCGTGGTGAGACTGTGCTGTGACAGGAGCGGACCCCATCCTGTGGACAGTCAGTGAGGGCTCCCTGAGGGAAGCAGCCAGCACCCTCTAGGAGAGGTGCTCCTGAGGCCTCTCGGGATTAACATTGAAGCTGGGGACAGGCCCGAAGGTATCATGCCAGGTGGCCTTCAGGGCTGATTCTGGGCCCTGGCTGCTCTGATGAGATGGTCACCAGCCGTTTTCTGTGCCTAGTCAAGTTGTCACTGTGTCTCTCAGCCTTGGGATCTGTGTTTATGGCTATGATTCTGACCCAGCCTGGCCACCTTACTGATAGAAGGGCGGGCAGGAAGGAGACAGTGTCCGATCTCTAAGGGCCACGTCCCCAGCTGTCCTCCAGATGAGGATGGCACATGGTGGCAGAGGTCCGTTCCACCCAGGACACTCGATGTGAGTCCTGTTACACTTCTTTGCCTCTGCCTCTGGCAGCCTGTACCCACTCTGTGGGGAACAAATTTTAAAGGAAGCTTCAAGATTCTTTTTTGGGGGGTACCAGGAATGGAGCACAGGACTTGGTGTTTAGCAGGCAGGCACTGTGCCACTGAGCTGTATCCCCTCCCAGCTCTGGATTCCTCTTAAAGGAAAGAAATACCTTAATAACATAAAGAGGAAACTGAAAAGTGCCCCCTTCGCTTGAGGTAAGGAGGCCTGTGATACTTTGTGAAATTACTCTTTGTTTGAACGATGTCAAGCCGATTTTGTGGATTTAGGTCCTAAATCCTAGGTGTGTCAGTGTGTCATGCATCTCCCTGCTTTGTTCCCTCTAAGCTCACTTAGAGTTTTTGTGAAAGACGGGGCGTGGCCCAGCGGCCTGGCTCCTCATGTGTGTTGGGAGCTCAAATCTTGAGGGTCTCTGGGCCGCATGCTTGTGCTGTTTCCTGGCATTTAGGGGACAACGTGGGGTGACCTGCGTTTATAAAGGTTGGTTTCTCAGAACCCTAAATGGGCCGAGAGAAGCTGGGGCAGCTCCCCGTAGAGTCAGAAGGGCTCTGTGATCTGCTTAGTGATCCCAGGACATTGTATTTGCATCTCAGCCAGGGACAGAGTCCTGCAGTTGGTTATGGCAGTGATGCTCCTTCTTCTTTTTTTTTTTTTTTCATTTTCTTTTTTGTCTTTTTCGTTTTTATCGGTACCAGGGATGGAACTCACGACTGCCTGCTTGCAAGGCAGGTGCTTATGCCGCTGAGCTAAATCCCCAGCCCCTAGTGATGCTCCTTCTGATGACTAGCATTACACCGGCTCTGAAATGCAGGGACAAACACGGTTTTACAGCCAGAAAGAGATGTGAAAGGCTGCTCTGCCCATGTTTTGCAGTCTTCTCCACTGACCATGCCTTTTAGGGGAGGTCTCCTTGGACCCACACTTGGAGATCATTGAAATGTGACGTTCTTAGCAAAAATAGCTCCTTTCCCCACTTTCTTAGTCAAAGGCATGGATGACCGCGGTTCATTAGTTCGTCAGTGTATTTGGTCAGTGTCCCGTCCAGTTTGGTTTTGCCCCTGCTCTGCTGGGGACGGGGTCGGAGGTGTGTGACAGCCGCCTGGCACCGTGTTAAAATCGCCAGTGCTGCAGCTAGATCGGTTATCCAGGGCATTTTGCCTGGAGGCCTTGAGAGCTACTTTCCTTTTTAAAGTTTTAAATAATTTAGGCACTGTGTGGAAATACAGGCATACAAAAATGACAAAACCTTTCTTAGAGACAAATATTTTGCGGTATTTTCTCCAGATTTGTTTTTTGAAGAAGAAAGCATGGCCACGGGGCAGCTGTTCCCTTGTGAGCGCATTGCACACGCAGAGGTCTCTGTCCCTTCTGGCTTTTCCAGTACCTAGACGATGCCGCCCTGCACGGGTTGCCCCCTGATGGGGAAGGTTGGGCTTCTGGTGAGCTGTCACCCTCATGGGAGCCCCCTGGGGCCTGATGGGTTTGCTGGGCCTCCGTCAAACACCGAGTGTGTGAGGTGCGTGTGTAAGGAAAGAGCCGTGTGAGGCAGGCATGCGGGGCTGGCGGGGCCTCTGTCCTGACACTGGGGAGAGCCGGCCGCGGGTGCAGGGATCCGACCTTCTCTTGTAGCTTGCATGCTTCCATAGTCAGACAAGCGCCTTCCTCCCCCTCTCCCAGCTGCTGACGCTGCTCCCTGTTTCCACATTCCGTGATTCCGAACAGCAGTGCGCTTTGGTGCAATAAGAGGTCGTGAACGACTAATCCTCACTTTGTCTTGAAAACAGGAGTTAAATGCAAGGGCCACCGCCACTGAGAGGAGAACAGGTACAAACATGTACAGAAAATCCCCTTTGGAATTGCCACCAGTGTTAAGGGATGTGGACAAAATGACCGTGTCCCTCGCGTGAGAAGAGGACAGGAGGAGACCAAGGTGCAGGCCGTGCTGATTATCTTCTGTGTTTTGGTTCTGTTTCCCAATTTCTTTAATGGCTATGTAGTAGAATTCTCAAAATCAAATAACAGGCTCATACAAACAATTCTAAGCTCATTGGCAGAGCAAAGAGAGCGTGATTTATGCAGAACACGTGTAGGGGAAGATGCGGTCCTTAGGCCATGCCTATGCGTGGCCAGTGCAGGGACGAGGATGGTGCGAGCTCCTTTCCGTGTGGCCAGGAAAGGCATCAGGAAAGAGGAAGTGGCAAAGCTGAGGGTGGGACAGCTTGTATCTCCTTGGGTTGAGTGACCAGGAAGGAGGCACAGAGCCAGCTAGAGCTGTAACTGTCAGGACGCACAGGGCATCCTAGAGGGGACCATCGGAAGTGATCCTGACACTGATCGAGTGTTTGCTGTTGGTGCTGGGCCACTCTGGGGTGGGGAATCTGTGCTGGCTGATAGCCGAGGGGAGCCACAGGGAAGGTAGGAAGCCCACCAGATTCCCCAGACCCTCGCCGCGCAGGGCCCCACATCCTCTTTTCCGGAGTGCCGAGTACCATGCTACATCTGTTGCCACCCTTGTTCCTCCACCCTCCTTCGAGGGCCAGCCCTGCAGGTGGCCAGAGTGGTTCCCCGTCCTTGTCCCTGCCTCCTCCACCCACCCCCCTTGGCCTGTTGTTCCTGAGAAGTGCGGAGAGGTGTTTTGTTCACAGACGCCTTGGGAGATTTCATGGTTTGTAGACGCATGCTGAGTTTGTCCAGATGTGCCAATATTTGTCTTCTACGATCTAAATTAATTGTCTAGGAGAACTAGAAACCTTTGCAGGCTCTTACTCACTAATGCAAACCAGTTCCTTGGGGTACTGATGGCAGGGAAAAGAATTAAAAATGAACCAGATTGCTTGTGCCGGGGGAGTGAGGCTGTTGACTTCACGTTCTGCTTTTGGGGCAGATCTGCAGCCTGACAGGGCGGATTACCACACTCGTCAGCCTCGGAAACCCAGGATGACACTTGTAACGGAGCCCGGCTTTGGGGGAGGACTTTGCTGAAGCAGTGATGTGCGCCCTGTGCTGGCCTTGAGTGAGAGCTGCTCTTGCTGGCCTCGGTGGCCCTTCACCAGCAGACGACGTTTCTCTTTCAGACCTCAAGGTGACATGACGGTCCCCGTAAATAGAGCTCGAGTGTGTGGAAAGGGGCAGGCTCCCTGGAGGGCATGCATGGGAATGGAGTATAATGTCAGTGCCTGAGTGGTGCGGTGGACCTTCAGGACAGCCACGATCACAACAGCCCTCCCCCATCAGTGGTACCAGGTTCAGGGACAGGACTGCCACAGTGCTCCAGGGTCATGCCTGATGCCTGCTTTGCATCTGCTGTCTCAGAGAAATCTTGAAACTTGGGAAGTGGGTCCTGCTGTTGGCACCGTGCAACAGAGACAACGGGGTCTTGGGAGTGGTCGCCACTGCGGTACAGAGGAGCTCAGGGCGACTCCCGCTTTGCTCCTGACCTGCGCTTCTTCCCCGACAAACAGGATCAGGAAGCAAACATTAAACAGTGCCTCAGGGTGGGTCAAGGAGTCCTCCATTGTAAATGTGACACCAGTGAGGATTTTCCAGGATGAGTTCTCTTAGGTGACAGAGTCATTCTTAGCAAAAGTGTTCCACCAAGACTCCGAGGAGAGAGTATTCAATTACACCCCAGACTCCCCTTCCCACGTCACCCACATTTCCGCTCTGAGAGCTGGAAGAAGAGGATGTGACCTGCTGTCAGGACGGCTGCTTTCTGAGCGTGGGGGACAGGAGCTTTACTCCTGGTCCATGCTCTGCTCTCCCTGGGTCCCCGCATTACCCCTTGTAAGCTGTGGACATTGGTGCCAGGTGCGGCGGACACGCTTCTAATCCCTGCTCTCTGGGAGGATTGGATGTTTGAGCCTGGCCTAGTCAACTCCGGGCTTTAGCAAGACCCTGTCTCAAAATGAAAATACAAACCAACTGAGGACATACATAGGTTGATGCAAAGGCCCTGGGTTCAGTCTCAAGGACGGCAAAACAATGCGGGCAGCTGACTCTGCTGATGAAGCCTCTTTCCAGCTTTCCGTAATGCGTGTGCCGGCTGCTAGTTTCAGGAAAAGGAATTTTCCTAATGAAAACGCCTGATGCCAGCCTCTCCCTTTCACTTTTCTCTTCAAAGTGGCTTTGGTCTAGGAATCCACGATACCCCATGAGCACCTGTGCTCGATGCCCTTGTCAGGACTTCCCTGTGTCTCGGCACAGTGGCGTGGTGGCCTGGTGGCTCCCCGCAGCTGAGATCTCCTGTCCCGGTCGTGTGTTACCGAGTTGAAATCGAGAGGGAAACTTGCATGGCGTCCGGCTTTGTTCCATGGCGTAGACCTGTCCACTTACTTTCTATGGCCTCCCTTTGTTCTGAGACGGCTTTGTCTCCTGTGTTTCTGCGCTGTTTGCTTTCCTTAGAGGAGCGGATGCCTCCTTCTTCCACGCTCTGACATAGTCCCTTCGCATGGTCTGGCAGGGTGACCAAAGGACATTGCTGCTTTTTTCCTCTGGAATATAAACAGGCACAGGCAGAAGTCTCTCTGAGCTTAGACAGTGTCTGGCGCATTAATGCTGCTGGATGCATGGTGAAAAAGTGGAGACGAAGGAAAAAACCTGTTTCTAAATACACACAATTAAACCACAGCGGGGAGACTTGAAAATATCCCTTTCTGAAACAGGCAGTTTAACCGTCTCCTCTGTGATCTTCCTTAACCTGACCCCACTCACCTGCGGGTATTTTCTCCTCTGCTCTAAGCAGTCTTGTGTTTGATTTGTTTGGGAATTGGTTATGTTTTGCCTCCGGATACTTTTTTCTGTTCTTATAAAACATTTGTTCTGTGACTTCATCTTTCTGTTGTAATTTGTTTTCCCCTCAAGGTTGTAAATCCTTTGGGGCTTGGGGTGACTGTAAACATACATATGTAATATTTATTCTCTGCTTTCCTTTGGGGGTCCCAAGTAAGATGTATATTAGGCCACTTGAAGTTGTCCCTCAAATCAGTGGTGCTCTGCTGATTCTGAAAATTCTCTTTTTTCCACTTCATTGCATTTTGGACAGTTTGGGTTTTATATTTTCGGCTTTACTGACCTTTATCTTCTGCAATGTCTGATTTGATGTCAGTGCTATCCACTGTATTTCGCACTGTATATTTCATTTCCAGAAGTTCGATTTGGGTTCTTTTTGTCTTTATTTGTCTCCACTGATTTCCAATCGTGGGGGCTAGAGTTGTAATACCTGTTTTCGTGTTCTCATGTGCGAATTCTAATGTCTGTGTCAGACCTGATTTTCTTTCCTCACCATATTTTCCTGATATTTGCATGCCTTGGTAGTTTCTGATTGGATTCTTGACTTTGTGGATTTTATCTGGATGGGCGCTGATATGTTTTATATCCCTACGAGTCTTTTTGAACTCTGTCCTGGGGTGCAGTTAAGTGATTCCAAAGCAGTTTGGCCCTGTGGGGTCTTGGCCGGGAGATGTGTTAGGCAGGCCCGGGACAGCAGTGCTTAGCTTAGAGCTCACTGCTCCCGGGCCTGGGGACGGTGCTTTTCCAGTCTGGAACCTCCTGCCGCACACTTCTTTCCCGTCCTCGAGGGATGCAGACCCTCACTTCTTTGGCCTTTCTGGCTCTCAGCTTCACTTCCTCGACTTGGGTTCTCTAGGCTCTGCTTGGGCTTGTGCTGCCTCGGGACTCCAACCTGGAAACCCAGAACTCCCGGTAGAACGCCCTTCTGTGTCCACCTCTCTCAGAGTCTGGCCTTCATTGTCTGTCTCAGCAGTTTCACTGTCTCTCCAGCCCGGCCGGAAGTGGAAGTGAGCCCTTTCTTCTCTCTCTGTGGGATTATCTTCCACCTCCGGAGTCTAAACCCTGCCGTCCCTGCCTCCACAGGGCTGGCTGAGGACCAACCCTGCGCTGATGACAGCCCAGGTCTCACCCCTTCTTTTCCTGTTAGTTTTTATTTCTTTGAAGGCAGGGATGTCTTTTATCCCTGGATTTCTAACTCTAACAGTTACGCACAAAGTATTTGTTGGATCGATGGATGAACTGACAAATAGGACCCAGGTGTCAGTTTACCTCAGCTTCCAGGGACACTGGTCTTGCATACGCTACTGAAATTTCTTTTAAATTTCAAGAAAGTCTGTTGCTTTTGATGACTTGGGCATAGTTTTCACCTATTTTTTGTCACCTCTTACTGGGAGGTGTTTGATAAAAGCCATCTCAGTGGTGCTGAAACAGCATGTGGGGGACAGAGGACAGATGAAGCTTGGCTCTAGGGCCATGTACCTCTCGGGGGCCCAGGTTTGGGGTCTCTGCTGCTCAGGCTTGCAGGGAGCAGTCCTTATCTTGAGTGCCTTTTCCATGTGGGATAGCGTTTATCCAAGTACGCTGTGACTTGTCCACAAATAGCTGTGAGTCTGTGCGCACTTATCAACGGGGCACTGGACCATGGCCGTGGTCACTGGGCCGTGACCCAGTGCAAGTTCATACTATATTTGGTCTGCAAGGCTGGGTAGTGTGAGCCATGTTTGGTCAGCCTCTTGGGACCATCTCGCTCCATTTCCTCAGCAGCTCGTGGTCACCAGAGGTGACGGTGGAGCCCCATCTCTGAGTCCCCGTCCCGCTCAGCTGGCATGAGGAAGTGGCTTAGGGTATGAAGTGATGCGTACTATTGCCGCATTGCTGTTCTGTCCACACAGGAGCCATCCAGCCTCCCGCCATGCTGACTTCCTGGGAGAGCAGCGTCTCTTGGGCTGAGTGGTTCTGAGGGCGCCACGTGAAAGTCCTGTGGAGTTACTGTGTCTGCATTTCTTAGCATTTCCTTTAGCACAGATGCTTATTTTCCTGAAATGGTATTTTCTAGACTTAAAATACTTTCCTTACTTTTTCTTTCCCTCCCTCCCCCCCTTACCCCCTCCCCTTGCTATTCCCCTCCCTCCTGCCTCCTCCCCAGCCCCTTCTTTTCAGGGTATCTATTTAGATATTTAAAACCATCACGCTGCCCCCTTCCTCTCCCTGGTCCTGGCCCCACTCAGGATGACTTTAATAACAGGAGTACTGCGCTCTCGAAGCTTCTCCTCCCGAGTCTCTGACATGGATTAGACCCTGGCCTGGTGTAGAAGTGAAGACGGAATGTATTTTGCATATTTTCCCAGAATGACACAGTGATTCCGTGGCTAAACCAAGATTAGACCCTGCTACTTTAAACCCTGATTTTTTGCTTCAAGGGTAAACTGTGTTGCCTCCCAAATTGCTAATCGAGTTTAGCTTTTAGGCGTGCTTTTTGCGATGACAGTGTTTTTCCTGCTGTCTGGTTTCGACCGGGACGTGTTCCTCACTGGTCTGCTCAGCGGCCCCGGCCCTAGGTGTCCTGCTGCTGTCTTGGGTGTGTTGAGATGGTTGTTCTCTTTGCCCTGTCGTTTATGATTCTTCTGATCCTGATTGTGAGACTATAAGTTGTGGCAGCTCCTGCTACTCCATAATGTGTGGCCAGGCCACTCAGCTGTGTGGTAGAGCACTTGCCTGGCAGGCACGAGGCTCTGGGTTCAAATCCCAGCACTGCAAAAGAAAATAACTATAAATCTGAGATTGTGCGACTGAATAACTCAATACACCTTCCTCATCACTGGCTCCGTGTCTCCTGGTTAAGTGTGTGCAGCGATGTGAGATGAGTCGACTGGATCTGTCACACGGTGTACATCGGGCCCCTTGTGCCCTTCAGAGACAGTGCCATCTGGGGTGTGGGTGCTGGCCCAGCCATGAAGTGTAGGGTGGCTGCCAAGCCCCAGGTGGGTCTGCCTGGGCCTCCTTGCTCTTGTGTCAGATCTCCAGCACATGCCCTGAGTGAGGAGTTGAGATGGTCATTTTCTGTTCTCCAGGGGTTTTGGTGTTGAGTGCACTTCAAACCGTTTTTAGTTTTTAGTCCATGCTGCAGTGCATCATGGGGAGCTGGTCCATGTGCATCCTGTCCTCAGCTCTTTTCATGTCCCCTTCCCTCCCTGCATCACTTGCTCCCCTTCCCATCTGCTGAAAACCTGGAGGGGGCATGATGTTGCCCCAACCCTGGTGACCCTGGCTCCCAGGAGCTGTGGAGGAGGGGGAGCCCCGGTGGTGCAGCTCGGGTGCTCTGGGAAGGACAGAGCAGCTCCAGCTGCATCCCACAAAGCCAGTGGCTGTGATGGTGACTTTGGTTAAATCTCACCAGCCACCTGTGGGTGCTGTTCAGGCCTGGGCATGCAGAGTTGGGTCAGGCTTGAAGCCGTGGCCCCGACGGGGTAGGTTGCCGGCCAATGTCATGGGAAGTGGGACAGACTGTGTGGCACTCTAGGCCCAACCAGGAGGCTGAGGCAGGAGGAGGAACACAGGCTTCTCCCTGGGTGGAGGTGTTTGAATTCCCAGCTGTGCCTGTGACAGCTCTGAGCTGCATTTCTTTAAGTGGAGGACTGCAGGGTGGCTGCCAGGTCACATGGGCTGCATCCTGGACGCAGGGCTTCACACGGGTGATTGCATGGGATCTCTCAAACAGCCCTATGAGGCATACCTCATTCCCATCTGCCAACAGTGACAGATGAGGGTCCTGGGCACAGAAGGCTTGGGAACCGGGCCAAAGCAGCAGAGCTTGGAGCTGCCCTGGGCTTGCAGAGCCAGGTCCTGAATCCAAGCACGAGAGACACTTGGTAGTGACTCAGCGTGAAAAGGAACTGCGACTCAGGCCTTGCTTTGTCCTGCTCACACTGATGTGACACATTCTAGCCTCCTGTGAAGCTTCATGGGCTTTGCTGGTTATGGGCGCGTGGGTGACTCTACTGCCTCTGAAGGGAGAGCCGAGCAGGACATGTTGGAGAGGGGGAGTTGTGAAAGTATAAAGAGCAGCTCAAGAGACAACTAGCCATGGAGACTCTGTGCTGGAAAGCTGGAAATAAAAAGATGGAAAGGTACGGTCAAGAGGCAGCCAGCAACAGAAAACATCCTGGAGAACAGACAGCGCAGATTCTGCAGACAGAACAGGTGACAGGTAGCGACGCGGACACCTCTTATGATGCTCGGCATCAGGAGGCTAAGACCTGTGAAATCTCTGAAACAGTTCATCCTGCTGCCACCCTCCCTGGACTTCCACAAGGGTTGGTGATGACAGAATCTATTGTTGCCCAGTAAGTTTGGGGTGCGTTAGGTTAAGGCGTCTTGTACACAGCTGGCCCAGGAGATCAAAGGCTTCCTCCCCTGTCAAAAGGCCCAGCTGTCCGGTAGGACCCGAAGAATGTCCCCGCCTTCCCCGCCCTTTCCCAGTGATTCCCAGTGGGGAAAGGTTGTTCTGAAAAGGCTGTGATAAAATAAAGCCTGGTGCAGAGACGGGGCTGCCAGTGCTCTTATCTTTACGGCTCTCCTGAGTTTAGGAGATGCACTGAAATGTAGCAGATGTAATTGGGAGTAGCGTTTTCCATTTTGCTGAGTCCCCACTTTAGTTTTCCCTGGGATTTCTCTCTCTCTTACTTCTCTCTTCTCTCTCTTTGGGAATGCTGCTGTGTCACAAGCTCCTGAGTGTTGTACCTGCTAGAGGGCCAGAGGTTGGGATTGGATGGGGCATGGTCAAGGGCATTGTGCAGCCTCATCAGGAAGTGACCGCTGCAGGAAGTGACTGCTCCTACAGCTCTGCAGTGCCTCGAGCCATCTGTGTTCAGAAGGAGGAGCCGAGGTCTCCTGCTGTGGGGCTGGCTGGCTGGAAGCCCTGTGTCCCTAGCGTGGCTTCTGTTCCCCTTGACTTCTGTCTGCACCCACCATCTGCAGAGGGGTCCATGATTGCCTGCTGTTGGAAACCTGGGAAATACTGATCCATGGGATTCTGCTTGGAGATTTTGGGGCTCATTGATAGAGTGAGAAACCGTCAGGGTGCTGAAGAGGTGTCCCAGAGATTTTAGGAACTCGAGGAAGACAAATGTCCCTTCCTGTTAGCCTGCAGGTCAGGGTTTGGGACTTTGCTTGATAATACAGGGAACGGAGGAACCCTTCCTGCTAGGGTCGAGTTTATGTACTTGCTAAAATTTATTAACTCAGATTTAAGATGGCATATTCTATGAAGAAAGCGCATATCAGGAAAACGTAAACTCAGCTTAGCAGTGAATTATGTGACTATCACATAATTTTCCTTTACTATTCTTTTCCTTTCACAAGGTCTTTCTTCCTATGCAGTTCCAATAAAAAGGCCTGGAAGCCCATTTTGCTTTATTGCAGGCAGGAGACGTCGCCAGAGACCCTTCCCTTTATGCGTCTGATCTGCCTGCCAAGTATCCTGACTTCCTATCTCCTGTAACCTCTCTGATCTTCCTGGGCCGTGGGAGAAGCCTATCTTTGATAGTATAATTTTGAGGCAAAAGAGTCGGAAGTTAGGGAGGGAGGATGACTAGTCTCCATGGCTCCTGGCTAATTCCAGCATGAAGCCATCCGCTGGCCTCTCTGGGCCCAGGTCTGTCCTGAGCGGATCTGTGGTGCTGTGTCTCTCGGTACAGGTGGTGTTTGTTGCTTAATGCACACACAGCTCGTGGCCTCTTTGTGCCTCGGCATCAAACTTCTGTAAAATGAAACTAAAATATATCCTGACCCAGTTATGGTTACTGTGGGGGCTAAGTGACCACCTACAAAGAAGCCTCTGAAGAATTTTTAAGTATAGCATAAGCTAAAGTGACAAGTACTTAACATTTATTATTGAATTCTATTTTGTGACCTCATAGAATCAAGGAGAACATCTCCACTAGTCTTTCTTTCTTGCCATGCTAGCGATTGAATCCATGACCTTCACATCAAGGTCCACCACTGGCCCCTTTATAAACTTTAAGGCAGGGTCTTGAACCTGCGATCTGGGCTTGAACTTAGGATCCTCCTGTCTCAGCTGTCCAGAACTGGGATTGCAGGCTTGCACCGTCATACCTGATGCTTTTAAAAATAGTCTTGATTTATGGTAAATTTCACAAGCCAACCTCATTGTCTGGCATTCAATACTAGCGTTGTCTTGTCTTGTTACAGCTTGTACTGGAATGCAGGTGGGGATACCTGGTTAGTTAGCAGGTGGTCAACTTTGTAAAAGTAACACAAACACAGTGTCCTGGGACGGTCAACAGAGAGCACAAAGATAACTACTAGCACTAACTGCTTCTGTGTTTCTGGTGTCTTTCTGATAGGGACCATGATAATTAGATCACTTTGCCATTTTTCCCTAAAAGGGCTGTAGGAGAATGGCAGGGAACAATCACTGTTTGCGAAGTGCTAGATTTTAAGTGTTTTCCAGATAAAAGCTAATCTCTAGGCTGTGGGATCTTGAAGTAGGTTTTATTATCCTTTGTATTTTAGAGGTAACAACTGAAGCATGAGACATTAGGGTTCAAAGCTTTCTCCTGACTGTGGTCATTAAGAGACGAGGCAGTGCTGGCACCAGGCAAAGGCACTCCTAGGGGTGGTCGTACCCCTGCGTTTACAGAGCTGCTTCTGTGCAAGTCGAGTTGAGGCCCTACCCGAGATCCCATGGCCACAGAGCAGCGGACTGTCCTCTGTGCGGCCCCGGGAACAAACAGGCGTGGGTTCAATCCCAACTCCGCACCAACAATCTCTGTCACGCTGGCCAAGTCCCCTTCAAGTCCCGGGTCTATTTATCTGCCCAGAAGGGACGTGATGGTTACATGCTGCTGCAGGCCTTATGAGGAATGAGACCGGGCTGACTGGACGCTGACTTTTCACAGAGGGAGCACTCGATAAACGATCCTGTTGTTTTCTGTCTTCAACATCACCACCACCGTCGTCAAGGAATTGCCGTATTTTGGGAGTCGCAGCCCTGGCACAGAGTAGGCACCCAATATTGTCCTTGTGGCTGAGGGTGGCTTCCCCAGCCGTGGCCTTTTATGTGTTTCATGAACAAGGAGGAAGCTGCCATGGGACAGGAGGGGCCACCTCTGAGCCCAGGTCCCCAGTGTGGGTTGGTCTTGGGGTGAATGGTGCCCTGCAGCTCATCTGGCGGAGCCAGCAAGATGGCACTGAAGCTGTTTCAAGGAGTGGCAGTTGCATCGACTCCCCAACTGCCGAAATTTTACTTTTTCCCTGTGAACTAGGAGAGCCAACAGGGGCAGAAAGGTTACTGGTTGTGTTCATTAATTTTCTTTCAAGAGCTGCCACATGTCACCAGATTGCCCCCCGGCACCAGCGCTGTTTGGCTGTCTTCTCTTTGCCCAGGAGAAGCCAAAATGTTAAACTGGTGGAGCTTACAAGATCTGACAGAGAAATTCTTCACGTCTGGCCTGGATGTCTAAGTAAATTTGGTGTAGTCCTTGTGGTCTGGGGCAAATGCTGGAAGCTATTAGAAATCTGAACAAAACCCTCTATTCAAAGACTGCCCATTTCCTGCTGGGGTAATCCAAGTATCAAACACGAAGAAATATGGGCAGGGGGAATGTGGCCGCTCGGGGCAGAACCACCGAGGTGTCAGCGACATCCCTCTGAACGGCTCAGAATGCTACTTCCACTTGATCATCCTGAATAAGTGGTTTCTTTTGAAAATAAGAGCCCTGCTTTCCCTGACCAAGTGCCAGAGAGAATTGCTCGAATTTCCTCTTGTCCGTCAAGCTTTGGAGGGGGAAGCTTTCTCCTCCCCTTGCAGTTTTTGGAGCCTTATGTTTTGGTTTTATTTTCTCTTTTGCCTCTGAATTTCCTTCCAAAATCAAAAAGTATCTTTTATTAGTTATGGTTGTGGACTCTATGGCTTTAGACCCTGTGAGCTCAATGGCTGGAAACTATTTTATTAAGGTTTTATGGAGAAGCTATGGTTTATCTCATGAAATATCTGAGTTCATCATAAACGGTTTCCTTTCTGGAGAGAAATTTATTTTCTGTGAAATTCCAGGTGTTCTTTTACGTGGACTTGAAAGGAACAGATTTGATGGTCAGTGCAGGGTTTTTTTTTTTCCTTTCTTTTTTCTCCTTGAGAAGAATATTTTCCTTGTGGTGGATTAATTGAGGATGAAATCAGATAACCTGGGTGAAATCCCTGAGTGTGCACGGGGAGGTTGGCTGTTTTGGTGAACTTGGTTGTGGTGCTGGTGGCGGGTGTTGTGTCCCCCCCCCCCCCCATGCTACCTGAGAATGAGTTCAGGGGCCAGCCTTGCTCCCACAGGCATGCAGGGCCCTAGAGGACAGGGATGAGCTGTATTCATCCTACAGTCTGTGCACCACAACACATGCGTGATTCGCACACAATGGCTGAATGGGAGGTTTTACAAACTCACATGTGAGACCAGGTGGTCCCATGCATAAAGGACGAGCCTGGGTGGGCTGCAGGTTTCTGACCCGGTCCTTGGCTTCCTCCTGCTTACTTGCTTTCTACTGGGGTGGCCCTGCTTCCAGCCCGGGCTCTTTCTTCATTAGGGGATCAGGACCATCCCTCAGGTGTGTCCTTCCCCACAGTCTGTGTGAGAGGTGACACACGTGGAAAGATGACGAGGATTGGGAATAGCAAAGCCACTTCTGTGACTCCTAAGTCGCTGGTTCTGACTGCATTCGATGGCCTGGGCCCTCTTGTCCCAGACACGGGCCTGGCTTATATCACCATCATGTGGTGGCTCCTTTCGGGGAGGCTTTGTCTTCTCCTCCAGGTTATGCTGACCCCGCAGGCGTAAACTCTCCCCATCTAATAAAAGTCAGGGCGATTTATGGGCCTGCTCCTGGCCACTTGTCCTTTATGCACTAGCAGAAAAATATAAATCTCTAAGATTCATGGGTTACCGGAGGGTGGTTTCAGGGATGGCAGGGCGGCTCGCCCACCTTCCTCGCCTTGCTCACCTCACGGACCCCAGTGGTCGGAGGACGTGGGGTGGGAGGGGAGGGTGCTCCAGCCCGGGGTCAGCCTGCTTGCCCTGTTGAGAAATGCAGGCTGCAGAGGCAAAGGGGCTTCCTGTCCTTGTGGGCTTCCTGCCATTTGATCGTTCTCTCCTCTGTCTGAGGTAAACATCAAGTGGTGAAAGGGTGGTAGGGCTTCCAGACCCACTAAAAACCCAGACTCCCCCACTCCCTGGCTCTTTGGCTTTGGTCAAGTTTCTGCATCCTCTCTCTAAATCTTTGCATTGTAAACACTACAAGGAAGGGTGGGCGAAGTGTATGGGTAATACATGGTAAGGCCACGTCGCGCACCCCCTCAATGCGCTTTCCCTGGCTTTGGACACATCGCTCCTGCTGTTTGGCACTTCTTGCAGCAGCTCTGGAACCCTCCTTCCTAAGTGTCTTTATGAGATGCCATCACGGACACAGTGAGTGCCACCGCTGAGGGCCGTTCAGGGGAGAGGCAGCTCTTGTCCTCGTCCACCTGACTGGCTGGATCCGGCACCAGGCGAATCTGACTCTTCTCCAAATTCAAAATGACCATGGGAAGAAGACATTTCTCAGTTGGTTCAGGACTTTGAGACAGCCAGGACAGTGTAACTAAAAAGACGCTCGGGAAAGAGAATCCCAGAGCTGCTGCAGAAAGTGGCAAGAGTGATGGGAAGAGTGGGTTCCAAGCGAGAAGGAAGATTTTGAAGAGGATGAGTGGCATGTGGCTCTCACTGTGTTTAACTGGTTTTTGTTTGGTACCAGGGATTGAACTCAGGACCTCACACTTGCCAGGCAGGCACTGTATCACTGAGCTAAATCCCTGGTTCACTAATGGAGGTTCTTATGATTCTGACATCACTGCTAAGATGCAGATCTAGCCCCACATGGATTTGGTCACCTCCCCTAGGGGACAAAGACCTGAGTGAAGGGTCCGAAGAAGTACATGGGAGACACACACGTAGAATTCAGGAGTGTGGCAAGAGAGAATGGAGGGAAAACCTTATCCAGGACATAGTTTTTACGTATATTTTTGTTTGCTTGTAGCAAGCAGGCACTCACTCTGCATCCTTTCTGTTTGCAGAGTGTGAATCAAACCATGGGTAACTGAAGGCTGGGCTTGAGTTAAGACCAGCAGTGGCATCTCTCTGTGCCTTCTCCTACTACTTCCTTTTCCGCTGAGTGGTGACACCTGTCTCCGGGGGCTCCCTAGTGGCCACGATGACCTCTCCGCATGAGTGACATCCTTACGCTTCCTAAATACAATCAGAGTAGTTTCGGAGGCAGATTCAGACCTCTCAGCCTTTTATGGGCAGGGTACAACCTGGGGAGTTACGGCAGGATGTCCCTCACACAACAAGCCCTCACCCAATGACAGCTGTGCTCGGTGTCCACTATGTCACTTCTAATAATCCTGAGCTCTTGTTGGAGATGCCTCCCTGGACACACTGGCGTCAGCCCTGTGCCCTGTGCACTGGCCCACAGCCCTTCTGCACTGGGTTCACTCTGGCCTGCATGCCCAGCCTGTGTGCCAGCCTCCCAGGCCCAGGAGATAACAGGCTCCTCACGGTCTGCAGCCAGACCCCACCAAGGGGTTTTGTGTCCTGTGAGCCTGCACAAACAGGAGGCCTTTGCACAAATGTGATTCACTGAGTGCTCCACAAATCAGTTTTTCTGATTTGAGTCAGGCTCTTACACACACACACACACACACTCTCTCTCTCTCTCTCTCTCTCTCTCTCTCTCTCTCTCTTTCAGGCATAAGACTACCTCCTGATGTTGGGTTGTTAAGGGTTCTGCTGGGTTTCCACTGTAGTTGTGACCTTGCTGGTCATCCTGAGTTGGAGATGCCATCTGGAGAAGCCCCCATCTCAGTGTTCAGGTGTCCCTGCTGGGCTCCTGGGTGAGCAGTGCTGGCCGAGGGACTTGGGCAGAAGTCTCCAGAGCGAGCGCATAAGAACCCAAGAGAAGCATCCTTACTCTGGCTAATACTCGGATGACATGTTATACAGCTGACTTGTTTATAGTGTGTCACCTAATTATACACTCTGCATATAATATGCTTTTGAAATTATTATTTACTGCATCAATACAATAGAAGCTAAATTCAAAGCAAAAGGAAAAGTGTGTGTGGGCTCACCGTTTGTACAGATAAGACCTTTAATACACATGTAGGTTCACTCATAGCCCAGTCCCCCAGTCCTGACCCTAGACGCAAGTAATATCTACATTCTGTTTGGTCTTTGGTTTCCCCCGGCTTCCAGCTGCACATTTTCTGTGTATCAGCTTCCTGTGCTCCGAGCGTTCGTAGCCTCTGCATGTGAGCACTACACTTAGGAGAGCCATGACTTGAACTCTGAACATCTAGCAATCCCCCCCCCCCCCTTCTTTTCTCCAGGTGCTGGGATTGGAACTAGGGACAGCTGGAAGCACAACTGGAGTTTGTTATCCAAGTCAGAACTTTTACCAGGAACCTAGAGACGGTGCCTATCAGAGTGAAACCTGTGTCCTTTACAATGAGGAAGGCCACGGAACGGGTTAGCTGAGCGGGAGCCAGGCCCCTGCTTTATTGGTTTTGGCAGAAGAAGGAAAGCGCAGGAGAACGTGAAATACTTGCCCCACAGCTGCCTCTGGAATGCTGTGGACTTGGGCTGGATGTATTTTGGGTGCCGTCGTCTCTGTCGCATTGTCTTCCAAGGGGGAGGCAGAGGTATTGGGGCAGTGAGGTGGTAACTAGCAGCTTTCCAGAAGTCCCAAAGTGGAGGAAGTACGCATGATATTCCCAAAACCAGCCGTGGAACAGGAGGAAGCGGAGTCAGGAGTGAACGGCAGGCTTTGAAGTCAGACAGCGGGGTTTGGTGGCCTTGGGCAAAGCACTTAATGTTTCTGAACTGGGAGGAAGATAATTACAGTGCCCACCTCGCGCGGCTATGGTGTGGATTAAACTGGGTAATATAAACCATGTACTCAGCACAATGCCTGCCATAATGGTAAGCACTCAATAAAATGCAGAGCATGATTGTCATTATTTCCTGCTTCATGTTGTAATTTGATTGCTCTCAAACTGGTATCCCTGGACTGGGGTGCTAGTGGTGTCTGCAAACTTTTCAGGCTCTTGGGATCTAAGAGAAGTAGGGAATCGCAGTCTCTGAAACGTGGTGTGCACAGGGGAAGATGCACAGGAGGGCTTCCGGGGTTGAAACACTGGCTGGGTGCCGAGCAAGGCGGCCGTTTCTTTGGTGGGAGCTGTGGGCTCCGCATCTTGATGGGGGGGAGTGGAGGGAGGTGCGCAGTATCTGCTGATCTTCACTGGAGCCTGCTGCTTAACTGTGTGCTTGCACAGCCTTCACAGCCGTGAGAACTACCAGGAACCTGGGAGCGGTGAGAAAACTGAAGAGACCCAGGAAACCGGTTTCTCTGCCCCACTTGGTTAAGCACTTGCTCTAGGCAACCAGACAGGCTCCAGGAGACCACTGTCTTTATGATGATTTTTTGTTGTTGTTGTTATAATTTAAAATGACATCACTTGACTTTTGTGTCGCACCATGGTCACCCTAGACTTCGCATTATGTTCCTGTTCTCCCTGCGGAAGATGGTGGCGTTTGCCTGGCACCAGCACGGACGCTGGTTGGAATGGAAGCCATCCAGAGAATGATTAGGATGCCAGCAGCCCTGAGGCCGGGCACAGAGTGTGTGAAATCATCATTGTCTTAATGAAACACGTTCCAGCTGGGGTCTCTTAGCCATTTGTTTTCTTGTTTTAACATTGAGTCATTCATTCCCGCTAATGAGAGGCTGTCAAGATTAAACGCCAGTCCTACCCTGGGTTTGCCAACATGAAAGATCTAACCTGAGCTGTGGCTTTGCAAAGCACCCTGCATTAGCCTTGGTGGAGAACTAGAAACAAACCAACTGCCTGGTTTCAACAGAAACCATCAACATCACATCTGCAGAGAAACTCATGGTAAATATGTTTTATATTATATACCAGGGTGGTCTCTAGTAGGTCCCATGGTAAACAGCTAGATATCACCCTCCCCTGATAAATTTGCATACTTTGTGCATTCTGTATAAATCATCTTTTGATGATTCTCCTGAGAATTATCCACGATGAGAACTGTCTCTTAAAAACAAGCAGCATCGAGGCAGAGGGGAGAAAAGCTGAGTGTCAGGGCCACACAGATCTCGCCCCGAGACCCAGGTCCCCCCCCTCCCCCCCCCGTTGGCAGGTAAGGGGCTCTGTGGCCTCTTTTTGCTTTTGGTTTCCCACCTGCCACACGGGGGTGGTGGGATTTATATGGCAATGATGTCCATAGGCATAGAGGTGACATGAGTAGCTAATGCAGCCTGCCTGGTGGTGGCATTCACTAAAGAGAAGGCTTAAGGTTGTACGCACCACACAGTTGAATTCCCCTGCCTGTCCAAGGCCACCCTCTTTTCTTAGCCTTCCTTCCCATGGCCAGCAGTGGGTGAAAGTTCAATTTTATCCGTGGCTTTCAGGCAGAACAGGCTTAGGAAGTATAAGCTAGGGGTAGGGAACCATCCATCTTGCTACAGGATCAAATACAAGTGGTCCTGGGTGGTCCAGTAGTGACCTTTCACTTTTTCTGTCCACTAGTGGTGCTAATGGAGAGTGTAATCACCTTAGACTTTGTGAGTCATGGTCTCTTGAGTTTCTTCAAATCCCATAATGATGAGAATACGTTGTGCTTTATGACCTCTTTTGGTTCCCAAACCTAGAGAAAGGTAGCAAGAGGCTGGAGGTGAGTGGAGGGGTTGTTTACATTCTCAGCATTAGCAGGGTTCGCTTATGATTTAGTTTTGGGGACAGTAATATTTTTTGGATGCCTGTGGAGAAGCATTGTCCTGTCTTCTCTTGCAACTGGGGAGGCCGTGAGGGCTGCAGACTGCCAGCGCCGTGCAATGGATGGCGACTTTCACCTCTGCGATTCCTCTGCTCCTTGAGACAGGGCTGGCCTCTGAGAGTGGCCCTGGCCGGGGCTGTGTGGAGCTTTTTTCGCAAATAGTATCATAAGCCATGGCTGAAGTCTGTTTTCAGCAGAGGTTCTTTCCCTGCTGAGTTGTATCCCCACTCACTTCTCTAAACCGTTTGGAAACAAACAGAAAAATAAAAACTTGTATGGAAGGAATCCCCTGAGGCGGGAGCCTTACCAAACAAGGGTATTACTCCCAATAATCATCTTTTCATAGACAAAGTCCAACTTAGACTGAACCCCCACATTTTCCTCAAATTCCACTGATGGAGGCAAAGGGAAAAAGTGTAACTAAAAACTCAGAATTGGTTCAAGAACAACTCTCGTTATGCATAATTCATTACTTTATCTATAAGGATGCTTGAAACAGCAGAGAATATTTTTATGTATTTACCCAAGTAATACAGTTTCAAGAAAAAATAACCAATAGCAATACTGAACTCATGCACAAATCTTAGTTTTAATGAAGGTCGCCAGAGTTACAGGAAGTACTGTTGGACTTAAATTTAAAACCATTTCAGTGGTTCTGATTGGCCGTTTCACTTGTTCTCAGGGGTGTGACCTCAGATGTATCTCCTGACTCAGAGACTGGAGAAATTTTCTCTGGAGGCGCACGATGATGGGTGCCAGCCACTGCTGTGACCCAGGCCTGGGCTAACATTCCTAGGCTGCCTGGCTCCCTGTACCCTGCTCAGGAGCGGGCTCTGTGGAGTGAAGGTCTCACTGCAGAGAACGGGGTACTTCCGCCTCTGGACCAGCAGTTACTACAGTGCTTGGAGCTTCCCTCAACACGGATGCACTGGTCCCTCAGTGAATTGGAAGGACAAGGACGGCCCCAGGGCTGCTTCCTGTGTCACGTTGGGGTGCTTCGGTCCTTCTTGACATTTCTGGAGCATGATAAATGTGTGTCCTTGAAGCTTCCTTGGCCAGCAAATGGCCCCAGCCACTCCATCCTCTGGACACTGCTCTGCTCTCTTCTGTTCTTGCTCTCCACTGGAAAGGTTCTAGTTTTTGCTAACATGCTAGGGAAAGAACCGGGCGAATGCCTCAGAGATCATCTATGAGCACAGCAAGGCACAGCATTTCTCTTATGACCCGGATGGCTGTAATTCCATTAAGGAGACCAGCAGCTCCTGGACCTGTGGGTTCCACATGCTTAGACAGTGGGTGTTGGGGTGACAGTGAGAGTAGTTGGAAGCCACGGATTCTGTTCTAATTCTCACTTATCAGTAGGAAACCCTGGGCAAGATGCTTAACTTCTCTGTGCCTCAGTATCCCCATCTGTAAAATAGGGGACACGATGTGAGCTGTTTTATGCTGGGTGCTAACGACATTACTTGGAAAGGCAGCATTCTGTGTTAGTTTTTATTGAACTTAAAAATGAAAAATCCCACAGTGTGGCTCACTTTCTCACTGAGACTTCACGCCTTGTCAGGACCTTGTTTGAATGCTGGTGGGGCTGGGGTGTGCTTGCAGCCTCTTACGTCTCCTTGCCTAGCTCTGGCTTCCTTCTGCAGGAAATGCTTAAAAGAGTAAAACAATTTGCATTTGTGAGCTCTAATTAAGATTCTGGAGAGCAGTAGCCAAGACTTATACCTCTTGGCTTTTGTTTTTTAATTCTATGTGATATGCCATGTGCACAATCACTGCTAAATTAAAAGAGTAAATATTTAAAATGAGTTTTCCCTTGGGTCTTAGCCTGTGGTGGAAAAATGGAATTCATTCGTGTTACTTAAACTGTGTGCTCCTAAGTTTCTGGGAGAGCTTGCCTGGCTGTTCTGAAGAGTATGTTGTTTTCTATTTGCGCACTCATTTACTTGGACTTCCACGTAAAAGTTGACCACTTTTCTGCTAATACTTTCTGGAATTCCTGGGGGTCCACAGCTGCCTTGTTCACTGATCTTTCAGATGGTCTGGGAGGTAAATAATCAGGTGAGTGCTGAATGTTATGCCAATGTTCCCAGGACTCTGGGATTCATTTTTCTTGTGACCTTAAACAAGTGGGTTGAGACTATTTTAAAAAATGGTTTATAGTTATTAATGTTTTCAAGTCTTGGTTGAATTTTAAAGGTTGGGTTAAACTGTTAAAGTGAGTATAAATTAAAACCAGTTAAATAGAGGAGTCCTTAGTCCATTCTGTCTTTGGTGTGCTTAGAATTCCATAAATTTTATGGATTTCAAAATCCTTACCTTGTTTTTGAGTGTTTCCAGTAAGACAGAGTGAAGTGGTGCACACCTCGGGGAGAGTCGGGAGCTGTTACCCAGGAATGCTGCTTGGCACGCACTTAAAGAGTACAGGACCATTGGTTCATAAAAAAATGTGTGGCTGATTTTCCTGGGACATGTGCATGGCTCCTGCAGAAGAATTTCATTTTTCACTCCCTCCCACTCTGTGTGTCACTTGCACACGTTTGCAGATCATCAACTGATTTCTAAAATTCCTTCCCCTCTCAAGAGGTCTACATCCAGTTACCTAAAGAACAGAGATAATATGGGGAGAAGGGCCATTTTCCTAAATGCTGTATCTTGCCGGTGGTAAGGGGCTTGGTGAACAGCTGACTCAGTGCCATTGTGAGACAAACTGGAAACTGTTTCCATCAAAGAGAAGGCACTTGTGTGTTTCCATGAAAGAGACTGAGTGTATGTGTGCGCCCATGTGTGTTTATATCAGCCTTCCCCTCCCCACCTCTCTCTCTTGCAGTCTCAAGGCAGTATTTTAAGTTGACTATATAGAAATGAGGTCATGCCACAACCTCACCCTCTAAAGCCAAAATACACAAGGGAAAGACTGCAAATCTCATCCAGTAAGAATCTCATGTCTTGCCTGTAATTGTTCTTAGTTTTGCCAGAAAAAAGAAAAAAGAAAAAAAAAGAAAGCACTGGTTTTGGCTTAGAAAGCAGTGATTCTTTCATACAATAAAAATACTATTTATTTTTGACTTTTGAAAAGATTTTCTTAGAAAAATGAAGCATGTGGGGATTAAGTGCTGACCTCTTATTTCCGATGTGAAGATTTTGATTTCCCAGTGAAGCTGGCCTTTCCTTTTGGATGCCTGATGTGGTAGAAAGAACAGTGACCTTAGTTTTGTTCCTATTCAGCCACCAAGCCCCAAAAGTTGAGGGAAAAAACATATCTGGGTAGAAAGTTATTGTGCCAGCTTATCATAGATTCACATGGTGGCTCTGCAGCTGTGAGTGCAGCCAGGGCAGTGCACTAAATCTGAGTCTCAGTCTCCTCTCCAGCCCCAGTGCTGCAAGGGATTCGGGGACACTGCTCCAGGACCTGATGTGCAGTCTGGCATGAGGTACAAGGAACATGCATGATCACCTCAGATTTTTATTCTTTGCTTTGTTTAACGCTGTGGGAAAGACTGGCCCTGTGGGGGATGGTGACAGGAAGAACCTGTGGGGGTGGGTCAGGGTGCAGGTAGGGCCATAGAAATGCTGTCCCTAAACACACAAGACAACCGCTCTTATAGAAGGCTAAGGTGACCTCTGTATTTTTTTTTCTGTACTATTTCTGATGGAAACTCAGGAGACTCTAAGAATCCAACTTCCAAGTGAAAGGGGAAGATTGCTCTGCTTCTGTATTCTGGAGGAAGTTTGAGAAAGTTACAGGGAAAACCGTAAATGAAGAAGACTAAGCTGCTGTCAAAGTTCATCCAAGTCTGATGCATTTAGTGAAATGAGGAAGTGTGGACCCAGTCACCCTGGGGAGGGCCACATGTGCAGCCCCAGGTTGCTCTCTGGGGACGGGGGCGACGTTTCCTCACTCAGGACCTGCGTCCCGCGTGGACGCTGCTTCCCGAGCTCTGTCCTGGCGACCCCTCATCATGTCATTCGAATTCTTGCTGCTTTTTCCTCCCTTGTCTGCTTCCTTTTTCTGCCCAGCATGCAGCCACCATGCCACTACCCTTGGGCACACGACATGGCCTCAGAGGCTCCAGGAAGCCACTGTGACCCTTTCCCACCAGCAGCCCGGAGATGAAGGGGCCTCCCTGGGCACTGGGGGTGCTCAATTTCCAAGCCACACTAGTGCCTCAAGCCTTACCTTTTCTTTTTCTCCTATCTTGGTTCCTTGGCAGTGGGGACCAACTGGGAACAAACCAGTGTCACTTGCGGCGCTGTGTCCACTGGCGTGGTTGGGACTGCATGACTGACCTGGCCCTGCTCTCTGTCCACTTCTCATCCACTCACCCCTGGAAGCCGAAAGGATCTTTTCAGGAACACACAGGCACACAGCCTTCACTCCAGCACACTGGAAGCGGAAGCACTGCTGCAGCACTTCCGGTGGTAGCTGCTGTTCCTCATCTGCGTGCTATACAAGACCGGAAACTCCGTGAGGTGGAGACAGGCCGTCATGGCTGCCGCTCACTCAGAAGTCTGTTTCCTTCTAGGTTCTGAACGTCCAATTAGTTGAATAAGTGGATTACTTCTTTCTCCTACAAGTTTGACAACTTTGTCTATTAAAGCTTCAATTGAAAGGATAAATTAAAAGAGAATAAGCCTTGAGATGAGGGAATAATAGAAGTCATAGGACCTTAGAATGAGTTGTTTTATAGCTGAGCATGATTAGAAGCTTTCAGTAGAGTGATGTATATCACCCACCTGGTAATAAGAAAGAAAGTGCAAACAGATTACAGTACTTTGTTTCTTTCTTTTCCTAGTGCAAGCATGGAGTCTAGGACTTGGCAAGTACCGGGGAGCAGAGTGCTCTACTGCTGAACTCCGTCCCCAGCCCGGGTTACTTAACTCTGTCTGGTGAATGGAAGCTCGTATTTGGTGATGAATATTTCCTCGTACTGAAATTGATCTGATAATTATATGGGAGGAGATGGAGGATGAATATGAGGGAAAGAGAGACTGAGAAAAAGAATGACTTGAACAAGAAACCCTCTTCATTATCAGCTATGTCTTCTATTGTGGTTTTACTGGAGGGACAGAATTTGTGAGAGACCGAGTGAGACAAGGTGGAAGTAAAAGGCTGTGTGTAATTTCGGGAAGCTTTAGACAGCTAGGGAGACAGGAAATTGCCTCATATATCTTTGGTCAAAGATGAGAGCCAAGCCTATAGGCGTGGACATCACCACCATTTCCAACATGGCTCTGAAATATATTCTGTGGGACCTCAATCTTGAGAGACGGTCCTCTAGTCAGATAAGTTTATAGAATAGTACAATTTCACATATTAATCCAGGTCTGCTCCTTAGGATGTAGAACATATCAGCAACCACAACAAAAAATCCCCAAGAAGTCTTATGGCAAAGAGGTGATGTTGAATTATTTAATCATCATTTCTCCCAATTCTTGGCCACAGCAAACATTTTAGTACTTCTCTTAAACTGAACCTGAGGAAATACCCTATTTAAGGGTTGGGGAGAAAGCAGCTTGAGATCAAGATGGAGGAACTCAGCTCTCCTTGTTTGTTGAGAAGACAGTCAAAATTAAATTCTGTAGGTTTTTTTTTTTTTTTTTTTTTTTTTTTGTAGAAAAGGGTGATGATAGCCACTAAGTTGTGTGAGGGCCACCCAAGAAGGGTGAGGGCCACCCTTCGTGAAGGTGGTGTGGTGCACAGTGTTTCGATGGAGGGGTCTAACCATCAGGAGAGGTTGTCTCAGCAGGCTGACAGGAAACCCCGTAATAGCTCCGTTGCATTCTCAGGTGTGGGAGATGAGTAATAATAGTGGTTACCATGAGGGCTCTTCTCAAAGTTCACTGTGACAGTGCTTACGTCACGCACCTGTCTCAAGGAAAGAGATTAGTCAGTGTTAGCCATGACTGTTAGCATGGCTGATTAAACAATGCCAAGGAATTTATAAGCATGGGAAGATTAGAGCCTTTCCTGCAGAACAAAATCTAGAAACATCCAATGACCAAAGCCTTCTCCTCCTGGGGCTTTTTCCAGCTTGAGGCTGGGATAATAAATTTAGGAGCAGATGGGGTAATTAGATTCCCACCTGGGGAAAACCCTGGTTCAACGTAGCAGTGAGGACCACACCACATGTTCCTGCAGAGTTGCATGGAGGTCACGCACTGAAGCACACCCTAGGCAGGAATCATAATTAGTCCCAGGGGAGGGTCCAGAGCTGCTCTTTGTGTGCTTTTCGCTATTTCTCAAAACGATATTTTGCCTGTAAGAGAATGTGAATCCAGTAAGGTTATGAATGACTTGATTTGAACTCTATCTGAGGTATCTGTTCTCTTGAAGATGCCAAGTTGGTTTTGATTTCCAGGCAGTTGACTAAAGAGACAGGACATCTGGGGTTCTGCTTACCCCTCAGACAACGTCCATGTCCATCCACCCCTCCAGGCTCTTATTCATTGCCCTCCTGTAGCCCAGGGCTACAAACCACTTCCTGCTTTCAAAGCCTTGGAATGGGTTTGCACTTGGTATGAGGGGCTCTTTCGGTCTTTGCAGAGAGGAAGGAAACCTTTCTATCTTAATTTTCTTCTCCTACTCTTCTGAAAGTTCTATCCCGTGCAGTGTGACTTTGCAGGAGAGATCGTGGAGAGATGTTTACTCGTAAGGCCTAGGCAGAGACACACAGAGAGGGTAGCTGCTAAGAAGTGCTGGTCACTGACGCTGTCGGCTCCTGCCCACCTCCTGGTCAGCACAGGTACCCTGGGCTGGGCCAGGACGATCTCTAACTACACTGTAGCCTGGTAATACATGCGCCTCTGGAGGAATTTTTCTTTGTTTCAGCGTCTCTGAAGCACGTTCCACAGGGAGCAATCTTCAGTATACAGCGAACTTACTGAAGAAAGTTTGGCTGCAACGCTGGCATTCAGACTTCCTAACGTCACTATCGGCTATTAGATGTTAGGGTACACAACGCTGGGAAGGCAGTCAGGTTGGTTCGAGGCCCAAGGCCCAGCATGTCTGTGAATGACTGAGAGCTGTGTGGCAGGATCCTCCTGAAGGTCTTCAGGGGACCAGTCGGTGGAGAAGGGTCTTATGTCACAGTGGATTGTTCTCCTGTGTTAATCACAGTTGGTGCAAATGGCCAGCCCTCCTCGCTACCAGAGTTATTTTGCATATGGGGATTTTATGTGTATGTATTCATTCAACACAAAGATGAATGATGCGTGGTTCCTGCCCTTGGGAAATATCAGAAGTACATGGTTCCAACTGGAGGGTCAGATCGTGTCAGTGGGTTAGGGAGGGCTGCCCGGGGCTGGGTGGGGAAGGGTGCTGGGCGTGGAGGAGAGTGGTGACTGCCTCAAGGTAGGAATCCTCCATGGCAGGCATCCTCCATGGAAGGCAGGCAGCTGCTGCTGGGATGTCAGGGAGTATGGGGGAGGGTTGTGTGGGTGCTCTGGGAACCCCTCATTCTGCAGGTGAGCAGGAGTAGGGAGGCTTCAAGCTGAGACTGGAGCATTACTTGCCAAGTGAGAGAGCTGGAAAGGGTGGGTAGGAGCACAGGGCTATACCAGCAGGGCAGTGTCAGGATGGTGGGGTCTCCTGGTACCAGAAGGATGAGCTGTGTTGCAAAGGTCAAGCCACACAGAGGGTCCGGGGGTTTAGGCCCAGCAGCACTGTGAGAGCCCCAGTCATCTGGAAGGAGGGGCCCAGCACTCCCTGGAGCTCTGGTCCTGTTCTGTCCAACCTTTACAGCAGGGACTGCATTAGACCAGCATGATTAAGGTCTCTGTCTCTCTCCTTGCCTCTGTGTCTGTCTGTCTGTCAGTTTGTCTCTCTGTCCGTTGTCCATCTGCTTGCCTGTGCAGCCAGCCAGCCATCTGTGCATCTCAGATCATTAAAAGACACAGTGCTCACAAGATTTGTAAACCCGAGGATGACTTCCTCTGAAACCAGATGCCCCAAATGCCATGACAGATTCCGGCAGAGGATGTTGATAGGGAAATGGTGGAATTCTGTGTTTTGGTTCAAGCACCCAGCTGTAAAGAATGAATGCTATGGGGAACGCTTGGCTTGGCAGCAGTACTTGTGAGAAAGTTGGATTTGGCTGCAAACCCCATCAGTACACAGCATGTGGTGTGGCAACTATGCTGGGCACATGGGTTCCCGCAGAGGGGTGAGGGTCCTGGGGAGCCGGGCAGGGGCCGTTGGGATGGGGAGACAGGTGGGCATACAGGGGAGAGGAAGTAGCAAAACTGGGGCTTTAAGATAGGGTCATTATCCCCCTTCTCAAACATGCACTGATGGAAGTTTTGTAAGCTGGTCCTGAGCATTTCCAGTGGGGTCCGGTCTCAAGAGGAACGAGTTTCTTGGTGGAAGTTAGTGGTGAGATCAGTTGTGTCCAGAGGGTGACATCGATGCGTTTTTTTGCCTTGTGAATTGGGCGTGGCCAAACTGGAAGAGGTGAACCACCGTTCCTGTCTGCAGATATTTTAAAGGTGCCTATAAGTTGGGTGCACATTGTGCAGAGCTGAGCAAATGGGCAGTTGTGAACTTCAGCCCAGCTTCATGGCTCAGGGCTTCCAAAGGGAAAGGGCAGGCCGTGAGTTTTCTGCCAGCAATGGCACTTGCTGAGGGCGTGGACAGCGGGGTGGAAGAGCGGGGTTTGGGCCCAAAGCCTCCTCCAGCCCTGAGTTTTTCCTTCCAGAGCAAACAGGATCTCAGACTTGCCCTGGTGTGTTTGACTCCAGCCTCTGCCAGAGCATCTAGGCTGAGCTTTCCTGTCCCCCTGGATGACAGGGGACCCTTCTGCTGCTGTCTGGACCTTCTGGGTTCCTAGGGTCCCATCCTGTTTTTTAAGACTGCTTCCCAAGGCTGTGGTGCAGAGAGCATTTTCCCAGGACAGAGACGCTTCCCACAGAAATCCCTGGACCTGAGAAGGCCACGACTGTGAGGGGGTCCCTGCCCTCTGCCACTCTGTCTCCAGCCGCAGTCCTGGCTTTGGTACTGGCTCTGCTGTCTCCTGCTGGGCCCTTCTCTTCCCACCATCATGGGCTCCCCACTGTCGCCCCAGGAGGGCTCTGTGCCCGGCCTGGGCAGCCCTCGGGGCGAGACGGTTGGCGACGTGCTCAGCTGTCCTGAGCCAGCTCTCCCAAGAGGGGAGAGGCGGGAGGGCAAAGTGCAGGCGCCGAAACTCATCCAGCCCCTGCCCCGGAGGCTTCCAGAGCCGCCTGTGAGTCACCGCTGCCCGTGCCAGGAGCACTCGGCTGGGCAAACACAGCGGTGAGGCCCAGAGCGGCAGGAGACCCCCGGGGCGGCACAGACCAGTGCTGCCCTCACTCTTCTCCCACTGTGCCCACAGCCCCGGGAAGCAGCCGGATGCTGTGCCCCTTCCACAGAGCCCCTCTGTTGTGCCACACGGATGGACGGGAGGTCCCCCTCCAGGGCACACCCTGGAGCCCTCCCGCTGAGAGGAGGCCTTCGTCCTTCACTTTGGCAGAGAGAAAACGGAGATCCGGAGAGGTGGAGTAACTCAGCAGAGTCACAGAGCTCGAGACCTGCCGCTGCGTAATCCACAACCGGCAGTCTTTATTTTCACTCAGGTGAAACTTGGGCCCCTTGGAAACTGAGTCATTTGTCATTCAGCTGCCACAGAGATGCATCAAGCCTCTACCTGCAGCTCGTGGGCTGAGGAAGGGGACCAGCACCTGTCCAGGGTTGACTCAGAGTGGGAAGCACAGCACGCCAAGGCTGGCTTGGAGTGTTCTGAGAAAGCCGAGGCAGTATGTTGATTGACTGACTGAGTAGGCCAGAGAAGATACCTGAGCCATGGGTAGCTGCAGCACAGGGGCCAAGGGATGGTCTGGGGACAGACATGCGTCCTGCTCACAGCGAAGTGACCTCTGTGTCCTCTTAGACAGTAGGATAGGGACAGCTGTGCTGACAGTCACCAGTGCCAGGGGATGAGGAGGGAGAAGGGTGTGGCCTGTCCTTAATGGGCTTCCAGGGCTCCCCTGCTCTCTTTGGCACCCAGAGGTGGCCTTGGATGCCTGTGATTATGCCTAGTGTCACATTCTCCACAGAGACTGTCCTCGCCCAGAACCTAGTATGCTGGCTGTCCTGCTTGGGCCTGAGCAGTGTTATGGCTTTGTACCTGCGCTTTGTGCCCTGCTCACAGGGACCTGGGCAAGGTGGTGGTGGTCATTTATGCCTCTGCTGACCAAGAGTCTGTCGCCAGCCCAGTGCCCCGGCCTGGCTCGGCACTGGCCATCTCTGAACCGGCCCCTTCAGCAGGTGGCAGTAACTGGGATGCCACTGTCCCTTAGATCAAGAGACAGGAAGTGTCCCCCAACCTGAGTTTATGGTTCTTTTTTCTCCGAAAGAAACTTTTACCTTAAAAACCTTCTCCACTCATTCCCCGCTCAGATCCAGGCATGGTCAGGACAGTCAGCCCCCTGCAGAGATGGTGGGGGCAGGACAGGATGGGAGCTGGGAGCTGGGGTCCCTGAGTTGCCGCCCTGGCCTGGGTCTGCCAGAGAGGTGGTGACAGTTGTGGCCGTTCTGCGCAGCCTCCTCCCTGGAATGGATTTCCTATCAGCTTGAGTGCTGGATGGACATCAGGGAGACTGAGACACCTGTCTCCCCTGGGTGGGGATGGCATGGGCACCTGTGAGCGAGGAGCTTGTTCCCCACCCTGAGTCTGTGCTCTCATTTGGCTTTGGGTTTGAGGAAGGTCATTGTTTTTGTTTCCATTTACTTTTCTCTTTTTAATTAACATAGAGAGTTGTAAGTGTTCAGTTATCTTAGTTTAAACAATGGTATCCACTCAGGAATTCACCTCCCAGGGCAAGGTTCTGAGCATGGCCATCATTACCAAAGGTCCCCTGTACCCCTGCCAGGGACTCCTTTCCCTTTCCTCTGCACAGAAGTAAGCATTTCCCTGCTGTTGTCACCAAACCTCATCCACAGGGCAGTATTCACGGCGTTTATTTCTCCACTGCAACCAGGGTAAATGGGGTCCACTTCCTGCAGGCCTGGGTTTCACCATATCAGGAGACTTTGGTTGGGAGCAGTTTTTCTTCCACCTTGAGCTGGACCTCAATGATCTGGTCTATAACATGGGTACGGTACTATATACCATATAACCAAAGACGCAGGCCTGACTGCCCACATGTAGTGGCCATTTCACTTCCTCTTTGAGACACCTCCTTGTGACACCTTGAGAAGAGGACTGTTTTCCTGTGTCTCAGAGTGAGATAAAGTTGGAAGAGGTGATATGACTTCCCAGGGCTCCAGGGCCGCCCTGTGACGCAAAGCTGGGCACATCCTGGGCTGTAACCAGCACAGGTGAGCCCAGGCCAGCTCTCCCCTGTGATGGATCAGCTTGGCGGCCACACGTACTGTCTTCCTTCTCCCTTTCTCACTCCTTCATAAGTAGTTGCCTAAAAACTGTACTTACTCTGAATGCTCGGCTACAGGAAACCGGAAAAGTCTCTGTCCTGCAGATGGGTGCCCCTGTTAGTTTCTGTGCTACAGAAAAGCATTATGATTAAACTAAAATCAACATTGTTATTTGTACTACGTAATCAACGAAACAGTGGCTAAGCCCTTAGGGACTATTAACAGTGTAATTTTGATTCTCATAGCTGCGTTTGAGTGCCCCATAGGTGCCAGGCCTGTGCTGCCTATTGGCATGGGTACCTAGGTTTCCCATCCTGCCTGCCATTCTGCACAGTAGGTGTTTGGTGCAAGCTCTTCATTGCTTGGTAACAAATGGCCTAAGCCCTAGCAGGTGGGAACCGGGAGCGGTGAGTGTCTCCTGCAAGTTCCTGCGGGTGAGGACACCGAGCAGCTCGTCTGGTGGCCATGAGTTGTGGCCATGCCATTGGTGATTCTGGCATCTTCCAGGCCAACGGAGCTGGAATATCAGCTTCCGGGCTGACTTGGGGACTGATGGCCCAGGGTGTCATGTGAACATGTCCCTTGGGTAGCTCAGAATGGGCTTTCCCAGAGAGACAGAGACAAACATGGACATCGTATTTTTCCTAATTTAATTTTTAGAAGTGAGTCCAGAAAGCTGTCTGTGCCCCTTCCACAGAGGCAGGGTCTGCTAATGTAGTTCAGGTTGGTCTTGAACTCACCATGCCACAGTCCTGTCCTAATGCTTCTGCTGGGTGTGCTTGGTCACACAGGCAAGCTGGTAACATGGTATTGTGGAACGGGACTGCACAAGGATGTGGGGCCAAGTGGTGGGGAACCCTGGACCCCTGGAAGGCTGGCTGCCCTGGGCCTTGAAAAGGGTGCTCAGGGACTCCCTGAACTGCTGTGTTCAGGAAGTGTGGGGGCTAAGGTTTGAAGCCCTGTCTGGTGTGTACCTCACTTATGTGCTTCCTATCAAGAATGCCCAGGAGGGGGTGCCCGAGAGAAGGGCAGGGTCAGACCTGGCTTGGGGTATCCTTGCTTAGTCCCCAGGTGCTCCTGGGCGCTGCTTGCTCTTGGACGCTGTCCCTTGAACAGTTCTATGTCCCGAGAGACCTAGGCAAAGACCAAAGGTTTGCAAACCCAATGTATGTACAATGTGTTTTGGGAGTTGGACTTTTCCTTACATCTTTCTATATCATTCTATTGTTGACTCAAAATGTTTGCATCTTGGTGTGACCTAATAAGTTGTGCATGAAACCGCCCTGTAGGGAAGATTCTTACTTTTCTCTTCTGGGTTAAAAGTGTGATTAAACCCATTACAAAAGCGTGGAGAGCCGAGAAGGCCACTAGTAAATGATTGCAAGCCTGGTTGTGTTTATGAATCCAGGCAGTTGCTGTGTAGACGGCTTCCCCAGACCAGCCCAAGCCACCCTGGCTCACCACATCCAGGAAAGGACATTTTTATAGTCACCTCCGCTGTAAGAGGACCTGACCACTGAGATAAATCTTCCTGTCATGACCTACTTGTGGGATTTTTATTTTAGGGAAAGAATTCAGGAGATTATATGGTCTCTAGCTAGCCCATTAAAAGTGTAAACATTTGTCTACTTTTTAATGTCCATACCGAGCAAGTAATAAAAGCCACACATACTTCTCCAGCGCTTTCTCTTTGGTGATGTTGGAATATTACGGAAACAGGAAAATATCCGCTTCCTGGTCCTCTTCACTAATGCCTTCTTTTCCTTATTAATTTGCTAATGTGTCCTGCTGGGTTAAGTGAATTCATGACACATTCTACTCATTTGTTTGTTTAGCATTTATTTTGTACCTGAGCTAGGTATAAAATTCCATGATAGATTCTGGGGATAAAAAGATGAAAAAGGCAAACTTCTCACCTTCAGGGAGCACAAGGCACCAGGGGAGTCAAAGGCAAAGACAGATAAGACCCCAGAGAGCCTTCTGTTTCTTAGGTGTCATAGAGCAAGGAGTACTTTTCTCCGTGTATGGGCTGCCGATGATGCCAGACTTCAGTTCACAAGGGAGAGAGGGGCTTTGCTGGCCAGGAGGGGAGGCTGGATGATTGGATGGTGATGGAGGAGGTCCAGGTAGGAGGTGTAACTGGGTGTTTTTCTTACTGTGAGCCCTGAGCTTGTGGAAGTCTATCCTGGGCTGGAACCAGCAGGCCTGGGTTGGCTCAGCCTGGCCACCACGCATGAGCCCTGCAAACCTGGACACATCGCCAGCCTTTTCCACCCTTCTTTTCATGGGCAGCAGGATCAAGTGGGGCCCAGACTGTCCCACACATGTGTCCTGCGATCTCTGAAAGCTGAGTGGGGAAGGGTGACAACATGGCACACAGGAGACCAGTGGCTGTGGTCACAGAGAACAGCTTTGTGCAGATGCTTCCCAGGGCCACATGAATCATGTCTGGGCTCACCAGGTACCTCTGCCAAGGGCCGGCTGGTGGAAGGATGCCTGGAGCATCATAGCCCATTTAGAGGATGAGTGCGTTGCCATGGTGTCAGCCACCACGCACTGGCCACACTGCTTCGTGGTGCTGACTGGACACAGCATGGGTGTCAGGGAGAATGCCTCCTTGGGGGCAGCTGACTGCAGGACCAGGCAGTAAATGGCCTCTGTGCATAGCACGCTGGGGGTTTCATGTTAAGTGGGCAGTGAGGCGTGAAACCTCAGACCTCAGTGGCGCTTCCTGCCACCAAGGTGATGTCAGAGATGCTGGCTAGGCCAGCTGGGCTTGGTGCAGGGGAGGAGCACCTGGCCAGGGAGGAGCCTGCATCGGGCTGGACCTTGGGGACATTACTCACACATACTTTGCACATACTCTTCTGTGCCAGGGTAAAGAAAAGAGGCTGCTTTATACTTAGTGGATCTGCCCCGACATGTGCATGAAAAGCTTTGCTTTTGTGGTTCTCTTTGTTTTGTCTTTTATTGAGTAAGGTGATCCTCTTCTATCTCCTCTTCTTCCTCCTCTATCTCCTTCCTTCTCCTCTTCTTGTACCTCATTCTCCTACCTCTTCTTCCTCTCCTCCTCCTTTTTCTCCTCCTCTTTTCTCTCCCTGGTCCTCCTCCTCTCTCCTCCACTCTCCCTTCTGCTTTTCTTCTTTCTTCCCCTCCTCCTCCTCCCACTCTGCTTCTCTTTGCTGGATTCACCAGCCTTGCTCTTTCTGGGAAATCAAGGAAGCATCAGTCTCCATCAATTAATGAGACATCAAAAGCAGTGATGATCTCTGGGTGACGCTACACAGCTGGGCCCATCAATAGAGCCTCAGGGTTCATAAGAGGAGGCAATTTGGTGGTGACAGCAAGTCCATGTGTTCTCTGCATTCATTCATTCGTTCGCTCATCACACCTCACATCTCCTCCCTTCTTCCCTCTCCTTCCCCCCTCTCCCTTCCCAAACCCTCCCCAAATCAACGCATGCAGTTAATTCCTGTGCCCTGCGAGCTTCAATCCCATCAGGATGTGGCTTCTTCATTTGGCCGAGAGTGATAGCATGGAAGAAGCCTTTTGACACCAGTTTGCCCCCATTTCAGAAAAACTCTTCACTGAAAACCTGAAGAGCATTTAGTTTCCATGATTTACGCAAACTTGAATGTCCGTCATGAAGGCCCTGGAAGACACGCTACATTGGCGATGGCCAGCGGCTTGATTCCATCTGAGGTGTGTGATTGGATCCGAGTTTGGGAAAAGTTTCTAAGCTGTTTAGAGGAAATCTCATGGTCTCTCTAGACAAGGGACCCACCCAGCTGCCGGCCAGTTGGCCAGTGGCGATGTGTGGATGGGATGAATGGCATATTCAGTTCTTAACATGCTGCCGTCCTGGGAATGCAGGACTGTTGGATTTAGAAAGACAAACACATTCTCTTCCTTTTTCTCCACTGTCTTTGTTAGGGAGCCAGATAGAATTTTGCTTTCAGGTCCATTGCTCTCTGGACTTGAAACTCAGGGAACAGGCTCATACTCTTATGAGAGTGAACCACGCAGGTTGGTCTTAGCAGGGAGGGGTTAGACTCAGGAAGAGGACAAGCTTGTTGCCCAGCTAGAGTCTGAGGCTGAGGAAGGGAGAGTCCGGTGAGGTTTTGATGAGTGGTGTCTGACAGTAGAAAAGTCTCCACTAGCTACGGGCATCAGAGCTTGACTTGAAATCACTGCCAGGGACCGCGCTGCTAGCGAACTCAGAGGCATCTCGACTTCTTTTTCCTCTCCTTTTAACCACCAGGAGCCAAATCCCAGAGACACCAAATCCATGTCCCTGGATGCTGGGCAGTGGCTAAGTAGCTTCAGTCATGCCTACCTCACCGTTGAATGCAGCGTGTTAGTAAACGGCTGCGTGCTATGACCCGACTGCCAGCTCTTCATGAGCCGGTGGGTATTTCAATGATCGGTGCCGGGTCTCTGCCTGGACTGTGATTCCATTTCTGGAAATGTGACAATGCATGCCTCTGGCTTCTGTCACCTGAGCTGCGTGCCCTTTGACAGCATGTGCAGTGCCCTCCTTAACGTCCTGGCATTGTGCAGGCAGGAGCCAGGGCCTCCACACCATCTTCAGGAGACAGCCTGAGGGTTCTCATCCCGCCAGAGCCCCTGGCCTCTCAGGGTACTCCCAGTGCTGCGGGACCAGAGTTCAAGTCCTGACTGTCTGTTGATTATTAACTGTTGAGCTGGATAAATCCCTTAATCTCTTTGAGGTTAATAATCGGTACTCTAGAGAGCTATTAAATGTGTCAAATGAAGTAATAGGTGTGGGCAGGCTTTGGAAACCTACAAGGTCATAAAAGCAAGTTGTTATTATTAACAGGATGTGCTATAGGATTTTCCTGCCGCTCCTTCAGCCGTTGGAAATCCCCTTCCCGCACTGCTGTGGCACAGTGGCCCCCGCTCTCTCCCAAGTATTTGTACTTCTGTGCTGCCTTAAAAATGCATTGCATTCACATTCGAAAGCGTGACTGTGCTTTATGCAGCGCCCAGGAGCATCTGTGCAGTACCCGATGCTGTCCCAGGCCAGTGGGTGCCTTAGCTGCAGGGAACCCTTGTTTGTGTTTGGGGCAGTGGAGGAGTAATGTGCAGGGAATGAGTTTCGGGGATCGAACTCCCCACTTGCTGGGTCACAGGAGCTGGGTCCTGGGGGGGTTGTGAAATCACGGCTTGACTTCCTTCCTTCCTTCCTTCCTTCCTTCCTTCCTTCCTTCCTCCTTTCCTCTTCCTCTTCCTGTCTTTCATTCACTTCCTTATTCCTCAGTTCTCCCACTTTCTTTTTACCCTAAAATGTAAGTTAAGTCAGTCTTTAATCTGTACTTTCTTTTTTTAAATTTTTTTTTTAATTTGTACCGGGGATGGAACTCAGGACCACACACTTGCAAGGCAAGGCGCTTATGCCGCTGAGCTAAATCCCCAGCCCTAATCGGTACTTTCAGCCCATGTTTGTTGAATCCCAGAATGGTGCTAGGTGTTCCGTAGAACATGGGCTCCAGGGACTGGAGACTCTGAGAGCCCATTCACAATGTGTCCCCAGAACAGTGAGTGTCCGGTGGAGAGAGGACCCAAATATCCATCACAGGCACTGCCACCTGTCATGGATGAAGCCAGTTTGCATCACTGAGAGTCCTCGGACAGTGGGCACACAGTGGACACACGTCCCTCACTCAGGGAAGCCCAGTGTGTGAGGCTTGTCACTCAGCACCGTCCTCGGGACCACACTGGGGAGCAGTGTGTGGCTTCCTGGGTGACCATAACTCCAGCCAGAGGCTGGACAGGGGACTTGGTGGGGTCCAGGGGAGAACTCTGGCCACGCTCAGGAAGTTCCCTAGCTCAAGATGGGATAAATAGAGGAGGAAGGCAGGAAAGGAAGAAGGGAGAGAAAAGAAGGCAGAAGCCATGAGAGGCGGGTTTCAGGGACCACGCACCCAGAGGGGACAGCAAAGGCATCCCTGAGAGACCTTCCTGTCCCTCTGCCAGATGTCTGCAACTCTGTGACCTACCCCTTTCCCCATAGAGGACACAAACCTCTCCCAGTCGCCTGGTGGGGATGGCACATCCAGGAGCAGCACAGGGCAGAGCACAGGGCAGGGCTCCAGTCACGCATGAGCTACCCCTGGGCTCCTGGTTTCCCACGCTGCGTGGTTTCCCTATACTGCACCAGTGGTCAGGTCAGGCCGACAGGTGGCCTGCAGGACCAGTGCATGGCATGGTCCCCTCATGAGTCTCTCTTGCTCCTGATTTTCCCAGTCTCTCCCCAGGATCTGAGCTCAGAAGCTTCTGGGCGAATCTGTGGACTGGCTCAGTCCCACAGCCCGCTGCATCCCCACCCCGAGCCTGGCATGTGGTCAGCAAGCACCACACATCATGGAAGTTTTTCAGAGGAAATATTGTTTTCATTTTTTTTAGTTTTTAAAAAAGTCTCTATTGGTGCCTGCTTGCAATCCAGAGTGCTATACTCATGCTGGGGAGTCGGTATGTGCATTATGTTGTGGCTTGGCTTTTTCTATTCCTTTTCCTCCCCCACCTCTCCTCCTCCTGCTGTCTCCTTCCCCATCACCAAATGTCTCCTGCCTTTTATTTTACTCTTGACTTATGTTTTTGGATTCTTAGAGAAGAGAAACCACGTGATACTTAACTTTCTACGTCTGACTTACTTCCCTTAACATTCCGGGCCCAGGATCCGCTCCCTTTCCCTGCACATGGCGCACACCCAGTGGTCTGGAAGGTGGAGAGAAACTGCACCGTGTACACAGCAGTCTCCACGTCCATTCGCCGGCTAAGTGTGTTCAGGCTGCGCACTAAGCTTTGCCATCGTGGACTGCAGAGCTGTGTGCATGGGTGTGCATGGTCACTGTCATGGGGTAACCCTGTCCTGCCGGAACATGCTCTAGGGGATGACTGGGCAGAGAGGATTTCTGGCTAGGTCTCTGAGGGCTCCCACTCTTACCCCTATGTGCCCACCCCGGGAGCTCTGAAGTAACTTTCCTTATTTTGCTCACCACCAATCACATGCACAAGGCAGAGAACCCGCTCTTGGGTACAAACAAAACTTTAAATTTTGGTCAAAGGAAAAGACACATAACTCCTCAATCAGAATAAGGGACTTCTCCAGCTTGCTGGGCTCTGGACACATGGGCAGGGCCGTAGTGAGTGCCTCTGCAGTGACAAGGCTGGGGAAGTCCTGAAAGGAGCTAGGGAAGCCCGGAGGAGCCGGAGAGACAGGCCAGAGGGAGCCCTGGGCTGATGTCTACCAGCTTGAATTTGGGAGAAGAAAGGCAAGCCCTGTTTACGAAGCAGAGTGCTGAGTGCTCGGTTATGAGTGGTTCCCCGAATGCGTGCCCGATACCCTAGGTCTCTTCTGTGTGGAGGCCAAGCTGCGATCCCAGCGCTGGGACATCCTGGGTTGGCAGTGGTGTGTCACCGGGGCCCTTGGCGATGGCCATGTCCCTGGAGGGGGAGGTGGACGGCTTTGGCTGCAGGGCCCTGGTCATTATGTACCTTGTGGAGCCGTTGGAGCCTCAGTTTCCTCCTCTCGACCTGGAAGAGCATCCGCCGATCCCCCGCCGCGGAAGGTTACTCTCAAGGTGCAATGCAGCCTGCCGTGTCATGTCCTGAATGCACGGTGGGGACAACACGCGCAAGTGGCAGGTGCTCTTTTACTATGACAAAAGAAGGTTTTGCCTGGATGCAATCCCTGAGGGTGAGCCGCGCCGTGGAGGTGGTGGAGCACGGGAGTGCCCAGTGTGGTCCACTATGTGGTCAGGCTCAGCTTGCTGAGGGCCTTTCCTGTGCTTGCGGTGGGCCAAGTTGGTGAATTCCGATGACTCTTGGAGGCTCCTGGGACTCGGGTGCTCTTCTCTCCTTGGAGGGACTTCCTGTGTGAAGGGCGGGTTGCTGCAGGCCAGGACCAGCACCAGCCATGCGCTCTTGACCTGACCGAACTGCTCCCCAGATGTCCCCTGTCTCCCTCTGCAGCTCCTGTGTGTAGCCCATGTTCCGCCTCCCCAGTTCCTTGGGGCCCCCCTTCCTTTACCGCATCTGGCATGGGTAGCTCCTAGGAGCAGGCCGCTCCCTGGTGTGAGGGCCACACTGCTGGTCACTGCTCAGTAACTGAGGGCTGGGTTTGCTGAGCTCCTGAAGCAGGAGTCATCAGGGACCACGTCTTCCGTTCCCAGCTTTGTCACTACAGAGGCATTCACTATGGCCCTGCCCTGAGCATGTGGCCCCGCCAGGATCGGATCCCAGAGGCTGATTCCTCCACACTTCCTGCTCACCTCTGGGACTCCCCATACCTTCTGATATGGAGATGTACTTCTGGTGAAGGACAGTTTATTGTTGCATAGATAAAATACAGGCGCACTAAAGGATCTGCACACTCCAGCCACAGCCAGCACTGACCTTCGGCTCCGATCACTTGTGTGTCTCGATGAGCGTGTGTTCAGCGAGACCCCAATCGGAGACTTCCCCAGATTGTTCAGCAGTCGTCTTTGGTAGCAGAAATGATTGGGTGTGGGACGCAGAGAGCTGTCAGGACCCCAGTGACCCCCCCCCCATCCACGGGCTCCCCACCAGGGCAGGCTTGGCCCCTGTGTCTCCTAAGCAGGGCCTGGGCCAGACCCTTGCCTGACAAGGGATCCTAGCTTCCCCACCAGGCCGAAGTTCAGGGATACCGTGCCAGGCAGGAGCTGGCTGCTTCTTTGGGCTGGGTGCCGTACACAGGCCAGCAGCAGGTGAGCCTGGGCTAAGGGAAGACAGGTCGGGCTGGCACTGAGCCACGGAGGTCCAGGCAGGGCCTGTCCCCAGACCCTGAACCTGGTTCCCCCGTGTCCCCTGCATTCCACATGGGGACCCCCGCCCTTCCCTCCCCTCCCCTGACCCTTCCTCCTGCCTCTTTTGCAAACTCTGGTGGGCCACCACCCTTATTTGTAGCCTGTGTTCATTAGGTTCCTGTAAAACGGCTCTGCACTCTTCCTGAGTGTGGGTTTTGCAAATTCAACCTCACCTGTGCATGCTGGAAGGAAAACCCTGTGCCCATCTCCCAAACGTGCCTGGCACCGGGGGACCCAGGCCCTGGAAGCCCCCAGCCCCTTCGCCCCTCCCAGTCACCCTAAGCAGATCTACAGGCCACTGTGTGGCGCCCTCACCTTGACTCTAGGCTGCAGAGGCTCCTGGCCCTGCCCCCAGCTCACAGGGACTCCCTACCCCTGCCACCTTTCCCAGTGAGCCATGCTGTCTGCATGCCCTTTCCCGTGGCCAGTGCTGCACACAGCTGGGTGGTTTTGTTCCTGGTTCCTTTCTTTTCCTTTTTTTTTTTTTTTTTTTTTAAAGTCAATCAGTGTGGGTGTTGGCTACATGAGACTGTGGAAAAATGGGATAAATATGCCGGGAATGTGGAAATTATCACACGGGATGCTCCTTGGCCGCTTCCTAGGGTGCAGGGATGGTGGGGTGGCCATGCGCTGCTGCCAGGAGACTTCCCAGCTGCAGTGCATGCAACAGCGATGGTCTGCAGACCAGGTGGCCAGCCTGCTTGCATGTGACTCATGCTGTGTGGGAGAAAGACTCTGTGGCTGGGGACGAGGAAGGGTGAGGCGAGCCCCAGCAGGAGCAGGGGCAGCGTCCAAGTCTCCTGGCTTGGTGGAACGCTGCTGAGAGTCCTGTGGCCAGTCTGCAGCTTTTGAGGCCCCCACCGTGAGCCTCTGTGATGCCCCTGATCCATCCACTGCCTCCCAATAGCCCAGGGCTGCTGTGACTGAGGTGAGCATGCCTGGTCCCCGCTACCATGTCCAGCAGGCAGCTTGGGGGGTGTGATGCTGTCTCCCACCTGTCCCTGTGACCCCCAGGACGACCTTTCAAGCTGATGTCGGGGGCAGAGGGACGTCCTCCTGTGCCCTGAGTCCCTCCCTTCTCAGCTGCCTGCTTCCAGGGTTGTGCGGATGGAACTGAGTGATGCTGGTGGATAACACTGTCACTACCCTGCGGTTCAGCACAGGGACATCACAGGCCTTGTGGTTGTCAAGGGGACAAAAGTGAGAAGGTGACACTGAGCCCACGTCCCCAGCACTTCTGAACTGTGGCCTTGGTTTCTTGCCGGGGAAGCTTGGAGCAGTGGCTCTGGGTTCGAGTCCTGATGCCATCCTGCTCCTGGAGGACAGGGTTGCCTCTGTCTTGCTGGATTTATAGAATCTTTCACCATGTGTGGCTCCCCGTATGACAGGAGTCACCTCACAGGGTCGTGGTTCCCGGCAGTTTGACACCAGCTAGGAGCAGGTGATGTCCCCGAGGACAGAAAATCACTGAGCCTCCCGTTCCCAGGAAGGGGCGTGGCAGAGCTGACTGATGTGAAGTTTGCCCATAAAGCATGAAGATGAGCCCTGGGCTGCACGAGGCAGGGATAGGGCAGGGAGGGCTCCCCCTGCGGGCTAGGTGTCAGCCTAGATTTTTTCTGAGCCCCCATCTGAGCCACACAAGTTGGTGTTGTGGGGAGTGACAGAGGACCAAGACATGGTCTTGCCGCCTATCTCAGCAGTTCATAGTCTAGCAGTGAAGATAAGGATTACTCTAATTTAAGGAGGAAATGCATCTAAATGCAGCCTTGACAAAGCCCTATCAGACAAAGACAGACCTGTTCCTGTTTAGTTGGGTCTTGAAGGATGAGTAGGAGTTAGCCAGCAGGGAAGCAGAGTCTATGAAGGAAAGGAAAGGGCACAAAGGCAAAGAAGTGCAGAAGCCCTGTGTTAGTTGTGGCTGCGGCTGCCTTGCAGGGAGGAGAGGGAATCAGGTGCTGTGGGAGCAAGACGGGTGCTGTGGGGCTTTGAAGGAAAGAAAGGGTGTCTCATCTACCCTGGCCTCCTCTATCCCTGTTCCTTGCAGCTGGGCTGTGGCCACTAAAAGGCAGGCGGGAGAATCCGCAGCAGGCCCAGAAGACAGGGGGCCTTTGTCTCACTAGAGTAATGGAACAATTAATGTGGAAGTGAGGGAAGCCTTTCCCGTGACTGGGGCGAGCTCCCCTGGGGTCCTCCGCCGGACCCGTCTACCTCTTCCCTGGCCCGTTTATTCTTTATTTTTCCCTCTCTTTAAAAACTCGTGTTTCTTGGATATGCCTGGAAAACATACTTACTAATAAAATGAATATGTCACCCATGCGTGGTCATCGCATTGTTTCATTAGTGTGATGAGGAAAAAATATGTATTTTGTCCCAGAGAGAGGGCCCTCAGCAACGACTCGGGCCACAGCAGCCTTCACTTTAGCTAACTTTAGCTAACCCACTGTGAGCCATTCTGAGTTGACTTTTGGGTGTTTTAAGGAATTTTTGATGTGCTGTAAGATGTGGGGTTTTGCATGTGGATGTCCAGTTGTTCCATACGTTTACTGAGGTGCAATCCTTTCTCCACTTAACTGTTTTTCCATCTTTGCCAGAAATCAAATGTCTGTTATGTGGGTATCTATTTTGGGACTCTATATTGGTACCTTGGTGGCTTGTCAGTCTTGGTATCAATGCCGTTTTGTGATGATTGGTGTAACTTTGTTGTAAGTCGTGGGGCTGGAGAGGGTAACAGCTCTAATTCTGTTCCTTTATTAAAGCTGTTTAGACTAGTCTGAGTCTTTTCTATTTCTACAGAGATGTAAGAATCAAAATGTTAATCTTTGTGAAAAATGATGTTTGACAGTTTGACAAGGGATTGTGTTTTCTGATATTTATTATTTTCTTCTATTCTTTTTTGGTTCCATTCTGTCTTTTATTTAAAAGATACTTATATTTCTAAGTACAAAATAAGTATCTCCACCTTTGGGAATGCAGTGTAGGCTTACTTCTGGTGGAGTGAAGGAAATTGAGCTCCTGGATTTTTCTCTGCTCGATAAAAGGCACAGTGTGTGTGCCCTCTGACAGGGTCTCCGCTTTCTAGAGGGAACACACAGGGGTGCAGATATATGTAAATCACATTGTGCATATGTATGTATGCAAATTTCACATCCAGTTATACAAGATTTTCTGTTATATTTGCTGTGGGGTTTTTTTTTAAAGGGAAAAAAGAGTCTTAAATGTTTTTAACTCAGGCATCTGGCGTGAGTCTGGGATGTATCTTAGTGGCCCGGCATGCACAAGGCCCTGGGTTGGATCCCCAACACTACCAATTAAAAACAAGCAAGATTGCAGTGGAATTGGTGTACCCAGTGCAGAAGCAAAAATAACTTTCCGGAGAGGAGGAGGCTGAGGGAGGCGTGGTGTGTATGGCAGGGGGAGTGTGGCTCCTCTTGTTGGTGACGATTCCAAAGATCCTTTCATTATTCAGTCAGTGTGTGCTGGCTGAGCAGCTACTCACTACCTCCTGCACTGCCGGGCTGGCCAGTCCTCAACCTGTCCCCCCTTCCCCAGCGTGTGCACAGCACCCAGCGGTTCTGCCACCACCTCTCTCATTTCAAGCCTGCTGCCCTGCTGTTAGCACAGAAACTGGGCAGGACAATCGTGAGGCCGAGGTGGTGCGTGGGCTGGCAGTGTTTGATGGCTTCTCCCACACAATGGGAACCTTACTGTGGCCCTGTAGACACGTGACCGCTTCCTGGCTGGGCTGACCTGAGGCTGGGCCTGCTCTCAGGCCTGCTTTTGTGACCTGTGGGGCTGCGGGTGAGGGGCACTTGAGCAGCGGTGATGTTTCTGAAGCTGCATTAGCGCTTGTAACAAAGGTATTTCGAAAAAAAGCAGACAAAAATAAAACCTGAGTGGCTGGGTAGGGTGGCGCATCCCTGTAATCCCAGCACTCAAGAGGCTGAGGCAGGAAGATTGCCTCAGGTTCAAGACCAGCCTGAGCTTCATAAGCAAGATTAAGATCAGCCTACACTACAGAGGGAGACCCTGTCTCAAAAATAGGAAGGGCGGCAAGGGCTTTCCAGCTGTGACAAACCCCACGTCCACCTGGTGCTTCAGGCCAGGGTGACTTTAGAACAGGGCCATACCAGGAGGCAGTGGGAAGAGGACAGACGGCCAGCCGCACTGGGTATGGGCAGGAGGGTGGGGTCGTTCTGCGTTCACACTGGCATCCCGGGTCTCAAGGTGGCAAGCAGGCTCTTAGGTCGGGACCCAGGAGCCATGGTGGGAAGACAGCTCTCATCCCTGCAGGGCGCTTGAGACTCTGGCCCTGCTGAGTCTTCTAGATGGTTCCTCTACCCTGGCCCAACCTGGTGCCACACACATGCCTGACCCTCACAGCTTCTCTGCTCAGCAGAATCCAAATCCTGCTCCAAGCATGGAGTCAGAGGTGACCAGCGAAGTCTCCTTAAGAAAATGTTTTGGCTAAACTGGGTGCCCAATGGTGTCCCCACTCTGGGCACTGCCATCTCTCCGCCGTGCTATCTGTGGCCTGGCTAAGGCACTGTTAGGACGAACGGTGCCAGATTCAGGGTCAAGTGGGATCTGGGGACCATCCATCGCTGAAGCCCTGCACCACGGCCTCGGCCACCTCTCAGGTGACAGTTTTCATGCAGCCCCTCCACGCCAGGGCAGAAAGCAGCCACAGGCTCCAGGCTGGGCAAGGCCTAGTTGAAGAGCAGTTGGCACGGCTGAAGCTGACAGGGACAGGAAGGGGGGGTCATGGTCTCCTCACACAGCTTCAGGGCGGGGCGGGGTGCAGCAGTTCCTGGCCTGCAGGGGGCGGTGTGAGCACCCCAGGAGGGGTAGGTGTAGAAAGGCCAGAACCGTCTTGTCGTCCTGCCCCCCACCTTGAGGGACCCAAGGCCTTGGAGCTCCAGGCACTGGCCGCACCTCCCTGCCCGTGGCCTTCACATTGGGGTTGGAGCATGGCCTCTCGTGCCTTCCTAAGGGGGTTGAGCCTGGGCTCGCATGCACAGTACCCCTGAGCTCCAGCCTGGCTGATGCTTCTATGGTCACAGTGATTGGCAGGGCTGCAGCTGAGGGGGAGCCTACTCTCGCACCGGCTGCACCCTGAGTCCAGGGGGCTGACCATTGTGGGTGCTTGGCCCGTCCTTCCCAGGGGCAAGTAGCCCCTGGTCCAAAATAGTGTAAGGTCCCCTAAGACGACACTAGTAGACATCTTCTGGGCCAACATTGTCCTTCTGGGAACCAGACGCACTTCGGTGCCCTTCCCTGCCCTACACTGCAGGGTGCCCGCCTACCCTCTCCATCCCTGACCTTGAGTCCCTCCTGGTGGCAGGCCCGATGCCCACCAGTGGCAATGACCACAGGGTCTGCCTCCTCCCCCTTGCACTGTGCTCAGAGGGTGCCTCTCGTGGTGATGAGGATGAGAGGAGGGGTAGGGCCCGAGGAGCCACCGAACGTGTGGTGACAGGAACAGGGCACACATACCTGCCAGGCGGCATGGAAGAGCCTGGCGCTCTGCAAACACTGGGCCCAGGAAGCGTGGTATTTAGTGTAAACACGCCTGCTGTTTGTTCTCCAAGGCGCTGACGCTGGGTTCTGAGGTAGAAGTGAGCTGGGGAGGCCGTGGCCACATGCTCTCCTTTTCCAGCTCGTGGTCCATCCTGAACCGCCTGCCTTGAAAGCTCTGCTTCCTGGGCCAGCTCGGCTCTGGCAGAGACAGTGGTTTATTATTATTATCATTACTACTATTACTCTTCATAATGAAGTCTTCCTACGTGGGCCCCCCGAGGTGGACTTACTCTCCTGGACCCGGGCCCTAGCACTGGCCAGTGCTGGGTGGGTGTTGGTTCAGTCAGGGGTTATTGAATGCGCTGCAGGTAAACTGGAAAATATGGCTAAACAAACAGGAAGGGAAATGGCTGTAATCCTATAGCCAAGGAAAACCGCCTTTTATCTTACTGTGTACTTTCCTGATGTTTTTCTGTGATATACGATAGTACTATAATTGTTTTCACTTAATGACTTCTGTAGATAGGAATAAATACCTACTAAACATATTAACTTGCCATCATTTTACCTAATCATGCTGTGTGCCTTAGCTCTAACCTGGTTCCAACACTTGCTGTGTTATGGAAATTGATTGACGTCGGATTGTTTAAACCTTCCAGCCTGCTTCCTACCCAGCCACTGTTTCACCCTGCCGGATGGTGGATGTAGTGCATCAGGCCCAACTGTCTAGGGAAGGGGACACGCAGACAGAGACAGAGCTGCAAACCACTAGGAAGTGGCAGAGGAAGTGGGGTGCTCCTGCTGAACGCCACGGTCCTCGTGTGGACCCCCATGGTGATGTAACAGCAGGGTCCCTGCTGGCTCAGCCAGAGGGGCAAGCAACACATTGACCTCGAGATGATGAGGGAGCTCTCTGGGGCTGACCAGCTGGTGAGGAAACCCTGGGGCTAGAGGAGGAGCCCAGGGAGAGGGCTGTGATCCCAAAGCCAAAGACACCTGACCTCTTGCTCCAGTCTAGTGCCCCCTTGTGGCTGCCCCCGTTAATCTCTCCTTGAGCCCTGGGTTCTGGTGAACAGAGGCTGCTGTGAGCCCAGAGGACACTGCAGCAGTTTGCTTTAGGGACTCACCGTTGTTTCCTTTCTGCTAAAGAAGGGTACCTCTGAGGGCCAGGGCAGCAGAAGGCTGGCAGCACTGCCACACCACACACAGGCTGCTTTTCTCATGCTACACAGATAGCAGTGCTCAGGTAGCTACCACTGCTGTCCCTGGGGGGTGCAGAGCAGAATCTGAACTTGGGTCCCCATGGGTGCAGGGCTGCGCTCCTGTGGCCTCTGTTGTCAGAGACCTGGTGGGTCGTTAAGCACGCGGCCTGCCTCTTTCTGGGGTGTTTGTGACTCACAAATATGAACCAAAACAAGGCAGGCTCTGTGCTCCCATTTGGGGAAAGTTAATATTTCACATGCTCTTGAGAATTCAGGAGCTTGGTAAAACTGACTATTAAGCAGGGATTTTCTTTAATTCCTTTTGTTTAAAGATTTTCTGGTGGAACACTCTATGTAGTGTGCCTCCCTCGGAGCTGCTAGCAGTGCCAGAGACCGTTAGAGAGTTTGTGTAAATATGGAGCGGGCCAGGGCTGCCCACACACGTTGCAGGCATGAGGCTGGTGGTGGGGAACGGTCTGGGCACAGCCAGCGTGCCCGGGGTGTCCCGGGGCTGCACCTGGATCCCGTTGGAAGTGGGCTGGGGACGGTTTGGTGAGGATCTCCAGCCGTTTTTCCGTCAGAAAGATGGGTTTGCCAAGGCAATAAAGCAGGTAGCCTTCAACCAGGACGATGCGTGTGTAGATCCTGGATAAGAAACCGACACCTCTTAGGAAAGACCAGAATATCTAGTGGGAAAATTAAGGGACAGAAACATTCTGTGACACCTTTGAAGTGACAGTTCCACGCCCAGGGTCACAAGGAGAGGTTGATTCCCTTCCAGCATCTTTTAAAATGCCTTGTTTTTATTTAACATTGTTTTGGGAAGGACTGCATTCTATTGACACATTGAGAAAAAAATCACTTTTTATTTTTCTAAAACTAACAGGGGCTTAGGCCTTAGTGGGAAACACCGTGCAGATGAATGGCCTCTTTCTTCAGCTGCAAAATTTAATAGCTGCCACCGAAAGGCTTTTCTTTTAATCAGCAAAAAATTTATTTTGTCCTTGACATTTTATGCCAAAAATCAGCCTGGAGAGTGTTTTATGGCCAGAGCTGAGCTGCCCTAAAGCGAGGCTTTTCTTGTGAACAGTGTTCCTCGAGTTGGTATTTTACATTCAATAACAAATTCGTACTAATTTATTAGATATCCTTCTTAGCATTCCAGGCAGATAAAAGAAGTATGGGGGGGTGCATCTTGGTGGGGAGCACCCAAGGACTTCTGGGGGAAAGGAAGACTGCCATGACCCAGCACTTCCGGCCCTGTGCGCCTGGGGATGATGGATTCCAGGGTCATCCTTTAGGCCTCGTGGTGGAGAGTGTTTCCCTCATGGTCGAGGACACACAGTGATGGTACTTAGCACCTGCTCCAGGAATTTCTTTCTTAGGATCCACAGTAACAGAAACAAGCAGAAAGGAGACAACTGTGTGACCTAGAAAAGCCGCTGCATGAGTGTTAAGTGGATGCAAAATAACTAGGACCATAGCACCCAAAAGCTGACTTTTGCTTCCTGCATGCTGGAGAAATGCAGCTATTTTATTAAAGTGACAGGGAGCCTGTCTGAAATTCTGTCCTTCTGTCACCTGTGTTTAAGACAGGTCGGTCAACCCAGAAGCACTGAGCCCTGGTCCCACATGAAGGCCATTCCTGGATCTTAGGAGAGACTCAAAGAAATGGGAGACATAGTCCCTGCCCCTGGATCTTGAGTGTCACCTGGGAAATGAAATAAAAACTTAAAATCAAGATAACACCCAGCTACCAGACGGGCCAGGAGGAAAAGAGCCCAGGCCGAGGCTCTGGTTGTGAGGTCCATGGATGGAGCTGAGTGGTGAATCGTGGGTATGGCAGAGGCGCAGGAAAGCGGGGGGGGGGGGGGGACGGGGGACGGGCACACCTGTTTACTGTGCTGCCTGCTGCCTGTGCCTTGTCCTCCGGGGCCTCTTATCCTGGCATCACAGTGGATGAGAGGCAGGCGCAGATAGAAGAAGTGCTTTGCTGCTCACTGTTCGGCCACACATAGCTGACATGCCAACACCCGGACCCGTCAGCTGCCTCTCCGGGACACCTGGTCATTTCCCCGGAATCCGCGGGAGTCGGTTTTCTAGGCCTCAAGAAGCGTGCTCTGGAGCCTCTGCATCATCCAAGATGTATCTGTTTTTCCTCATCCGGGTGACACCTGCTTCAAGCCCCGAGGGAGCTGGGTTGTCCACTACTTGGAGCTGGGCAGCTGCCCCATGGCCTGTCCACGGGGACACTCCCATTTATGCAGCAGCTGCTGTGTGCCAGGCTCTGTGCTGTGTCCCCATGCAAATGTGGCAGGTTCTGCACAAGACAGGAGGCCTTGCACACGCACACGCACACACATACTCATACACACACCGACTCATTAAGTTACTTCTATAAACCTTGCCTGTGTGCCCACCATGTGGCAGGTGCCAGGGCCCAGCTGGTGACATCCATGAAGAGACGGGTGGGGCCGAAGTGGCTCAGCAGTCACGGCCTTACCCCATGGTCCCACCTGACCCCTTACTCAGGTATTTCCAGATCTTTCAGGCCTCGTTTCATTCGACATGAGTGTGCCTGTGGGTTGCAGGGGTGACAGTGACCTGGAATCTGCGTTGCTAACACATGCCCAGGGCAAGGTACAGAGACTGAGAAGCCGGAGACCAGCAGGCAACAAGATGCAGCCACTTTCCACTAGGGTGAGGGCCTTACCGCAGTCACTCTCAGGAATCTCGGAGCCTACTACTCCAGGCCGAGGGCAGCGTTTTTTCCCCTAAGCACACGTTATAATCCTGGGATCACGACTTAGAGGGCACAGCTGAGATAGCGGTGGACAGAGGCTGGGCCCACTCACTGGCTCCCTGAGGACCCTCTGGCCTTGGTTCCTCTCTGTGCAGCAGGCTCGGCTCAGCCCTGCTTGCCTTGGCTGTGGTGGGGGGTAGTGAGGCCACATGTGCAGAAGGTCAGGGCAGATCAGGCCTTGGTGTCACAGCAGATGGGGAGACCAGTCTGGGTGAGCACCTACCCCAGTTCCAGGCCCAAGGGCTCCTTAGGGGTCACAGCACTTCTGCAGTCAGAGGTGGTGTGTGGGTCTTCTGTGCAAGCGAGTTTCAGGCTCTTCAGCCTTTACTTCACCCATTCCAACTTGACCTCTCGTGGTCTGTCCTTCCCTGCACGGGGCCTGTGAAGAATGAAGGATGGGCCGGGAGGGAGCTCAGTTGTGAGTGCTTGCTTAGCGTGCATGAGGCCCTGGGCTCCATCCCCAGCACTGACAAATAAGAGGCCTCGGTAGAGAGGAGATGATATTTTAGTGAATCTCGGCAACACTGCTAGGTTGAAAGCATCACCCCCATTTCACTGTCACCTCATTTCGCCATGAGGCACACACAGCTCCGCTGGGCCTCTTTGCGGGCCTTTTATTCTGTTCCTCTTGTGAAGGCCAGTCTTCCCAACTTTGTAGCTCCAAACATGTGATGGCTTCCGTTCCACCGATGACAGCTGCCGCTGGTGTCTGGCTAGCGGTGACTTCAGGCCTGTGACTCGGGGGCCGTGTACGACTTTATTTAGGATGAATAGGAGAATTCCATGATCACAGCTGTCTTAACAGAGACAGCGATTCCGAGGCCTTTGAATCTTGCGTCTCCAGCCTTCTGTGGAGAGACCTGAGGCTCACCTCTTGTGGGAAAGTGCAGATCAACCACAAGCTGCGCTGAGGAGTTAGCAGCGCGGCTTTCAGGAAAAACTGCCCAAAATGCACACAATGGTGACAATGACAGTAAGAAGGCAATGGCCTGGCGTTGCAGAGTCTGTCCCACTGCGGCATGTCACAGTGCACGCGTAGCCCCGGGGCTGAGTGGCCTGGAACAGACCTCACAGAGCTTGTGACTCCCCAGCACAGCACAGCACAGCACTGGGATCCCCCAGGACTGCCCATGGCCAGCGGGGTCTTGAGAAGCCAGACAACACCGGAGACTGGTGGTCTGGTCAGCTCAGGCTGCCTCTGCTCGGAGTCCTGGAGTTAACTGAACCACTGCTATGTGACAAGGGGCCCTGGCAGAGCACCTCCTCTGGGGTGTGTGGTCCTCGGTGCCTGTCTCCCGTCTGCTCTCTATCCCTTTGCCCCTGAAGTACCTGTGCTCAGCCACACCTGCCACATTGCTGCCTGGTCTGCCCTCTGCCCCCTTCCCACCCTGGCTCCCTGGGCCCTGTCTATGGCCACCTCTCGGTTTGTAGACTGCTCCCTGGACAACTGTCCTGGCAGTGCTTCTTCATTTAAAAAAGCCCCAACTCCGGACCAGGTGTGACTCACCAGCCCTGGAAGGTGCTTCCTTTTGAAATGCAGCTTCTCCCCACCTGCTGGGAGGTGCACGTGTCCCTGCCCTTTAGCACTGTGAAGAATCTAAGGTTCTGCACCTCCCCAAGGCTTTTGTTTCCTCAACTGTGGACGGATTTCTGGGAGTTAAAAACTGGCCAATGCCGCTTTAAATCCAGACAAAAGTTCTCTGTTTCCGCAGTCCTCTGCAGCTGGCAGATGAGAAACCAACGTGCAGATGGCGCATTCTGCCAGCCTGCTGGAGGTCTGGTGCCCAGAGCGAGGGCAGGGACTCCAGTCCCTGCCTCCCGGAAGCTACCAGCACGCCTGGTGAGCGGCCCATGTGGTTTTACAGAGGGGCTGGGGGCTGTGCACAGAGCCCATTCCGAAGTGCCTGGCAAGCACAGGCTTCCGAAGAACTCGGGGCAGGGTGATCAGCTCATTGTGGAGGGCAGATGGACTCGGGCTGCCAGCCGCAGTGAGGGTGGCCTTCTTCTGTGTTGCTCCTGGCACGTGCTCGCCTCTCAGCCACATGTGCTGAGGCCTGGGTGGTTTGTCTGTTTACTGCCATCCGGAGGAGTTGGTGGGAAAAGCCAAGAGGCCGTGGGCACTTAGGACTGGTGCTGGCACCAGGCATCCTGAGAGGCCTTGCTTTCATTAATAGTGACTTAGTCATTGGAGCAGGCGTGGCTGAGGGACCCGGGTACAGATCAAGACGCCGGCAGGGGTGTGGGGGTAAGAGGCCCAGGTGCAGCCTTGGTACTCTCCGCCCGCCTTCATCTTGTACTTTAACCCTGCCCTGCGTATTTTGACCACAGCCTGTGTACTGGGGCACCCTTTCCTGAGTGCCGGATTGTGTTGGGCCCTCGGGTTCTCGCCCTCATTAGCCTAGGGGGACCTCTCCCCACTGCCTTCTCCCCTCCTTTGGGCATCTTGGAGACTCTTTGGGGTGACCCTCGGGTGAGCCCACACTCTGACTTGTGCTGCCCATGGCTCCTGACTTCTTTCTGAGGGAGCCTGAGTGTCCATGGATTGGCTCTGGTGAGTTGCAGCGAGGTTGGGGATAGACACAGCTGGGGTGTCACGAGTGAGGGGGCTTTAAAGACCCACTTTGGTTTATTCCAGCAAGCCAGAAACAGGCAGACTGCCATTTCCTGCCTCAGAAATGGGGCCTTTTGCCCTTTCCAACCCCCCACTCTGTGTGCTTTTCTGTTTCTCCTTGTTCAGTATAATTTCTGCTTTTTTTTTCTTCCTGTCCAGAAGCACTAAATATTTGGACACCTATTTTGTGGAGATTTATATGAGAAAGTCATGGTTCCTGACCTTGGGGAATAAATACATGCTTATGTGAGAGCCAGTTACCTGGTCCACTCCTGTGTGATTTTTAAACCCTATTTCAGATACCACCTCCTCCAGGAGGGCTTTCCAGAATTCTCCCTCACACTGGTGATTGTCTGACTCCTGTATTACACTGACAGCCCCCAGAGGGCTGAGACTGTGGGATACTGTGTAGTTCTCTTTAACTCTGTGGTCCTGGCCCTGGGCATCCAGTATACATTTGTTGATTGAAATAAAATGGTCAATAAAAGCAAACGGTAAATGTATGGTAATAGCTGAGCTGAGAGCTTTTTGCAAAGCAGTTCTCAGCCGCCTCCAGCATGACGGTGGCTGGGTTCCTGAGGGCTCCTTCCACCCAGGCGGCTCCTCTCTTTTTGCTCCTATGAGCCTTCTGCCCCTTGGAGTGGCAAGTAACACTGCCACTTCACAGAACAGAGGCCCACAGGAGTTTGGTACCTCACACTGGGTTCCAACCAATGACCTTCTCAGGATCTGGCCTCTTCCCGACCACACTAAACTCCCTCTCCACTGAGACGCCGGTCAGGGTCTTCAGTGGGAAGCCTCCTTCCTTTAAAGGCAAGCTTCCCACAGGCTGGGCTGTGCTGCAGGCTGACCAGTCAATACCCACTGGCTGGGAGTAGCGTCTTGGGGTGGGTTTTTCCAGTTACCTGTGAAAGCAAATTACGGGTCACGCTCTTCACTAGAACAAGTGTTTACTGGTCAACAAGTGTAAAATCAGCTCAGCACTGTCCGTTTGGGCCCAGTACAGTGCCTCCTCTTGGGGCTTGGTCCAGAACCATCTTTGCAGAGAAAGTTCAGGCCAGCATAAGCCCCATGCTGCGGCGATGTTGCGGTGGCCGGCTTCTGTCTGCACCAGGTGGCAGTCTGCCTGTGCAGAGGACACCAGGCCTGACAGCATTTGTGCCGAGACTGTGTGTCAGGCATATGCTTAGGACAGCACTCGTTTATGGATGCACAGTACTCTCCAGGTCAGTGCTCCTCGGTGCCTGCTAAGTGCAGGTCTAGAGAGCACTGTGTGGAGTCTCAGACCGAGCCCCACTTTCCACCTGATGGGCGCTCCCCAACAGGTTCCCCTCGGACACTGGCAACGTCCTAACCACAAAAGGTGGCTCTCCGAGCAGCCCACTGTAACCAGATATTAATTTAGAAATGTGTGTGCACCTTGCTGCAGAAACCAGACTGCACACGTGCACAGGTACCATGTTGTGGTGGGAAGAGCCCTCTGAGGCCAGGCAGGATGAACTCCAGGTCATGCCTCACCCCAGGGAGCTGCCTGTCAATTGTCAGTCTTAGCCAGCGTGTCACCACCTGTCCCCATGGGGCTTCTCTCTTTGCTGAGTCCCGGAGAGGGCCAGTGACTCCTTAAGCTCCAAAACGACAGAGCTGGGATTTGAACTCACCTCCGGCTGATGCTGTGGGGCTTGCTGTGGAGGGGTGCTGCCTTGCCGGGGATCTGTTCTGGAGGGGTTCAGCTGAAGACTGCAGACAGTTCAGGTGGGCGCCAGGCAGGAAGATGCCCTTTCCTTTCGAGGTGCAGGGGCTGGGTTGGGGCCTGAGACCCGTTAGCTTGTGTGGAAAGTTACCAGAACCAGAGCTGCTCCTCTCTTCTGTTTCCTCCTTAGACACCTCGGACAAGGGAGAGAACTGGGTGTGACACATGTCAGGACAGGGGCCACCCGCCTGAGGGTGGGCAGTGTCGCAGTGGGACCTTGGTCAAGGGCCTGGGCCATTCGGAGGGAGGCTCACTTCCCTCCGCATGAGATGGGGCCCCTGGCACTGCCTGGGGCTGTGCCACTCAGTGCCCCGTGCCAGCTGCAGTCTCGTTCCTTGGAGCACACAGAGTGGACCTTCGTGGCCCGGCATTCTGACGCCTGGCAGCCACTCAGGAAGCGTTTGTGGAGGAGGCAGTGTGGCTGGTTTGCTGCCTCTTGGAAGGCGCTTGACTCTCTCACAAGCCTCTAGGAGCCTGCCTTCGAGTCCCAGCAATGGCTCAGGGGTCCCTGTGGCCCAGCCTGCTCACAAATCAGGCTTCCATGCCAAGCACTGAAAAAATAAATCCTGCCTTTTTATGGGCAGAGAGTAACATTTACAAAACACTAGTTACAGCAGAGCCTGTGCGTCATCTATTTAATCATAGAAATCCTGAAAAATATTATGCCTGTATTTTAAAAATTTTTTTTTTTTTTTTTGGTCTTTTTTTTGGTACCGGGGATCGAACTCACAACCATACACCTGCAAGGCAGGGCTTATGCCACTGAGCTAAATCCCCAACCTCAACCCCTATGTATTTTAAATGGAGAAATTAGGGCTTCGTGAAATGGAGTGAGAAAGATAGGGTCCACTGCATGGCAGAGGCAGGGGCAGAAGCAGGGGAGGCAGATGGTGCAGCCCCAGGCCCCCAGCCGGGCTCATGGCAGCCTCCTTCCCCATGGAGCAGTGGCTTTGCAGGTTCAGGATTTGGTTTGGGCTCAGGGTGGCCGGGGTGAGCAAGAAGCTGTGGTGAGATTTGATGATGTGGATGAGTTTGGAGGCCTGCAGTGTAGATGGCCCTGGACCACCGGGGTCTGACCCAGTCCTGCCACTGACCAACTGTATGGCCTTGGGCTAAAGACCTGTGTTTGTTAGGCTCAGTTTGTGTACCTGTTAAATGGGTGTGATGCTGATGCTGCCACCTTTGTGGGCTTCAGTGCGGGGCCCAAATTCTGCTGGGCCAAGGGCATTGTCCAACACAGGGGAGCATGGGTCACAGCGAGCGTTGGGTGGGGCCCATGATCAGAAGACCACCTTCGATCTCCACCTTTGCTTGCATCCCGAATGGATCTCATGCTGGTGATTTTGATGGGTAAAAACTACTTCCCAAACAAATCCTTCCCCCAGCCTAGATGTGTGAGGACTGCCAGGCGGAATCCAGCTCAACACAGACTTAGATTTCACAGAAGGAAAACACTGAGGTTGCCTTTGGCGGAGTTTGCTTTTGATAGACTTTGCTTTGAATGTGTTGCTTTTGAGGATTTGGGGTCTTGAGGGATGGACAGCTGATGTCTGGTGTCTGGTGTCCGGGGCTGGAACCTCCCTCCACATCAGGCCTTTCAGACAGCTGCCGTCATTCCCTGAGCCTTTAGCCGCAAGCCGAGGGAGCCCATATCACCCTGTAAATTATTTTTTCAAAGGAAAGATGAGGGAGTCGGAGAATAATCTGTCATGATTCTTTTACATGGACTCAGTAAGAATTTATCAGTCTAGGTCTATCTTTGTTGCTTTGATTTGAGGTACTCTTAGCGGGGTGGAGGAGGGAGTCATTTTTACAGAAATGTGAAGATGTGGCTCAGTACCTCACCCCTCTTTCCAACTCTCGGTAAAAGAACCAAAACTATTGTCTGTGTTTTTAATCAGCAAAATTATCATGCAGCCTTTGGTGAGGGCAACAGAATGGAGGGGACTTTCTGCATCTCCCTTACTCTGCAAGCCTGGCCCTCGATACACTAAGATGCAGTTCTGAAACCTCCGAGGACCCAGTTCTGCTGATGACTACTAACAGTGTGTGTCTGCAAAAATTTAGCAAAATAGCTCCCCAGGTGGACGGGACACTCCTGAAGAGCCAGAGGCTGAAAGTGCAGTAACGGAGAGAAGACATGGTTGCTAAGGGGGCTTAGAAATCGGTCATAGTGACGAGTGTGATGGTGTAGATGCTTAGCAATCAATACTGGTGACAGTGGTGGTGACAGAGGGGGAGGACAGAGGGGGACACTGCCACTCAGGCCACATCAGCGCCACTCACTCTGCATTTTTCCAAATGTAGTCATCCTCCAAGCAGATAGAAGCTTGAAGCAGGAGCTTCTCAGCCTCCGCTGATGGTGTGGTAAGGAGAGGTCTGGATGAGAAGCATCACTGAATTCTGCAACAAGAGCAGGAAGATGGCTCAGATTCATCCCCAAACCAGCGTGCTATGCTGTGCACTGTGTGAACAGTACATGCGGGTCAGAGAACAGGGCACAGGGTGTGCTGAGTCAGAAGTGCTCCGTGTGCTTTGGGAAGGGGACACTAGAGGCTTCTCGGACCAGGAGGCCGGGCCTGATTTTCTAGGGAGCTTCTACTTCAGCCGGACCTGGAGGTGACTGCAGGCTTTCTACTCATGAGGAAGGAGGAGGTGGCTTTGGCAACCAAGGGCACAGCCCGTGGTGTCCTGGCTCCTGGAGGCCCAGGGAAGGGGTCAGGTTAGCGGTGGAGGCTGACACAAGCTAGGCCTGAGTGTGCAGCCCTAGGGAAGAGTGAGTTTCTTCCATGAAAACCCCAAAGTGATGAAAACACGGCTTCCTTCTGTTCACTTCCTAAGTGGTTTCCTCGTTCTGTGTTTAGGCTATCAAGAAAGCCTCTCCCCAGGATTATATATAACGTCTGCATACTTGGTTACTGAGGAAGGAAGCCAGGACTGTATTTAATCATGGACTGTACAGTGTCAGAAGAGGTCCTGATACCCCGCCGTGTCACTACCCGAGTGGCAGTAATTTATAGCTCGAGCAGCAGCTGGGGCAGGAGGGAGCCTTTAAAGCCGTCAGATTTGTTGGTTAACTTTGGTTAACCCCAGGGTCAAAAGCAGTTTCTGTCTGGCACATTAGATAACTTTGGGACCCTTGACATGTTGCAGGTAACATTACAGGAACATCCACACTTGTGATAAAAGGAGTTATTTATGGGACAGCTTTGGTTTCAAATGCAGAAGAAAGAAGTAGGTCCTATAATGTAGGTGGGGTTTGGTCACAAGCCCCCTGTGGACGCTGCTGACATTTCTGAGAGGGTGAAAGGGAGAGGAGCCAGGAAGTCCTCTCCAGGACTGACCTGGGGCACACTGCCTGCTGGCTGGAGGGCACTGCGGGCCTTCTGCTTGTAGAAAATCACCCACTTCCCAGCTGCTCTAGTGTCGTCCAGGGATGGATGCAGCCCTACTTCTCTGAATGCACCAGATCTCGTCGGATCTCAGAAGCTGGTATTGTCCAGTGGAGAACACTCCTCTTGTTGCAGAAATGATCGCTAAGCACTTACAATCTGTTGGTTTTCTCCTTGATTTGTCAGAGCCATGAAAGAAAGGGGTGCTCTACAGTAAAAGGGGGCACCTTGGATTCATCTTCTTCTGATTTCTTCCCTTCCACTTCCAGAGTCAGCCTTGTGGTATCCAACAGTAAAGTACATGCTTTTGTGGGATAATAACCTATTTTTTTTTTATCACCCTTCCTTTAACCACTGGAATATTAGTATTCTCAGGATACGCTAGCTGAAGCATCATTTTTCAGTGCATATTGTGAACACTGGAGAAACAGAAGTAGCAGGAAGGAAAGTACCTCACTAGCATTTGGAAGCCTTTCCTTTCCTTTCCTTCCTGGTCTGCCCCAGGATGCCAGGCCGTACACGTCATCTGCGGAACCTGAGGCCTCAGCTTGGACTACCCCAGTTCATCAGCCCCTTTTCTGACTGGAGACCTGGCACAATGATGTCACCTTCTGACCCCAGGGAATGGCCAGGGCCAGTGTTGGCTTCTGGTACAGTTGCTGCCAGGGACAGCTGCTGACCTGTGAGTTCTCCGCATGTTTGTAAATGCACACAGGTACAGCGGATTGGAAAGAGGCTCCTTTTGATCTAAACCCTCCCACCTCCCATGCCAAACAGAAGGCCACTCCTGAGTGAGTAAGGGAACCAGCCAGTGGGTGACTTTACCTCGTCAATGGCCCAGGTTTTATTATGTGTCCAGTGTGTTTCCTGCCTGAACTTTTTTGTAATTTTTAGAGCTGAGAGTAATGTTGCCTCTCAATTAGAAGACACCTGATAATTAATTAGCTAAAAAAAATGGGCAAAGATGTCACTTTCTACTTCTGTCACTTCATTTTTTACTTCTCTGAGGCACAGGTCCTGCTTCACTTACTTTTGTTTCTTCACTACTGAGGTGCAGTGTGGTACTGCGTGCTCGCCAGTGGCCAGGCACTCCTGGGGGGTTTCAAGTCACCCGAGGCTGCTCCTTAAAAGGCAGCCAGACCTGTTCCCACTGCCTGTTCCAAGTCAGGATTGAACTTTGACAGCTCTGTGGGTTTGCACTGTGTATCGGTGCGGATTCTGATTGCTGGGGGAAAATACCTGACTTAATCTAATGAAGAGATGTTTATTCCGGCTCACAATTTCCGAGGTGTTCCTGTCCATGGCTGGCTCCGAGGCAAAAACATCATGGCGGAAGCATGTGGCAGAGCAAAGCTGCTCACATCACAGCATCCAGTAAGCACAGAGCATGGTGAGTGCCAGATAGGAAGGACAAACAGAGACCCAGGATCAGGTCTTCTAAGGAGGCACTGTCTCCTAGTCATCCATTCAGCACTGAATCTACTGGCGGGGTAAGCCATTGACAAGGCTGTGGCTTCATGTCCCCGTTGCTTCTTTGGAAGTCTTCAGTTCAGTGCAGTTTACAATCCAGGTTAGAGCACCCTTCTTCCACGCTAGACACCCTGCTAGGGGCTGACATGGTGCCCCCTGGACACTTCTGTGTTCTGCAGCAGCCCTGTTAGATGGTCTCTAATTGTCAACTCCAGGGAGCCAGGCTGCTCGTCTGATTTCCTCCCATGTCCTGGTGGGAACACTTCTCAAGGCCATATGGCTGAAGGACTTAATGTGTAGGTGGTGCTCGTGCTTCCATCTTCGGTGTGGCTGGCTCAGAGAGGTGAGTGACGCTGGCCCTGTGTATACTAACAGCATGGCTACACCGGCAGTTCTGCTGCGAATCCTCCGTTCTGGAAAAATGGGAGCTGTCTGAGTTAGATGCCATTCCATTGGTGTGTTTTCATGGAGGAAATGGCTATGTGTCTGCAGCCGCTCACTCTGGTCTTGCTGGGGAGCCTATGTGGACAGGTACCCCCATCCAACGCACAGGCTCAGACTGGGCTATACAGTGCTGAAAAGCTCGCACTAGCAACTTCCCTATCCTCCCCCAGCGCCGGCTCCCTCTTCTCCCAGCTGCAGCCAAGGAAGCCTCCCCTCTTGGGGAAGCCACTTGGATCTGCACTCCCAGCTGTCCACAGT